TAAACGTTATCCTCGTGGGGGCGAATTTAATATTTATCGCAATGTTCACGTCGTGGCGAAGCCTAACATGTTATGAAATAAATTATGAATTACACCGTGGCACCACCCTTTAAATATGCAGAAACGGTGTCGGCTACCATCGGACTCCCAAAGCTCCGCACAGAAATTCGGTTTAAATTCTGACCGGACAGCACCGCAATTGCAACACATATTATTATCGCACTGCTATTACTAAATCCTCAATTATTTTCTCTTTAAACTCGTATTCCATTTCATCCTATAAGAAATATAGTGTACTTAATTAATTGTTAATTAGAATAATATATATTGCTGTATCTCGGAATCGAATATCTTGCACAGTGTAGTTTTATCGGGTTTTTATGGTAAAGTCTACATTAAAATCAGTGCATTTAATAATAATTATAAACAGTTAGATAATCCAGCTTCCAGTTGGTAACAAGTATACGTTGCTACTCAAGGGTTATACTAAAACTAACTAGGACCTAGACTTAAAATAAATGTCTCCTTATATGCTTATAAGCCTAACATGTTATGAAATAAATTATGAATTACACCGTGGCACCACCCTTTAAATATGCAGAAACGGTGTCGGCTACCATCGGACTCCCAAAGCTCCGCACAGAAATTCGTTAGTTCATTCCAAGAGAAAAAGAACAACTATAAATAATTTTCTTTGAATTAACTTTATACATAATTTTTCGGTATGGTACGCAATAACATATTTTACATTAATTTATATAAGAAAAATTGATTTGTATGTAGTATTCAATATGAGAATACACGGAAATCATAGAACATGTTTTGACCATTAGAAACTTTATATTACTGTACCTATTAAAATAAAAAGTAAAGTTACGTGCTTAAATTGTTTAAGAAGTTTTCGCTATATTTTTACCATAAAAACAGCTATATAATATTTCGAATAGTTAAATCAATAGCGTATGAAACTACTAAATAATGATTATAAAGACCAAGAAAACAAGACCTAAACGATAGTCCTTTGGTCAGTTTTATTGAATTATAATATTTTAACTTATTTATGTAATTCTGGCCAATTCATGTATCATGTACACAATATTTGAATGTGCAAACATTAAATAATTTTTATTAAACACATTCAATTTTTAACTTATTTTTTTTTGCCCATTATTTGAATTTAGTTATTAAGAGCAATAATTTTCTCATTTTGTCATTTTCTCTATCCAAATTACAAAAGCTACAAATCATTTTGCAGGTTATTTTAATATTATTTATACAAATTTATACAATATTACTTTTTCACTTTAATTATCAACTATGAATTAAATTATTTAGAAAGTAGCTTGTAATTCCATGAATTTCACTAAACTTCTTTTTACACAGATGATGTAACCATGAAGTATGACCAATGTATGTAATGGATCAAAAAAAGTTTTTTTTGCGGCTAAAGTAGAATGAATAAAATTGGACCGAGAAAGAAGACATAAAGTAAAGAAGTAACAAAAAGTATATATATATATCAATTTGCAAGTGGTCACTTTGTTTTTTCAGTAACGAGCGACCATTCGGTCAGATGATGGACATTTATAAACACCGGAGCAGCAAAAGGAAATGGACATCAATCCTGTACACCCTCGCACCTTCCCCAAAGCGTTTACGTTTTTTTTATATGCACATACACGTATCCTGCAAAGAGCGGTCCGCAAATTTCTGTTCCACGTCATTGTGAAATCCTGGTTTGCTGCAGACCCGCAGGTGATGTGTGTTTTTTTCTTCTCTTTTTTTTGTTCATCCTTTCGATAATTATCATTTAATTCCTCTGGACACAAAAATAATGAAAAAACAAATTGAACACAGATTCACGTCCGTGTCTTGCATTACGTAAAAATAGGATTAAATCTGTTCGAATAGAAAACGCAAATAAAATAGAATTTTCTTCAAAATGATAGAAACGATTTTATGTATAGAAATATGTATTTTTCAAGATTTGGATAAAATGTTTTTTTTTTCTTCTATTATTAATTTCGTTACAAATTTGGTCCTGATTTAGGTCAAAGGGCTAAAGATCAAAGTTTTTCTATCTCTGTCAAGATATTTTATTTATGTTTAAATAAAATAAATATTCATAACAATTTTGCTTTGAAGTTATGATAAAAAATACGTTTATCTAATTAAATTTTCTATCAAAATTGATTTCTTTTCACATCTTTATGTTCTGAAAAGTATAGAGTTGCATCTTCAATTTTTAGATAAACATTGAGAACGTGCAGAAAATGTTGCATATAAATTATAGTACTGGAATAATGCGAAAAATGTTAAAATTTCTGTGATCACGTATAAATTGATACTAATTGCACGATAAAATTAGAAGACAAATAGTCTGAAGAAATTCATACCCTTCAGAAGAAATCAGAATTATAATCTAAACATTAATAAACTATTAATGATTATATAGTGAATTTGCGTTTACTGTGTACATGAATCATCGCAGATACTAACTATCACATTGATAACTTCCATAACATTGCAGAAACCATTTTCAATTAGGATACTACATGAATTTCATGATTCGTGTTACTAGATTCTTTATCAATCGCCCGTTACTTTACAATTAATGGCACGGAAATGTAGCCCGAGGCAACCCCTTTTGTTTTAGCATAGGCTAGAATCACTGCAGATCAAAGGTTAATGTGATGGGAGATCTGTTGCGGTAGTAGAACTGCTGCAATGGCATGACCGTCCAGCAAGTCGTAATTAAAGTGGAATCGGTGTAAGAACGGGATAAAAGCATACCAAGCGTAGGTGCTGCACCCACTACCTGATCCTCGTCTTTACCACACACAGTTGTAATCACATTTCCGCCAAACCGAAACAAATTCTCACGGATTTAAAGGAATTATGTTCCTGATCCATCACTCCAATTCCCTCGCACTTATCCCGTATTATTTCAATGCTTCATCGTCTGTAGATTCAAGAAGAGCACTTGTGGTCCTCTACTAATAGAACCTTTAATAATTGTATTAAATAATCTAATATAATTGTATTTATCTTATTTATTTACAAAATTTATTTGTAAATTTCAACCAAATGACTATCGACTAAAATCATTCTGCCATTTGTAAATTTAAAATATTTTAATTATAAATTTTAAATTAATAATTTTTCTTCAATATTTAATATAACAATTACAGATGTTTTTTATTCAATACAAGTAAATGAGAAAAATAGTTTGCTGCGATTACGGCATTAATAAGAGAAGTTTTTTTTTTGCAGCGACGTAAGCAAAAAAAAAGGGTTGCTACAGAATCTTTTTCATTTGCGTTTTCATAAGAATTTTAAAGTAGCTCCTAGCTTTGTAGGAGACTGCATTTCCTATCCTTTCCAACGCCAATGGAGAAAAATAAATCCGTTGCACGCGCAAGGACGCAAATCCTTTTTCCAAAGTTTTATGTAAATAAATAAAAGCACATGTTTTCCACCGTTCGGATAGAATTTGAGAAAGCACATAATCTCCAAACGTACGTTCTTATATTTAAGTTAAATAAACTAACTTACTTTGGAAAATAAGAAGTAGAAAAAGTGCGAAACCCGAATACTTCATTGTTGCACGATTCTCACATTTTACACTCACATGCACATGTTTTACAAACACTGTTGTTTGCACGTAATTTATTTCAAAATAAACTTAGATTATCCGGTGCACTTCTACACTCGGATTAGAAGCAAGTTGCGCTTTGATCTGCAGTAATATTTTGTTTGGAAAGAAAAGTTTAAACTTGCTGAAAATACGCGTCCGCGTGTTTTGCGCGCAACTTAACACACGCTTCCCTCGCGAACCTTCGCCGCGCCAGTTTCGTTAGCACTAGACTTCAGCCGTATCAGGAGGCGTCGCAACGCTACCACGCCAGGCGCCTCCACCAACGGAATTCCACTGAACTATCATACATTCATAACTTCTTTCCCCTTTACCCAATTCTCCGAAATATTCATTTACCACATATTGATTGCAAATAATTCGAACTATTTTCTTATTATTTATTTAATTCAATCTATAACATTTATTTGCCGCATGCAATCCAACGTACATCAACTATTAACACAATTCTAATCCAATCACATAAAACATTAATCAATTATTCTAATTATTTTATTTTTCAATATATATGTAATAATGGATTTAAGTAATTATTAATTTATACACATTTTGTAACATATTTTGGAATTCAATATAGACAACCAAATTAACATCAGTATTGCAATTTACAATTTTATAAATATTTCTTTAACACTATTTAATTTTAAGAATTAGAAGTTCATAGATTTGTATCTATTTATTGCATATTTATATATATTTACTATCGGATTTTTATATTTATTAAATTATAATAATATATTAATTACAATTTTACAAAATTTACAAATTTTCAAAAGGTAAATAAATCAAATAATTTATACTTTTAAGTATAATATCTTAGCATAATTCTTCGTTTATATATTATTCCTATCACAATTAAAAACTAATTAAAATTACTTTATTGGAAACATGAAATGTAATTTGCTTTTGAAATATGTTTCAAAATTTATTAATAATATTTAATAGATTTATTACTTTTACATTCATGATATCAGTATTTATTATAGATAACCAATCGTACACTTTTTTCAAATCTTAACAGATTTTCTCATATTCAGACATTAAATCTGTTTATTTAATATTTTCTTGTTATGAAATAATTAGCATTACATAACTAAGTTACACATAGTTACATTAACAATTTATTGTTTAGTATAATTAATTACAAGTACTAACATATGTTGAAAACATTTTTTTAATTTATAATTAAATTTGAATATTAATAAAACAACAACATTTAAAAAATTAATATAAAAGTTATTAAATAAATAAATTATAAAAATGCAAATAGGAATAACATTCAAAAATTTGCTTTTGATGTATATTCCAATGTCCATGAATAAATATGTATTTGTTTAATTGTTATGTTATATTATTTAATAATAAGAATAAGCATAATATTTTGTGGATATTTATTTGGTAACAGCAATAATTTAGAGAAATCAGACTTAATGATTATTATTTCCCAAGGAAAAGAAAGATGGTGGAAGCGTATTTGAAAAGGTGTCTTTCTGCATAAATAAGTGTATGATGGCTGCGTCCATGGACCCCGAGAAACATATTGAGTGTTTAATGAGCCAGTTAAAAACTGCAAGAAGCGAAATTAACAATTTGAGGTAAGAATCAGACTTTAATTTCTTTGGTAAATATTAGTTTTAACCTCACTACATTGACAGGCAACAAATAAAATCCTTGACACATGCTCATCGAAAGGATTGTGAAGAGATCCAAAGGAAACTGACAAATTGGAAATGCACAGATTGCTTGAGCCGGGAAAATCATGGTCAGGGTACAAGCACTGCCAACAAGGATGAAGATGCAGATTTAAGTTTGAAATATATAGGAAAAGTCTATACTCAATTCCCTGAGAAGAGGGCAACACCAAGGCAACCAGGAATATGTCCAGACTTAATAGCTAAGTTGACTTTAAATAATGACATCCTTACTAATCCCGAACATGCTTTGGAAGGTCTGCATGAATATTCTCATATGTGGTATGGATTATCTTTAGTTTAAAGTGAAAGCTCTATTATTTTTTTTAAATATAATTTAGGATACTTTTTCATTTCCATCGAAATGATTCTACACATGTCAGAGCCAAAGTTGCTCCTCCCAGACTTAATGGATTGAGAACAGGAGTATTTGCAACAAGATCCCCACATAGGCCATGTCCCATTGGATTATCTTTGGTTGAAATAAGTTGCATTGTGGACAATACAATTTTCTTCACAGGAGTGGACATGGTTGATGGAACACCTGTATTGGACATCAAACCTTATATTCCCCAATATGACAATCCTCATGCAGGTTTTCCAAGTGATAATACTCCTATTTACCAAACCAATGATGTGTCAGACCAAGAGGATTTAGAAGAAGAAAATGTAAGGATTATGGATGGTGATGAAAATGGTGGACATTATGATGGAAACACCAGTATTCAAAACTCCAGTGTAGAAGAATCATTTTATAACAGGTAAAATACCATTATTCAATTGTTTTTGATTTCTTAATGAATTGTCTTAGATCTAATTCAAGAATTGGGGAAAGAGAAGCACCAGATGGAGAAGAAGGTGAAGAACCACCATCTAGATCAATAAATGCAACTGACAGGGCAATGGCAGCAACAACAACATCTAACATGTCTGTGAGGGTACCAAATTGGATTGATCAACCAAGATCACCACAACCAAAAGTTCTCTTCAAAGATTCAGTGCTGGCTCAATTCAACGCATATTCAAATGCTGAGGTAATTATCCAACATTTAAATTACATATTATTGAACTAATATATTTAATGCAGGCTGAAGAAAAGATACGGACCATAAGACAAATACTTAAAGAGGACCCTCGTTCCGTTTATTTAAGATCTCGGCTTGGTAGCAACTGTTATGTGTTTAGGATAGCTTCGTTGTACGTGTCTTGCAAGTTCAACGATGAACAACACACGGTGACGGTCTTTAAAATATCTGAAATGTCGGATCCATAAATGTTAATCACACGGTATGAAAGTAGCCTTCAAAATTATAAAAATATGTGTATGTGCATTTAATGTATTGTGATCTCTACTGTTTTATCTTTTTCTATCTGTCATAGGTTAAGGATTTTATGCATTGAAATAAAGATGGAATAGCTTAATTAAAACATCTGATTATTTATTTTGATTGTATTAACAATTTATTAATATTTTCAATATTCGATTAAGTTACAAAGAAAAAAACAAATTAAAATGAAGTATAAATATAATCAAAAACAACCACATTCATAAAATACATATTTACAATATATTTCAAAAAGAAATATTTACATAAAAATAAGTTTTATTATTCCCTATAAAAACAAATACAATAAAGCTTCTTAAATCGGTATTATTTACAATATATAAAATGCTTTGTCCTTTGTGCTCACTAAGATAAAATTTTGTATCATTTGTTTACTTCTATTTCCAATTCGTGCTTATCAATTTCTGCACACATTTTGTTAAATTCATCTTCCCACTTTTTAGCAGCAATTTCCTGAAAAACAAAATGCAAAAAATTAAAATACTTATCAAATATTATTTCAATAAATTACTTCTGCTATAGTCCTTTGATCTTTCTTCCTTCTTTTAATCCTCTCCATATCATCTTCTGGTTCTTCCTCCTCTTCTACCTCCACAAACCTCGCGCGTTTTGGAAATTTCCTACCATAACTAGCTCTTGGTGGTGCCTAAATTAAAAAAGAAGTTAATAATTTAATAGCATTATTTAAAGGTATATTTACCTTAGGTTCCGTTTCCAAATCTTCAAATAATCCAACCACAGGCTGAGTTGCCAAGCTGTCATCAACAGTGGTATTTTGAACGTCAATTGTGTTACCTTTCAACAAATCTTGCTTCTTAGTTGGTTCAATAAATTGAGCAAATATATTCCTCTTTTTAACTTCGAATCCAGTGTACCGCGTCGGTTTTCCCGTATTTGGCACATTCTCTTTGTCAGATTTATCGAATCCAAAATGCAAACTAGAATTCTCATCAACATCATCCTGAGATGCTGAGACTGCATCATTGTTGTTCCACAATCCCAGTGGTCTCCGTACTTTCTTATTTGAATTTGCTTTATTTACAATTGGACTATTACTCACTTTTTTGATAGGACTTAATTGGTCAATATCAAAAAGCGAACAGTTAAAACTTTCCTCATTTGCTGCACCACCAGTTACATAATCCAACATTGATTTTTGCTTCAATGATTTTTTGGTATTCTTACCCTTCTGGAAACTGTTCTCAATAATTGTGGAATTTATTACAGCATCCTGGTTATAAATTGGAAGATTTGAATGATTGGTAGTCATATATCTGGGACTATTGCGTACTATAAAATTAGGCCTCCATGGGCTATTCATAATATTGCTACTGATGATATTTACTTCAGGAACTTTAAAAGTATTATCTTTTGGAGAATTACATGCTGTGCCATTTGAATCCTCCCTGCAAGTATTACTTGAGGTATCAGAGAAATTTGGTAATGAATAACTTGGATGAAAGCTTATATTTGTACCCACATTATCTTCAATATTACTAGGGCTTTTGCAAATAATATTTTCTAAAACTACAATTTGCTTAGGTGAATACTTATTACTTTGTGCATTAGATTCATTAATAATACTTGTAGTAGTTACTTCATATACTTTATTTTCTTTTTGTATTAATGCATCTGGACTGTTATTGGAATTTCTTGGTATTTTCTTCTTTATTTTCAAGTCTTTTGAAGGATGTATCTTAGAGTTTTGTTTTAAAATTTCTGGACTCTTATTCAACTTTGTTGGTGTCTTATTCTTTACTTTTGAAGGATACACCTGTTTCAAATCACCTGAGCTATTAGTAGACTTTGTTGGTGTTTTATTCTTTATTTTCAAGTTTTTTGAAGCATTTTGCTTCTTGTTCACCTTCAAAGTTGACTTATTGATGTCAGTTTTAAGCAATTTCTGTTTGTTGGTTTCCTTCTTTTTAGTTAATACCCTTTTCTTTTCCTTTTTCTTAATATTTTTCATATCCTGTTGTATATCTTTATCAAATTCATTATCTGATATGTACGATGCATTACACTTCTCAGCTTTCTCCACTTCCTTAAGATCGAATTCAAAAACATCATTTACTTTGTTCTCTCGAACCAGTGCCACTTCCCTTTTGTAGATTGGAAGATTCTTTGCCTTGGCTTGAGGTGTCGATTTTCTTAACGTAACTTCTGCATAATCTACTGCATTTCTTTTGCGTTTGGTCTTTAAAGGAGAAGTTTTGTTTACACTAACCTTCTTTTTTGTTAATTGTGGTTTGTTGTTAGTGGACGATGCGATATTACTCTTCCTACTTCTGGTAGTAACTTTTGTGTTCGACGTGCTTCGAGTGACTCTACCCATTGTCTCTTAGACATTGAAACAATTAATGTAAAGATATAAACTTTTCGATGTTTAATAATAAAACTAAAGCAAATAAAACTGTTTACTAATTTATCATTCAACCCATTCAACCATACTTAGCAATGGTGGACGTAACCAGCGCCAGGGGGCTATACGCAGCATGGCCAACATTGCAACATATGTAATTTCAAAGCAAAAAGTTACTAGAAATTAGTTGTCTGTTGAAATGTCTTTTCTTAGATAAAGATGTAAAAAAAAAATCCAAAACACGGTAGTGATATGAATGTTATTTAGTACTGCGATCTTGAATTATATGATCTTACATCCAAAGACAGCATGGGGAGTTATAGAAAATGTATTATGACTGGTTTTATTTGCAGACTTTGTTCTGAGCACAAAAGTATTGTAATACATTTATACAGTCACAGAGCAAAATGTTTGGGACTCATTGAAAAACTGAGCCTACTACCAATTTCTGTAAGTATTAATTAACACCACCATGCTCAATACTAAATCAATTGACTTTCTAGATCAAAGTAACAGACAAGCTTCCCAAAACCATATGTGAATCATGCATAAGAAATGTCTGTCGTCAGTATGAAATGGTTCAGCAAATGACCAGAAACATAGAGATTGTGGTGAAGCATAGAAAGTATCATGTATGTTTATAAATAGTATATATTAAATAATAATTTTAATCTCCCTTTATTTTCCTAGGTAAATGGTGAATGTCCAGATGATTGTCCTTTAAAAGGTGCAAAAGCACTTGCTAATTCTGTTGGAAGATCTGATCCAGGACCAAGTAACAGACCACCAGGTGATCCTGATTCAAGACAAGAACCTTCAGAAAATAAAGCTGTAAATCCATGAAGCTTTAAGTGAAGGTCTTTTGTCAGGAAGCAATTATTTAATTAAGAATATTCTTTAGTTTGTTTAAAAAAATGTATATATAAAATTAGACCAAAATATTATGCTGTAATTGGTTTCCATATGAAATTAGAATTATGTCAGGTTTTATTTCTTTATTTATTAATTAATATGTTGTAATAAACATTCTTTATAGACGTAATATTCTTTCTTTTTTTTTCAATTATATATTATTAATCATTTAAATAGTTAAAAAATACTAATTCAAATACTGTTCATGTATTTTTAAGTATTATATTTGTATTAATTTTAAATTTGGTACGAAAGAAAATAGTTCTATACTTCAGAAAAAATCAAAAAGTAAACTGAAGATTTAGTAAATAAGGACCGTAAACATATGGAATGATGGTAAACATAATAGAAAAAGGGTCGTAAACATTGCAAAAAATAAATAACAAAACTAACATATTTTATTTATTTTTAGTTGGCAACAACTCATCAAAAAATGTATATGACCAGTGATCATATGGCACATGTCAAAAACATAAATACAACCACAGTGAACGTTTCATTGTTTGTTCATCTCTTCTAATATCTTCATTTTTTTTAATAGTTATAAAACTTAATACAAAATGGGTTGTGATGGTGGAACTATTCCTCGCCGTGATGAGTTGGTTAGAGTAAAAAAGAAGCCTGAAACTGTAAGTATGACAATTTGCGCATTACTTTACAAATTAATGGACGATATAATTTCATTATTAGAAAGACAAGGATTCGGAATTAGCTTTCCAATGGAGATGCTGTGCTATAACACAGCAAGTACTGGAAAACCCTATTGTTGTTTGTGGTTTGGGTCGTTTGTACAACAAGATTGCACTCATTGAGGCATTATTAAACAGGGAAACTTTACCTGAATATGCGAGACACATTCGGTCATTGAAGGTAATTATTTTTTATTTTATTACATCAGAAACACTTAATAATGTATTTTTTTTATAAGGATGTGAAAAATTTGAACCTAACCCCAAACCCGGAATTCAATGCTAATGTTGACAAGAAGGGTAACTCAGTTGATAGTAGAGGAGCACCTTACATTTGTCCAGTCATTGGTCTTGAAATGTCTGGAAAATTTAGGTTTGTTGCATTATGGAGCTGTGGATGTGTATTTTCTGAACGTGCATGGAAAGAAGTTCCTACTACTATTTGCCACAAGGTAAGTTTGTTATAAAATTATCACTTTCTTAACACTTTGAACACATGAACATAAAAAATATTTTGTTAGAACTTATATCTTACTGAGAGTAAATGTGTTAAGATAGAAAGAAATTACATTTTTGTTAAAGATTTATTTATTGTACATTTGTTAATATTGAAATTATATTTAGTGCCAACAATCCTGTGATGAATCTGATATAGTTATAATAAATGGAAATGAAGATGATGTGGAACTAATGAAAGTTCGCATGGAAAGTAGACAAGCGAAAAATAAAAAAGTTAAAAAAATCAAACCCAAGGTTGAAGGTGAAGAAAAAGTGGAGAAACAACCAAAAGTCGTAAGTATTGTATTGCATAATAAATAAATAGTTTACTAATATTCTTTTATCGAATGTAGAAACCATCGACTTCAAAAATTCTGCCATCGAAACGACTAGGAGCTGTCGAGAAAGCCGTAGAAGATGAAAGAGTCAAGAGATCAAAACCAGATTACAGCGTTGCTAATGATCCAAATGCTTCAGATGTATACAAGTCCTTGTTTACATCTCATAAATCGGAAAAGGAGCAAACTAGAGCACATTGGATTACATACAATCCATTTTATAACTAACTTTTTTTTGTTCATATTTTTTTAATATAACGACAGTTGAAGTTTAATTTAAGAAAATGTAATTTATTTAAAATTAATGAAAACGTAAATAATTGGCACATTTTTTTTATTGCACTATGCCGGATATATTTTATCTTATATCTAATCTAAAAAATCTTCAGTTGAAGTTACTGTAGCCTCAATGAGTAATCCAAAATCCAGATCTGCGAGACTAGCTTTAGCAGTTAAGAGATCAAGAAACGTGTCAAGCGGAGATAATCTGTCTGCCGATGGAAATGCTGCTAATCCTAGAATATAAATCGATTTTTATGTAAATTGTACAATAAACCCTACAATCCGTACCTAATTGATTTTTGCTTTTCTGTAAACCTTGACCTCTGGAATTTTGTCCTTCTACACCAGATAATATGTTCATTGCATGTTCTCTAGCCCTAAGCATAAGACTAATGGGATGATTCCATTGGTTCATTAAGCGTTTGGCCCGAGAACGAGGTAACAAAGATAATAGTTTTAGCTTCCTTTGGATTCCTATTTTAGAATCGTCGATATCTACAAAAGGTGTTTATATAAGAGAAACATTGAATTGAAGAATTCAATTACCGGCCATAATTATTTTCATCACATCAATTTGTAGTTCGAACACGTGTCTAAGAACGTACTGCAGGAATATGTTAAATCGTAAAGTCCTGTAACCTAGGAACGTGAAGAAGGACGTGAATCCAAGAGGAAGTGGAAAAGCAATCGCTTCTGCAGCCAAATAGTATCTTTCCAAGACCACATACAGTATATACCTCTTTTCCTCTGGAAGTTGATCTCTACAAATCGCAATTTAAATATAAACAAAAAAAACAAATGATTCAAGGTATACATAAAAACAAATCCTTTATCGTGCTCGTATCTTGCGTCATACGTAGCAGCTTTGCATAGAATTTGACAAAGTAATCTGGATTGTTCTAATTGCGCTGCGATGTATCTTGTAGCAACTGCGTGCACGTGCATCGGCGTTTGAGATTGCCATTGGAAGCGACTCATCTTGTTCTCTGTACTTTGTTTCAGCAAATGCATGCTTAACTCTCTTAAATTCTAAATGCAAATCAATCAATCAATTAAAGTATAATAAAAACAAAAACGATCTACAACAAACCACGGAAATTATATGTTCCTGTTTACTAGCTGTGCAGCTCTCCGTTTCATAAAACGGTAGAGCATCACTTTGGCTCTTCATCGTGGATAAATCTGCTGTTGTGGATAGAGAAAGAGAAGATCCTGGTGACATAGGCGTGCTTGAGCGTGATAATGCTTCCGGCTAAAAGTAACTCAGCTGTTTGAAATAAAAGTGGTTATTAATTTTTCAAAATACCTGATAACAAACTAAAGAAACCAGCAACTTTTCCACGACTTGACTGGGTTTAAACCTTTGCTTTCCCTTGGTATTTTTTACAAGAATCTCCCAAAGTTTCACCCAAAGATCAACTCGATATGGAACTATCCTCTGTTGCGGCGATAGTAACATCATCGAGGCGTTCCAAAGAGCGTCTTGCGATAGGCTCACTATTTTACCATTAATTTCGGTTTCCACGTCGCATCCAACGGGTTGACTGGATACCGGTAATAAATTAATCAATTGGCTAGCATCGCATGGAAGATTTCTTTGGACAGAAGCGTAAGCGCTTCCCAGCAAAAACTCTTTGAGCATTTGGGGAAAACCCAAGCTTACAGGTTTCTCAACTTGTGACGATATTAACTTAAAAGTTTGAATTAAATTAGTATGAAGCAAGTTAACTTTTAACATTATTACCTCGATGGCCACGTCCATCTCTCCTTGATGAACCAGAAGATAATGCAATATCGCAAGTTTATTATCCAGAGTGGTTTCGCTTTTGAACGTTTCGATAAGCTGAGTAGTTGGAACGTGCAGATCTATGACATCCAAAGTAGTTAAATTCAGTACTGAATATTTCCCGCATTTGATAAGTGGCGTCAGGCACGTCTTTGATATTTCGTATTCGGGCAGCAAAGGATGTGTTGTTATATGATTCGAAGGCTCGTGAATCATAGATATATCCAAAAGCTGCGTACAAACTCCAGGGATGAAAACCATCATATGATCATCTAACATTTAATAATTAGTTTTTGCGTATTATGTACAAAATATGTTTACCGTAAAGCTTGAAGAGCGGTCTAATAGTTTTAGCTTCTTTCCAAGGAATACCAGGGATAACACAATGCAGAACGCAACTTTGATGAAGCACCGTCACGGAATATGCAAAATGAACAGGAGAATCATCGTCATCTTCCAAATTCTTCGCAGGTTGAACCGGTTGGTATAAATAGTGATGGCATATGCAGACTATACCGCTTGAATCGGTCAGTACCATGAGATCTAGAGAGCAATTATGAATGCGCAAAGGCACTGTATCATCTTCGTAGAGGTTGCAAACGGTCGTGGTGAGATGCGGTAAATTCAACGGAATGTTCAACTAAAAATATATTATGTGAATAGAGAAAAATGAAAATTTTAAATTGTTTTACGACGCTTTCGTGTGGTAGATCTTCATGGAATTGTAAGCCTGATAGAGTTGGAGACACCTTATGCAAAGTAGTAGGATCGGGATCATCTCCTTCCACCAAACTTTTAATTGGTTTCCTATAATGAATGTAGTACAAGGTTTGATGGACTGCATCCCATTGAGCCCAAATGAAGACTCTCAGCAGAGATTCCGCCAAGAAACTTTCGATGTTAAACTCTTTGGCAAGCGGTTTCAATTTGTACTGGAGGACACCTTAAAGGAAATAATCTTAATTAAGATTAATATGTTTCTTAGAACTTACATTCTTCGTGTATAAGAAGTAGGAATTTATCGGTTTGCTTCTCGTTCAGCACTGAGTGTTTCTTGTGTAAAAACTGGATCATAATCTGTTTGGATCTTTCAATATGCATGGGACATAATACATTTTCAGAATCTGTTAGTTTTAATAGAGTCGGGGTATAAACAAAACATCCTTCATTATCTTCATCTGGATTTTTGGTGACAAAACCCATAATTGTGCGATCAAAATTGATGGATGCTTGGACGACATTAGTAGGTTCCTCAAAAGTGTGAAGCATCTTCAGACTATTATCCGCGTAACTGAAGAGACCCAAATTTGTACAATCTCCTTCCTCCCCCGACTCCAACCAGGCGAAAAGGAGACTTCCATCCTGTTCCTGTCCAAGCAAACGCCATTCCTTCGCTTCAACTATAACAATAACATTGCAATTAGAGTTTAAATATTCAAAATTTAATAATTAATTGTTTCAGTGCGCATGTCTCTATTTACACATTAAATCGATATAGCTGTTATCAAGAAAATATAGATAAATACGTTATTTCTTTCACAAATTATTTTTGACTTGTTTCAGGGTTCCTTTGTTATTAGTATATTTGTTACCTTTTTCTTTGTTGTTCAACGCTAGTAGACATAGTTTTCCTACGAGATCGTCGACGGAAACCATTTTAAGCGCAGGCCCCTACCCTTTCTGTGACAGAGTTTCCGCGCTTTTCCGACCCAAATACGCGCGCGTGGAAATTCCTATGGATCGAACGGCGTCCGCAAACTCAGTACATTCATACGACTTGGTATCACCGTGACCACGGTGCCCCATGCGCATTCTGAATGAAATCATTGATAACACTCCCCATTAAGTCAACAAGTAATAAACCTTATATTTACGTTCTTATATATTTCCTTTGTTGAATATTTATACCATTATATAAATAATGAAACAATTAATTTTATCATAACCTCCATATGATGCATAATTAAACAAGTTCGTTAGATTTAATCCAGAGATATATTTTTTTATATTCATAAATCTTATTATAAATTATTATTATCGCCTTGAACTTGGATATTCAAAATTCAGTCTATTTGGTATGGTGGGTTGCATTACATCAAACGAATCTGTAAGTATCTAAAATTTGTTTATTGTAATCAATTAATAAAGTGCACTTCAACAGGTAATATCTTTTAATCAATCACTGGTTATAAATGGATACTGATAAGTTAAATTAAAAATTTGCCAGCACGTTGATTGGTCGATGATTACGTCAGCTTCGATTGTCTATTTATAACGACGGGCGCTTGCGCCTCTCCAATATCGTCCATTCTATTTCCCACCAGCCAAATGATGTTGACTTGTTTTGTTTACGAAACAGTGAGATATATTTGTATTATGTAAAAACAGAGGATTACTTACAAGAATACAATAACAATTAGTGGAACTCGTTAGATAAATATCAGTAAGTATTCGACACTTGCAACAAAGACCATTCATACATCCTTCATACTCTACAAACGTCTTCTGAACCCATCACACTCCGAATTTCCAGCGCCAATTCAATCCGCCTGTTTCTCATTTTTCTTGTGCTTTACCGTCGCGTTGTTGATTTGAAGTTTTATTGGAAACCCTGGCATCTTTTATATTTTGCTTATTTGTTTTTTATTGGTACGGTAGTTTATCATTATCGCGTGCGATAACAGTTTTCAGGTAAGCATTGAAAAACGATGGACTGTGCTTTTTGTCGTGGCCTAAAAAAATTTTTTTTTTTAGAATAGTGTGCTCATTTGTTGTTGTCAACAAAGTGCTGTCAAAATTCTTGTATAATTTGATTGATTTGATATTTCTATTATATAAATATTTTTTACAGATATGTCCATATAACTAAGTATGAAGCTACACTGATTCTGAGAACTAAATAGTTAGCAATGGGTGCATTTTTAGAGAAACCAAAGACAGATAAAACCCTGGAACATGGGGAAGGTAACATTAATTTATACATCTTAACTACTTGTTTACATTGCTTCCCATTTTTAGGCAATGGGCTACGCTATGGGGTGGCCAGCATGCAAGGTTGGAGGGTTAATATGGAGGATGCTCATATGGCCAAGACAAATTTAGGAGGCACCTTGGCAGATTGGTCATACTTTGCAGTATTTGATGGGCATGCAGGGGCACGTGTATCTGCCCACTGTGCTGAAAACCTGCTTGATGCCATTGTAGCTGGTGAATTTCAGGAAGACGTTATCAAAGGCATTCATAACGGATTTTTGAAATTGGATAATAACATGAGGGAACTTCTTGAAGTCTCTTCTGGTAATGATTATTAATTGTTATTTATTTTACGTTTTTAATCATATTTGTGTTATTCAGATAAAAGCGGTACTACAGCTGTATGCGCTTTCGTTTCGCCTCGGCAAATTTTCATAGCGAATTGTGGCGATTCCAGAGCGGTGTTGAGCCGTTCAGGTAATCCAGTTTTCACCACTCAGGATCATAAACCGAATTTACCGCTTGAAAGGGCTCGGATTATGGATGCAGGCGGGTCGGTGCTAATACAGAGAGTAAATGGAACTCTGGCTGTTAGTAGGTAAGTGATCATGTTTGTGATGTATGCATCATCTATCGAATGTTTAATCTATATGTATGAGCAAACCAAATTACGTTATCCACAGGGCATTAGGGGACTATGTCTATAAAAATGTGAAAGGCAGAGGCCCTTGCGAGCAATTGGTATCACCGGAACCGGAGATTTTCGAGATCAATCGCGATGAAGAGGAATATGAGTTCATGGTACTGGCATGTGACGGTATCTGGGATGTCATTTCCAATAAGCAATTGTGCCAGTACATACACTCGCGCTTAATGGTCACGGATAATCTTGAAGAGGTGACCAGTGATGTCATAGACACCTGTCTGTATAAGGTATGCATGTTTTTATTTTTAAATTTTCAATCTAATAATTAAAATGACTCATTTCAAATACAATAGCTTAGTTAATCATATTATGACTTATAATCAGCAGAGAAACATATTTCAATTTTTTGTCCATAATTAATTTCATAAATCAATCACTTGTGAAATCTTACAAAATATTTGAAATGTTATAAAAAAAATATTTTTATATGGTTTACAATAACTTGCTTTAAAATTCATTAATCACCACTTGTATATAAATTAGAGATTATATATTTATATTGAACTGCATTTTAAAATTTTATTCTATTTAGAAAAGTTATATGATAGAAAGACTAGTAGATACCATCAAAATGAAACATATTAAAAGGATTCTATTTCTCATTTAGGGAAGTCGAGATAACATGAGCATTGTCCTAGTAGTATTCCCAGGAGCACCGAAGCCCACCCCTGAAGCCATCCAAGCAAACAAGGAGCTCGAGGCTAACGTGGAGAGGCGAATGAAAGGTTGTTTAAATATTCTATCTTGTCATGAAATGTAACTTATTTCCTCTGTAGATAACTCATTTACACCAAAATTTCATTGTAGAAAATAATCTTATTCTAGTCTAATACCAAAAGTATATTCATTGAACTTCAAATGTGATAACACGCAATCTAAACGCACCACTTGATAAGCAATATTTTAAAACAAATATTTTTCTCCAACTTATCATCTATATATATACACATAAATTCCTACTCAGTAGGGATGACCAATGGGCCAAATACGCAACATACAATCATCAATTAATATTTAAAAAACTGCCCTTTGATAGAGAATAATGTCTTTCCAAGATCACCAATTTTCCACAAGTGTTCTCTACTCGACACAATTTTTTTGATTTTTTTTCATTATTATTAATTGACCAATTACTTAATGTGATGACAATATTATTTACATATAGGTGATACAAATATAGTTATGGGGTCGCAACATGGCATTTATTATAATTGGATAGATTTATTTTTTAAAACTCGTTTTTAGAAAATTTTAAAACTCCCCATCTTATAATAATATAAAAATCTAATATATACAGTAATAAAAGAAAAGAATTTAATAATTTAAAAAATAATTATATTTAACTGAGGAAAAAAAATAAAACGACTTAACATTATCGATTAATTTATTTTAATCGCACCGCTAAATTATTCTTCAAGCGAATATACAAATCGTACATTAACTTAATTTCCATACATATCCATGTCCTATTAATCTTTCCTTACGCAGTATAAATGTTTTGTTAATTAATATTTAAGTCAGTTTGTTTTTATAAATGGTAGGTTTGTCGATGATTTATTGTTGTATTTAACATTTGGGAAAGTTTTGGATTCGTTTCAATAAATCGTTTGGAAAAAGCATAACACCGTGTAGTCCGATTTCTGGAACTGTTTCTATTTTAGTTTGTTTTTTTTTTAATTTTCTGTTACTATTGTTTTTTCGATACTTTTGTTCTTTTCAGAAATTATCGACGATGTTGAGTATAGGTGTCGATTAACAAATTTCGTGACAATCATGGAGCAACTCAGCAGCGAATTCGATCCTGATCTTATCCAAGAAAAGTAAACACTTGAAAACATCCACCAACTTTGTTGCATATATCTTATACGAATATTATTCTTGTTTTAGATCGTTATTTATTCATAGGACTTTCAAAGAGCTTTGTCGAGAACATTCTGACAGCGTAAGTTTTTATGAATGTGATACAGATTTTTGATCGAATAAAATCACTTGTTAATTTTATGTCTCAATATTAATTATTTGATCAGTCTCTTTGATTATTTATTAATTAGAACATATTTGTTTTCATTTTTCAGGATTTGGATGCATAGAGGTATTATTTCATTTTCTCTCTTTTTTGTCTCTCGTAAAGCAGACGTTTCCGTACAGCAGAGTAGTCAGCAGCGTTTACATTTTTAAATGTACATTTCCTCTCGAGGCTTTCCCTTTCTGTCGTTCATTCATTATTATTATTATTGTTGTTTTATGTTCATAACCGATGTAGATTTTTTCGTGTCATCTCATGTTTTATTGTCTGTCTCCTCAAATGGTGTAATTTCGCTGGCGATGTTTGTTGTATGTTTAAAACATAAATGTTTGTAAATTCGGTAAAAAAGAAATGTGCTATTGTTTCCAAGTCATCTCGCATTTCCTTTTTTATTTCTTCGATTTTTTTTATTATTTCAATGTACAAAATATGTTTAAGTACAAGAGGCGAATTGCCGTTCATCGGGCGTGCAATGGCATTCTATTTTTCAAAATATCATGTATAGTTGTAACTATTTGTAATGTAAAATAGAATATAAACAAGATCACCTTATAAAATAAATCGAGCTAAAGTTTACAAATGAAAAACAAACATTTTACTCATTATTTTGCTGAGCATCCCTCTCTGTTCATTTCTAAGCTAATATCTTCAAATCTTAATTATATATTTATTGCATCATGTAGATACATATTTATATATACTTACAATTATAATTATATAATAAATTTACTTTCATAATTTATATTTTTCTTCATATTTTCAAACTAACGAAAAAAATTGATCAGAAATCTTTTTTTCATGAATTAATACATAATGATCAATCTTTTGTAGTATAAGATATAAATGCCTTTCCTTTATTATTCCTATTGCAACCCTTAATAATATTAAATTAAATAATAACTTTTTTTTATATGTTACAGTAAAAGTACGTAGTAAGATAAATTTACCAGCTTGTTTGGTAAATGTGAGTTTAAATCTGAAATCAGCTTCATATAAGCTGAAATATTCCTATTATTTATATCTATGATAATAGCATATATTTTCTCATTTAGTTCTCATTCTATTTGTAACTACAACTTAGTGTATTGTTTAATTTACAAAGTTTTTTTTATTAAATATAGATTTATATCAATTTATTATTGACATAAATCTTTTTCGCCCTATTTCTATGTTTCGGGTTTATCGGCACCCACAAATTTTGTTGGTTTTTGGGAATCGAACCAACGACCTTTCGTATCAGATTTTCTTTATACAGGCAACTAATTTAGAAAGTTATTAACTTCATATCTCCACTAAGAAGAACTTGGATTAATGACTACTCAGACTACTTTAGTAAATCCATTTATTTCTACTAAAATTCAAAATTATCTTTTGGTAAGGTGATAATTTTAGGGTGAAAAGTAACTATATTGACCATCGTTGTTATGATGGTATTCCTGATGATGGTTAAACATAAATACTCCGAGACACTGACCAACACTGACTTGTTTTCGACATCAACGCACAACAGCTTTTATCGTCATACAGTATTTGTTATGGCGACGAGCAGTTCAGATGAGAGCACAGCTCCCAAACATTTTATACTGTCTTCATCTGCGGACAGTGGTAGCCGTCTCGATTTATATAAATCGAAATGTCCTTTATGTTGCAATTTGAGTAACATGTTTTACTGTAGAGAATGCGTTCGAAATGGAGTTTTCTTCTCCTCAAATTCATACAATAAGTAAGTAGAAATTTTACATTTCTTTATCATGTTTGCATCCCAACCTCTCTCATCTACTTTCATTTTCCTGTAGATTTGTTTATAAATAAAAAATTAACTGTCAGATCAGCTGGATACATCATTTGCTTTCCAACACATAGGCGTAACATACATATTTTTAAATAGGGGCAAATCTAAATTTAAAAAAAAAACAACTGCTTGAAAACATATATTAATTTCTATATAATTAGTAATTATAGCTTTTCCACCAAACAATTGCAACTTCTCCAGATGAAGTCAGACAGGAAAGATTTAATAACTGAATACTTGCAAATAATTGAAGACAGGCAAAAATATGAAGAATTGGTAATAACTATTTTAAAATATATATTAGAGTTTTATATTTAAAGATTTTTAATTGTAGATATCAGATGTGAAACTGCGCAGGGAACGTATTCGTATTTATAAATTGACATTGGAAGAAAAACGCAAAGAAAAGGAAATAGATCTGGCCAGGCTCAAGGAACTGAAGGATAAGAACAAGAATCTGGTTAAATTTTTACCCAAGTATGCATATCAGGTGGATAAGTTAGAAACAGATGTTTTAATAAAGAAGGAGAAAGTTGTACAACATAATGACAACTTTAGCAAGAACCATAAGCAATTGAAGAAAATTAGCAGACATCGCATTGAGCAAATAGTACAATTCGTTTTTCCCATCGAGCGAATCCAGCCTAAAAGGTAATAATTGGAAGGAAAACGTAATAATCAAAAATGATATAAAAATTTGCGTTATTTTCAGCGTTGACACTGAACTAATTGGTACAGATGATGTGGTCTCTGCAATAACTGAAGCTGTTTACACAACACATGTGAATGGGGATAGGTGGGTGTACACAGATAACTCCAGTGAGTTGCAATATTCCATTGTAGCCCCATTGTTACCTGGTTCAGGAAATTTTGAAGCTTATAATATTTGGGGTAAGTTTGATGCAAGTTTAGGCTAATAACATTTAACTTGATTATATTTTAGTTACGCAAACGAGAGGCGGAGTACCTGCAAATTCAACCTCCCAAGAACACCATCCAGCTTATAGTATAAGCGCAGCCCTAACTTATACTGCGCAATTATTAAATGTGATCGCATTCTATTTAGATATACGATTACCATATAAAATGATTTATAGTGATTTTTGTACAAACGAAATGGACAGCGCTACATTTTCTCGCCGGGTTTCTCGCCTCAATGCTAACGCTCTTCACTTATGTTACTCGCAGAATGTGGATCTAGATAGTTTAAATCCGGTTCAAAGTTTGCATAACATTTTGCAGCTCATTGATGCAAAGACTACAGACCTTGGGAGGCATGCTTTGTTCGTAAATTTTACAATATCGATTTAATCGCATTTTATTTATTTAAGGTACGGGCCATTTCAAGTGGATTGCAGAGTTGCAAATGCGTTAGAAAAACAGATTGGTTCGAGTTTACAAACTGGTGAAGACTCTGATTCTGAGGAAGGTGACATCTTCCCATATGAATGGGAGGCGGTAAGGCGTTCTATTAAAGTATGTTCTGTAAAGCATAAATTATTATTTACGGACCTTTGACCGAATTAACGTATAAATATCCTAACGAATGTATGTTAGATTGAGACATTATTTTTCTAAAACGTCTGACCAAAACACAATTAAGAAAAAGTGAATCAGTAATTTATTGGTTTACGTTGACTATATTGACAATGATGATAAATATTAAACCTTTTTATAGGTACCACATGTGGAATTACCTGAAGCATCTCCAGGTCCAATGAACTCAACTCAAACGTTGAGCACACAACAAGGCCAAATGAATAGTATAGCTGGCGGGCTATATACCAGTGCTGCTAGCGGTTTAGCCTCCATTTGGAGAGGCTTCACTGGCAGATAGCTTTATTTGCAATATTTTTGACATACTCCTCGTTATTAGTCAATTTTTATTTTACTATTACAACTATATCTAATCTCAGTTAATTTTAAGTATTTAACATTTATTTTTCATATATTCAACTGTTCCTTCAGTTTATTTTATTTTTATATTATAAAGACAGTTCAATGTCAGGCGCGGTCCGTCCATGGATGCGGCTCATGTATAGCATCCATGCACATATGGTTTATGTGGCGCCATGTATGCTGTGGTTACACCGCACACCTACACGAACCGCGCCTCTTCAATATACTTCTATATGTTTATGTACATATATAAGAGACTTATGTAGGCAGATTCCTGAAAAAAGGGTTAGTGAAAGAAGAAAGTATAGAATCATAATTTTATTGTGATATGAATATACTAAGGATAATATTATAACTTTATAATGATACTAAAACTATAGGACAAATAATAAATAAATGTTACACCAAGATATATTTTAAATAAAACCATATTTAAAGCACTTTTATATAAGTATGTTTATAATTTCAATAAACGTTGTAAGCTTTCTAATATTTGAAACGATTTCATTTTTTTTAATACTATTAAATCCGATAGTGAAAGATGCTATGGATTATGTTAATAAAATTCAATTTGTGTGATAACCTAATGCAAAATCTATTCTTCTGTTTGTACAACAACATACATAATTTTAACAATTAACTAGACTAGGGTAATTGCATACTAGCTTGTCCAAATCGAATACAAGATTACCGGCGCATTTGAATTCCGATTGAATGAAGTAGCTTCCATTCTTCTTGCAATAGTAGAATACTGCGCAATTCGTCGGGTCTCGCATGTAGCCTTCTTGACTGCACTTCGTTCCAGTGGTTGGAGGTTGTGTTGGCTGTGGTTCTGGTTTAGGTGTTTGAGTCGTCGAAGGCACCTCCGGTTCTTCAGGGATTGATTTATCCAAAGCGGAGTTGATTTCCTTCTGAATAGGGTTCTTTGATCCGCAAATGCCCTTGAAATCGTCAGTTTCCACCGACCAGATCATCAAACCGCCCAATCCCAAAGACTTTGCATAGTCGACCTATTAAATTGTTTAATTATTTGCTGCTTCATCATTGATTCATTGGTATAAGTACCTTGATGTGGATAGATTTCGGATTGTCGTAACCCACCCATTGATCGCCTTTGTACATGTATGGAACTTGTTGTTTCTCATCCCAAACCTCAGTCCATCCTCCCTGAAGGATTTTCTCGCAGATCTTAAAAAAATGTATATTAAGATTACAGTTCATAAACATGGTGTGGTTTACGTACTTCGTTGTATCCCATCATTCCTGCTTCCATCGTGTATGGTCCTTGATGCCCGGCGTTGGATACGGGAGCACCCACACGATTGTTGGCCTGATTGGATAAAGTGAACGTCCTTCCGTAAACTCCCATACCTAAGACGAGTTTCTCAGGACTAAGTCCCCTGGCGAGCCATGCTTCTACACTAGCTTGCTGAATGAAAATAAAATAAGTACATAACATAGAACATATCATGAATAGCAAAACATACGACACATCTTTCTTTCGCTTCAAGAGACAAATCAACATTGGAGGGATAAAGCGGAGCATTTTGACCAGTAACTCCATCGTATGATCCATGGAAATCGTATGCCATCAAATTAACAAAATCTAAATACCTACAATTTTTAAAATGAATTATAAAATACATTATAGTCATTCCCCGATTAATTTACTCATTCAAAGCAGGTACTTCATAGGAGAGATCAGCAGCAGTTCCTGTTCCCGCAACAGCGGCTGTCAACAAATATTTTTTTCCAGTTTCATCGAATTTCTTCCTAAATAACTTCAACATTTTCGAGAAGTTTACCTGAGGATCAACGAAAATTTAAATATTATTCCCAAAACCATTTACTTTGCACTTACTTTATCGGTGGCTGCACCGCCTCTCCTCGCCGGGTACTCCCAATCCAAGTCAAACCCATCGAATCCGTGTTCCTGCATGAACAGAAGTGCGCTATTCGCGAAGTTTTCCATCAGACGATCATTGGATACAACTTTGGTGAAGATGAGTGATCCCTCGTTCCATCCGCCTATCGCAATCAAAGTCTTCAGCTTCGGATTTTGCTTCTTCAGATCGTTGAAGCGCCTCATCGCGCCCAAATCTATTTCGTTCCATCTATCCAAAATATTGATGCTACCGTCTCCGTTGATACCAACGAACGTATAGATCAAATGAGTGCAAAGATGCGGATTGATATTCTCAACACTAAATTTGCCATTGCCATTCCTATAAGTCGACCAGCTACCAAAGTAGCACACAATCTTATCTGCAAACCAAAACAAATTACATAAAATGAAAATAATTAAGTGAAAATCTCCAAGGTAAATATTTGATTGTATTAGTTTCTTTTATGTCGCACGCACACGCAAAAAATGGACAAATAAATAAACATGTTAGATAATGTTCAAAATTGCATTCAACAATACGTCAAATGAATTAAATTGTGTCCTTTCATGTGCAACTAAACTTTGATAATATTTTGATTTTTTCTGTGAATATTGTTCTTATTGAATTTTGTGTTCTATCAATTTTCATTTTAATATTTCATTAATATACGCATTTATTAGAATTAAATCAATTGTACCATAAAGATATATAAAGTTAGAGTTTTATTTAATAATAGTTGAAAATTATGTAGAGATTAAATAGTTTTTTGTTAAATCTTATCTACTTTCAAATAGGATTTTGTTCTATTTTATAGAACTAATCCATTTGAATAAGTATGTTTGCGCCTCGTGTAGTTGCATTTGCCAATAAATACAAAATAGCAGAGAAAACGTAAAATAAGTTGGATCAAACTTTAACTACTTTTAAATTTAAATCTTTGTATCTTTTGTCGAATAAATATTAGTCAAAAGTTTTGTGTATTTCAACTAAATCTTCCAAAACAACCAATATTTTTCATCTTTTTTACTTTCTAAACTTATAGAAAATGTAGAATTGTATACAAAAATACACTATTTTAAAACAATATTACCATTAAATTAAATATGTAATAAGTGTTTACCTGTAGCTGCTTCTGCTTGAGCCACAAAAGCTGCGGCTGCAATTAAAGCCAGAATCTTCACTAAACTCGACATGTTTCACTTGCAGTATGAAGAATCCTATGTATTAAAATAAATATATTAGCATAAATATTGTCTAAAAGTAATTAAATAATCTGATAAAATTAATCAACTTTACAAATTTATTGCACCAATATTCTTATATGCGAGATTTGAGTATGAGAATACTTACATAAACCAAATGTGCTTTCAGTCGTCGACAATTCAAAAACTGCTATGGGGTTTCGTGCGAATAATGGTTTATATATATATAGAGTAAGGAATGCCTGAATCCCCCCTAGAGCCTGAGCAAATTTATGGAAAAACGAATATTTTATACTCTATTTACTTACACGATTGCTCGAATCCAAATCCTTATCATCCTTTATTATCGCCAACACACACCTGACGCAAATTACGAAGACAATCAGATTTTTTACGGGCTCTCTTTATGTTTGAGCAAATTAATATTTATTTGTTTTAGCATCTGCACTAATCCTCAGAACACGCGAATACCAAAAGGGAAAATAATAAAAAATTCTCCGAATTCGATCCCACTTTTTTTTGGATTACTGTTATGTACGTAAATGTATGATATTATCACAATTATTAAAGTTTCCCGTAGAACGACCAGTCATTATTAATAATTTCGATGAAGGGAATTCGCAAGAAAACCAGTAATTTCCGGTATAGACATGTTTATTTACGTTTGTCAAATCGTTACTAATATTCTCAATAAAACGGATTAAAAGATTATACAGTTATCGAAATTGATTTTGATTTATCACCGTCGAATCATTTGTGCATTAGATCTAGATAGACGCGTGTCGCATTTGCATTATCATAAACAATAATTAAATCAAGCATGTTTATCTTTGTACTTTAGTATAATTTTGCATATTCAAGTTTGATAATCGCACAATTATATCATTTGGTTACATTATTATATCATAAAAAAAATATTAATAGTATATTACATACAATGTATGTCTTTAATGATTCAACTTTTCATATTGAACACGTTTCTTAATCTTGTTATACTTTGTGTGTTTACTTGGATGTCGCAACTATAGTTGTTATTGTAAATGTAAGTTATCAGTCTAGCACCATTTTATTAAACTGTATTATGTTAACAATAACAAACTTTCTGTATATAAATATCTTTGTAATCCAGTTAGTTGCTCTTATTAAATATCCATATTTTTAGATTGATTTTATATTAATTACTTTATTTATTATTAATTAAAATATGTCAAATTAACTTATTATTTCTTAATTCCAATACATAAGGACGAAGTGCTTTCATTTACCAAAATACTTATCAAACTGAACCACGTGTGTACTTAAAATTTAGTAGAATTTAATAGAAAATATTTACTAAAACTCGAATAACAAACTAAGCTAATCAAATTTCAAAACTTCCATTTTATTTACCATTTCAATGGGACTTTGTGTTAATGCGATAAAATGGTTAAATAATATTAGCAATTGGGGCAAAAAGGTTGAGGTACGCTGTTACAGAATATATCAACATATGAAGGGGAGACAAAAAAAATATTTTTGCATTTGTTTTGTTTAATTAGGTCCAAGAAGTGTCCAAATGCTAATTACTGCAAATTAAAACTAAACAAGATTATACAACTGTTTATTTCTCAGAAATAAATATGAGTTAAAAATATGTCACAATTGTTTTGTTCAAATAAAATATATATAAGAGAATTATTTATTATCATTTACAACTAAATTTATAATTATTTATAACCTTTCATTTAATTTCAATCTTTTTTATCATTCGATTAATTATGATTTCCTAAATTAATTATTTGTTCAGTATTTTTATTTCAGCTGTACTTGTAAAAGTTCGTTTGTATCGGTTAACAAATATAATCCGTTCGAAGATATTCGCTATCCGAATTGTTTGTTAACCGATCATCGATTTATGCATAACGAGCATTTCGCTTAACAAGCAAAATTAATTGTAAAAAATGACTCGTGCGCGATGTTTCGCATAACGAGTGACGTTGAGAAGAGAATCCGGGGATTGCGCTCCTGCTACATCATTTTTGAAAATATAAACTCACTTCACGTGTGTGAATAGGAAAACAGTTCCTGGTGTTAGTGGTCTAGTTGCATCTTAATGTTGTTGATGATCACAAAATCTCCAAACGTGTGTTCAGAAATTTGTGTTTTTTTTGTGCAAAATTTAATAACACTTGCATGTCTCCGATTAAAAAGCCAAAGAATACAAATCATTAAAAATAGAGACCAAGTTATACTTTTTTTCTTCGGCATGGAACCCATTAACGTAATTTACATTATTTTATATGGGAAAAGCTGTTTCACTATACGAGTAAAAATCCAAAACATGTGATCGTTGTCCAATTTCTTTGTAATTCAAACTGTTTGTTAAATCTATATTTTACAGTATTATATATTCCAAATAGTTTAGATGCTTGACATAATATCGATAAAACTTGTAAATTCCTTAGAATAAGACATTACATTCAAAATGAAAGTAATAAATTAAATCATATAGAAAATTTGTGAAGAGTCCCAATGGAAGTCTTAAGATTTCTGATATTCGTATAAATATATTAGCATATTGCATGCTAATGCGTGAATTCACTGACACGCTAAACATTTTTATTTAAATTTTCTGTCATAGAATTTTTAAAAACTTACCTTTAAAATTTTCAATTTGAGAAATTAATCATTAATAGATCAAATGAAAACTACGGATTTTACATAAAAAAATCTAAATCTGTAGCACATCCAAAAGTGCGAACAATTTATTTGATTATGTTATTCAATATTTATGTCACATTTATTTACCAAACATAATTAATACTATACTGTAAATTAAATCGTAATTTAAAAAAATACAGTATGGAGAAGGAATAAAAAAATGTAATTGTTTTGTCACAAATATATTTATTCAAAAACAAAATTATAATTTAAATTAAAATAAGCTTTATACTTAAAATGTAAAGGTATTATATTATATATTCTTGTTTTTTTTTTAATGAGTTTTAGAGGGAGATTGGTGTGTGCATAATTAAAATAATTAGTACCGAGTAATTAGATTATTAAATCACCACATATTGTAATCGTCTTCATGATCGAAACTGATGAAGAATCCATACAGTGTCAAGTAGACTACGACGTTGCCGGCCAATGTTAGGTAACAGGCACCCCATTTTATTGTGGGCTCAGGATCGGGCGATCGGGCTAATACGATTGGCAAAGCAAACGAACTAACCACGATTCCCATTGTAATAAATATTGCTGTCTCCAAGCAAGCGTTGCTGGTGTTCGAGTGCTCGGTGTACCTCTTTGCCAATAGGGTTGGAATCGGTGCCAAAATATAAAATAATACTACGAAGAATGGCCACCACAATCTAGAATTAAAAAATTAACATTTTATTAACATATTTAAAGATTGCATTTTAATAATTTTGTAATTTAAACTTCATAGATAACTTTCTGATAATTGATCTAATTGGGCAATACAGTGGAACCTCACTTAACGAGCAGCTGGCATAACGAGCAAAATGAATTGTAAGAAAAATGACTCGCTTAACGAGCGACGTTTCGCATAACGAGTGACGATGAGAAGAGAAGTCCGGGATTGCACATCAGCTACATCAGTTTTAAAACTTGTGTACTTTTCAATATGTTTCACTATATGAGTAAAAATCCGGAAATTTTGGAACGGATTAAACTCATTAAGCGAGGTTTCACTGTAATTAAGTTTATGTTAACTTGCGTAATATAAAATAAATGAACAAGAATAGTAGGTTATGATTCAAGTGATGTTTACAATGTCAACTTTACTTGATAATATTACTTATCAAATATTACTATGAAAATATTATATGTTCAATTGAAACTAAATCACTATTGACCACAAAATAATTGTGGTTTCATATGATAACCACCTATCTATGCAGAGCCAATGATGACATATTCAATCAATAACAAATAACAATGGCAGCAAGATTTTTAAGTAATATGCAGCAAATGTGTATATTTCTAAAATTAACTTACCCATAACTTGGCAAAGCACAAGCCAATATAACAAAAGTCATACCAATGGATCCAGCAAAGGCCAGAGTAATCAAACTAAAAACATTGAGACATTAGTCAATTATAATTTAATTAGAATACCAAGGAAAACACTTACGCTATTGTGTACAACAATAATTGATATCCATTTTGCACCATTTGATTTGTATGAAATGAGAATAGTAATTAATTTAGTATAGAAACAAGTATTTGTTTATATCCTTACATTTGATACCAGCCATTGTATGTTTTGTTGAAAACCTTGTTGAAATGTACAACAGCTCCAAATATCTGATCAGATCGTTTAATACAAAATAGTAAATCTAATAAAGATACGTAACGATATCCAAATTATGTGTTTAAACGCATCCCGATTTATATATTCACAACACTTTTAATTCCCAAAAAATTCAGAATAATTTCATCTGACAGGAGCTTTTTGACAGTTCAAGATGGTTCAAGATTAGCGCAGATGCTTCATCCAGTTATACCAATTGATAAAATGAAATTACTATAAATTACATCAAAAAATATTTTTAGATGATTTGACAATATACAAATTATATAGATATCATATTATATTTTAGTCATATAATAACTTCCTCAAAACAACAATTTTTTTTTTGTAAAATATACTAATATATATAATCAATTTTATAAATATCGATGTTCAATTTGTATATACTTAAAACTATAACTTCTATACCTGTATAAATAGAAGTTTTATAAATAGGAACAAAAATTAAATTTATATAAATACTTTTCTAGGCGAAAGGGGCGGAGATCAGTGCAGGATTTTTCTAATTGTTTATTTTTAAATTCTAATGACATGAAGATAGCTAAATGGAAATTAAACAGGACCGGATTGTCTCTTTAATGTATTTGATCTGTATTGTTATTATACCGCTCATTGGACAGTAGCTTACCAAAATATTATAACTATGATTTATAAAATTATACTCCTATCCGAAAATAAGAATCCGTTTTAATATAACATTGTTATTCGAGACTAAATATCAATACTAGTGATTGAAGGACATTAAAAACAAACAAAATAAAAGTTTTATTGGCCATTGTAAGAAAAAATACCGAAACTTTATTACTTACATAATTACTTAATTTATTCATTTTCACGGAATATTGTCATTGTTTCTTGCGAACATTTTAAAGATATTGACAATTTTTGACCATATGTTTAAGGATTAAGCCTTATTTGATATTTTTTATTCCTAATAAATAAAAAAAAACCTAATTTTACTTTTCTAAATATAGTATGTGAATTGATGTGAATATTATTAGCAACTTTTGTAACTTACTGTTTAGATTTTCCGTTTTATGGTAAATTATGGTTCAGTATAACTTAATTCTAAAGTTATACTGAGTTATTTTTATTCCACCATTTTCAATGCTTTAAGGTTTAAATTTTACTTACGAAAAGGAAATAGAATGGTTGAGTCAGCTGCAATGTTTCCATTCAGTGTCTTCCATGGTAGTCGCAGGTAAACGAGGATATCGAATTTTCTGAAAAGATAGAAAATACAATAAACTTTCTTTCCTAGTATCTAAACAAACAGACAACAGGGTTCTTGTGACCTTACCAAGAATTACAAGAATTTTTACTCGTAAATAGCTTTCTCCATATAAACTAATGAAAAATAATACGTTTCATCCCGAAAAATAATGTATAACTTGGTCTTGATTTTTAATGATTTTGTTTTTATAATCTATGGTTATTTTTATTCTTTGGCTTTTTAACATAATAATGATAGGGCACTTATACATTTGTGTTTTGCATTAACAGCAAGCGCTAATTATATTTGCAAATTGTAGTCCGATATAAACAAAGATGACAAACAAAAATCGAAGATGTTTAATATATTAAAATATAACCTTTGAAAATGATGTAGCAGGCGAAGAAACGCGACTCCTCTTGTCCTCGTCACTCGCTATGTGAATCATTGCTCGTCAAGCGAGTCATTTTTCTTACAATTAATTTTTCTTGTTAAGCAAAATGCTCATTATGCGAGATTCCACTGTATTATAATTCCATTTTTTTCGATTTAGTTTGCATATATTTAGAATCTGGTATTTCTGACTATTATTTTTGTATACGATTTACAAAGATGTGTTAAATAATAACATTGTTCAATGTAAATAAATGTGAAATGTATATTATTATTGACAGTATAGTTATTAATATATTATTTCTAGATTTATTGAACATAAAATTACTTCAAAATTATGTGCATAATAATAATTGATGTTATTTGTTAAATAAACGCTATTACTGCTAATATCAGTAAATTTATAATAAATATACTATTTTTAAATGATCTAGTATTTCAAATACATAATATTTATAATTACATAAATTAATAGTATTATACTGAAACTTATTTTTATGCGGTTTAGAAGATAGTCCGATAGTTCGGGATATTGGCACCTCCGATTACCCGGACTATGCAAGGTAATGCTTTATTTATTGCTATAGCAGGAGGAAGAAAAAAAATTGTCAGTAATTTAAAATGTTCAGATGTGAAAACGATATCACAAATAATTATAAGCAATAAGTTTATGCAAATATTTAAAATTCTTCTAATGTGTTTAATAAGTTATTTTCTTTTTGCTCAAAAAGGTGCTAGTTAAGTTGCATATTTTAACTCTTTCATAGACTATATGAACAAGAAAATGAATTTTTATCTAACATTGGATGATAGCCCTTTATTTAAGTCCGTCCCTGTACATGAAATTTCTTTATTCTGCAAATTGTATATTAACAATATCTATCCTATTAAGAGAAAAACAATAATTGATTTGATTGTAAAATTTTGTGAAATTGTATCTGTATTTTTATCTAGTCGAGAATTTCAAATAAATAATATACTTGTTTCCATAGTTTGCGTTGGCGAACCTGTCAAAGATGGAGTTGCCAGTGAGTTGGTGAAAAATAGCGCACAGCCAGTAAAAAAGGCCAACGTCATTCGCTAACGATCGTCACTTGAGAGGCTGCCGAGGGTTTGTGTGTTTGTGTTGCTGTCGGTGACTATCCTAGAGGGAAGTAGCTTGTACTTGGATCACAGCTTATTCCTTGCACTAGTGCAAATCTTGCGTCGATACATACCAATCAAAGAAAATCATGGCCGATGGAAAGAAGTAAGTAAAACGCCATTCTACTTTGCCGGTTTGTACCGATGGAAACGACATTTAATTTTTTTTGTTAATATCACTTGTCATCATGGTGGATATAGGACATTGTTCATAAAACTCAAGAACTCCCTATATGCAACAGTCATTATGTAGGATTAATTGCATATAATTACATTTTCTTGTCCATATCACAATACCTTTGTAGATATCCTCTCAATTGCTAATTATATTTTTAATTGCAATCATTATGCATATAATGTGTAAAACATGTTATCTTTTGTTTTCTTTTTATGAAATCAATTTCTTGTTTTGCTATACTTGCATCATAAAACCATAATTACAATGGAGGAATTATTATTATTAGTAAACAAGTCACATTTCACAATGTTATCAATCATTATATGGAATCTAATGATGGATAAAAATATATAGAAAGTACAACAAATAAACTCTTCAATCATCTTGTATGTGTTGTTCATATGTAAATATAATTAAAAATATATAAAAAAAATTACATCTTCACATAAGAAATTACTGTTCCTTTGTTCACAATATGTGAGTCATTGGCATATTTTATTTTATTATTTGTTTTCAGTCCTGATGATTTGGCGACTGCAATCCTTCGCAAGAAGGACAGGCCAAACAGGCTTCTGGTGGAAGAGGCTGTCAACGATGATAACTCAGTAGTTGCACTTTCGCAGGCGAAAATGGACGAGTTACAGCTCTTCAGAGGAGATACTGTTCTCTTAAAAGGTAAAAGGCGCAAGGAGACTGTATGCATTGTACTTTCCGATGAAACTTGCCCGGATGAGAAGATTCGCATCAACCGAATTGTTCGCAACAATTTACGCGTCCGCCTGTCGGACGTTGTATCCATCCAGGCTTGTCCAGATGTGCGCTACGGAAAGAGGATTCACGTTCTTCCTATCGACGATACTGTGGAGGGGCTCACTGGGTAATTTGCATTATAACCATGCGATCAATTACTCAATCTATTTACCGTTTTTGTTTACGTGTTTCAGTAATTTATTCGAGGTGTATTTAAAGCCCTACTTCCTTGAAGCGTACAGGCCAATTCACAAAGAAGATGTGTTCTTGGTACGCGGTGGTATGCGCGCAGTTGAGTTCAAAGTTGTTGAAACTGAACCAAGCGCATATTGCATCGTCGCTCCTGATACTGTAATTCATTGCGATGGAGATCCAATCAAACGCGAGGAAGAAGAAGAAGTTCTTAATGCTGTTGGTTACGATGATATTGGAGGATGCAGAAAGCAACTGGCACAGATTAAGGAGATGGTTGAGCTCCCGCTGAGACATCCGTCTTTATTCAAAGCTATTGGCGTGAAGCCACCACGCGGTATATTGCTGTACGGACCACCAGGTACAGGTAAAACTTTGATTGCTCGTGCAGTCGCCAACGAGACTGGCGCATTCTTTTTCCTCATCAATGGACCTGAAATTATGAGTAAATTGGCCGGAGAGAGTGAGAGTAATCTTCGCAAAGCATTCGAAGAAGCTGACAAGAACAGTCCAGCAATTATCTTCATTGATGAATTGGATGCAATTGCACCAAAACGTGAAAAAACTCACGGTGAGGTTGAAAGGCGTATTGTTTCCCAATTGTTGACACTCATGGATGGTATGAAGAAGAGTTCTCATGTAATAGTTATGGCTGCTACTAACAGGCCTAATTCAATTGATCCGGCTCTTAGACGTTTCGGCCGCTTTGACAGAGAAATCGATATCGGAATACCAGATGCCACTGGCCGTTTAGAGGTACTTAGGATTCACACTAAGAACATGAAGCTGTTCGATGATGTCGATTTGGAACAGATTGCTGCCGAGACTCACGGTCATGTTGGTGCAGATTTGGCATCACTCTGTTCGGAAGCTGCATTACAGCAGATCCGTGAAAAGATGGATCTTATTGATTTGGAAGATGATCAAATCGATGCTGAAGTTTTGTCTTCTTTGGCCGTTACTATGGAGAACTTCAGATACGCTATGACTAAGAGTAGCCCGAGTGCTCTTAGGGAAACAGTCGTTGAAGTACCCAACGTCACCTGGGAAGATGTTGGAGGTTTGGAAGGCGTCAAGCGTGAATTGCAAGAATTGGTTCAATACCCAGTCGAGCATCCTGATAAATTCCTTAAGTTCGGTATGCAACCGTCCCGCGGCGTACTGTTCTATGGTCCACCAGGTTGCGGTAAGACTCTGTTGGCTAAGGCTATTGCAAATGAATGCCAGGCCAACTTTATTTCCGTCAAGGGTCCCGAATTATTGACCATGTGGTTTGGTGAATCTGAAGCCAATGTTAGGGATATTTTCGACAAAGTAAATTTGATTATAAATTAACATAAGCGTTCAGAAAATAATTATTTATATTTTTAGGCCAGATCTGCCAGTCCTTGCGTGTTGTTCTTCGATGAATTAGATTCCATCGCAAAATCTCGTGGAGGAAACGTTGGAGACGCCGGTGGTGCCGCTGACAGGGTTATCAATCAAATCCTTACTGAAATGGATGGTATGGGCGCTAAAAAGAACGTATTTATCATTGGTGCTACTAACAGACCAGGTATTTAAAATAATTTAATTAAACGTTGAACATGAATTAAGTATGATTCTATTTTTCTCAGATATCATTGATCCCGCAATTCTGCGTCCTGGTCGTCTCGATCAATTGATTTACATCCCATTGCCCGATGAGAAGTCTCGCGAGGCTATCTTTAAGGCGAATTTGAGGAAATCACCGGTAGCACGTGATGTCGAAATGACCTACATCGCTAAAGTGACACACGGCTTCTCTGGTGCAGATATCACAGAAATTTGCCAACGCGCTTGCAAATTGGCCATCAGGCAATCGATTGAAAACGAAATCCGCAGAGAAAGGGAGCGTGCCTCAAATCCCAATCACGCCATGGACGTAAGTATTTAAATTCAATCCAATCGATACCTTCTCATTAGGTACTTGAAGTGATAACATAGGAAAAGAAAACATTCGAAAAGAGAATTTAAATTGTTTGTTCGTTTTATTTTATTTCTTAAAGATGGACGAGGACGATCCTGTTCCGGAGATAACCAGAGCTCATTTCGAAGAAGCTATGCGTTTCGCTAGACGTTCAGTTTCCGACAACGATATCCGTAAATACGAGATGTTCGCACAAACATTGCAGCAGTCGAGGGGCTTCGGCACGAATTTCCGCTTCCCATCCCAAGCTGGAAACCCGGCAGCCCCAGGTGGTGGCACTGGAGGCGACCAAGGGAACTTCCAAGACGATCCAGAGGATGACCTTTACAGCTAGACAAAATCGCTCTTAAATTAACTGCAACAACAACAAAAAATAACTTTACTTTTATATTTGTAATTTATTAGTTTTCATTATTATAATATCTGAATGGTTTACTTGTGAACGATAACGAAACGCAAACACACACACACACAGTAATGTTTATTTTCTCGTTATTTTATTTGAGAATAATAATAAAAAAAAGGAAAAAAGTAAAATTGGAAATGTAATGTGGGTTTTTTGGTTTGTGTCATCTGTAAGAGTGAAATTACTGTAAGCAAATGTTAATTCTTTGTGAATTCCTCAAATTATGTTATCAGATACATTCTCGGTAGGTTTTAAAGGAAATAGATTTTTAGTAAATACAATATTTAAGGTTTTAATTTTGATTGTTCTGTGAAGCAAATTACATTAAATTAATTTAATTCGGATTTTCTTTTTATTTATTGGTCTTAATTTCGGTCAAATTCTTATCAACCTAAGCTTTATTGTTTGAAATCAGGTTACTAAAGTATTTAAAAGTACTGCTAGTATACTTTAATTTATTTGCTTGCTACGCTTTATTAATGGGGCGAGTAATTGAATCGATAATTGAGCCCTAGATTATTAACATCTTTTGTATGGCAACATTGTGTTGAATGCATGGAGAGAAATTATTGAATATTATTTGGAAAGATAATTAAATGGACCAGTGAAAAATCAATTTCACGTGATTCATACATATATTACAGATTTCTTTAATACCAACTGTTCAATTAGAGGTTTATTGTTGTCAATATATGGGTCACAAGATCTCTACAAAGATGTCGCTTTCAGTTATCACGTGAATTTACAACAGTAATGATCAGCTGTCTGTCTGGGGAGTGGTTGAGGGTTGTTTTCTTGTTTTAAAGACGAATCCTGGTCAAAACACTTGGGTAAGTCGCTTGCGTAACATCCGCTTTTATATATTTAAGTCACAGCTCCTGGTTTATTCTATTAAATATTAGCTAATGTATTTTCCACTGGGAAGGTATTAACTCAGTCTTACATATTAATGGGGGTGCTGTGGAAACCTTGAACTACTTGCCAGAATGCCCCCATAATATGTGTGTACTTTTCAAATAATTTAATTGCTTTACCTCATTTTCCATCATTTATTAATTGATAGCATGTAAGTGTGGGGAGAAAAATTAGGGTAATTGATTCATGTAATAGTGTTTCCATTTGCTGGAGGGTTCATTCCATACAGCCCCTTGCAACAGTCATGTCAGAATTCAATTTATTTTGGGATTAGAGAAAACAATTCACTTCCAATCATAATTAATTTATCACATTGCCCAAGTCATATGATCAAAATGTTACATCAAGTTCTCATTGGTTTTACAATTTCAAGGCAACAATTTGCCAACATCAGATTGTTTTATGCACATAATTCATTTTTATTGTTTCAGGGTGTTGATATTACTGTGAGAGATGGCTGAATATTGGTTAATTTCTGCCCCTGGGGATAAGACATGTCAACAGACATGGGAGACGATGAACAATCACACAAGCAAGCAGAACAACTTGTGTGCCAATTACAAGTTCCAAATACCCGATTTAAAGGTAATTATAATTTGCAAATTCCATTTTTAAAAAAAGTTACTATTGATTTTTTTGTTAAATTTAGGTTGGAACCTTGGATCAATTGGTTGGGTTGTCTGATGATTTGGGAAAGCTGGATGGATTTGTGGAACAAATCACTAGGAAGGTTGCTTCCTACCTTGGTGAAGTTCTGGAAGACCAGAAAGACAAGCTTCAAGAAAACTTGATGGCTAACAACAGTAAGTCAATAATTTAAGAATCATGGTTATTAAATTCTATCTGACAAGATAAGTAAGTATTACAGAACCAATTAACATGCATTGATTCCATTGCTGTTATTATATAATGATCATGTCTATTGATTGGTTGGTGTAATCTCTACAGTGTGTTTGTGAAAGAATTGACAGTAAATTGGTAAATATGAATGAGAAATTTAGATATATAATATATTTGTACAAGTAAAAATCGTTCTGTTAAATGTTTAATGTTATGTAAAACAATGAGATTGTACTATGTTGTAATTCATTGGTACGAACAGAGGAAAAGGAAAAAAAGAGCGGGCGTCGAGCGACCGTGGACGGGATGCCGTCGTTAACGTCGCGACGTTCTGCGAACTCGTTGCCATCGAGTCAGCACCAGCAGCGACCTTCGTGGTTGACGTTGCGATGTGACGGTGGGGCGTGTCTGGCGGGAAGGGGGCGGCGCGGCCGGCCACCCGATCTCACAAATGGGAGCGGTGACAGCAGCTCCGAAGAGTATACCAATTTGTGCGAAAATTCCATTGGCATGGAAAACAGCAATGGCACTCTACGTCAGGAAGACGAGCTTCCCGGGGAAGTGAGTTCAAACCAGATGTTTGGACCTAGCCTAGGTCAGTGGCACACACTGTTATGTGCCCACAGTGTGTCTTTTGCCGCACCGCGCACCCCCGCCAGGCTTCTGTTAGTATCATTGTTACGTCTCATTGTCCGATTTCCTCTTAAAAATACCATTTGCTTGTTGACAACGAAACACAAAAAACGTAATTTCCAACCATTACTTGATGTGTTGCATTTTTGATGTTTATATATATATACAGAATGTGTTTAGCTCCGTCGTTATTTCTCTTTAAAACAAACTACTTTGGCTTATTACAAATGAATGGCTTTATACGTTAAATTTACTACAATTCCACATATTCCTACTTACAAATTACGTCTACATTGATACATCAACAGCATTTGCCATTTAATATATGTGGAAAGGTAGTGCTCTTTTATGTTGAACTTAAATGTTAAGAAGAAGTAAATATGTTTCCTTTAATTTCATAGATCAGTTACAATGTAAATAAGTACCTTGTATTATTTCTTATTTACATAGTTTGAGAAATAACTAAATTATTTTATTTTGGAATGTATAAGTCAATGATATGTTTATAGTAGTGCACTTTTGTACATTGTTTTTCGTTTTACTTACTCTAAAGATATTACTCTTTTTATTGACCATATGCATTCTAGGCGACTTGTCCACTTACATCACGAGATTCCAATGGGACATCGCTAAGTACCCAATTAAGCAAAGTTTGAGGAACATTGCTGACATTATCAGCAAGCAAGTCGGTCAAATCGATGCCGATTTGAAAACTAAGAGCACTGCTTACAATAATTTGAAGGGCAGCTTGCAGAACTTGGAGAAGAAGCAGACGTAATATAATCGAATTTTATATAATGGAAATGTTAGATGATCATTAATTTAACTGTTTTAGTGGTAGTTTGCTAACCAGAAATTTAGCTGATCTGGTTAAGAAGGAACATTTCATCTTGGATTCTGAGTACTTGACTACTCTTTTGGTCATTGTGCCCAAGTAAGTTTTCTAGTATAAAATTATTAATAGATTTATTATAATTGGAAATTCAATAGATCAATGTTCCACGATTGGCAAGCCCATTACGAAAAATTGACCGATATGATCGTGCCACGTTCAACTGTGTTGATCAATCAAGATAATGAGTACGGCCTCTACACGGTCACCTTGTTTAAGAAGGTGGTTGAGGAATTCAAGTTGCACGCCAGGGAAAAGAAATTCATCGTGAGGGAGTTCACCTACAACGAGGAAGAATTGGCTGCTGGCAAAAATGAAATTACCAAGTTGGTCACTGACAAGAAGAAGCAATTTGTAAACAGACGAAACAAAACACATGACTATGACTATATGTTTTATTTTAATTTTAGGGACCACTTGTAAGATGGTTGAAGGTAAACTTTAGCGAATGTTTCTGCGCCTGGATCCACGTTAAGGCTCTCCGTGTCTTCGTTGAATCCGTACTTCGGTATGGTTTGCCGGTTAATTTCCAAGCCATCCTGATTCACCCCAACAAGAAAACCTCCAAGAGGCTAAGGGATGTTTTGAATCAATTGTACGGTCATTTGGATAGCAGCGCTTTGCAAGGTTCCGGAAATATTGATGTAAGTTGAACATATTTGATGTGTTTTCAAGATTTATAACTTGCAATATTTATATTTATAGAGCGTAGACATTCCCGGATTGGGCTTTGGTCAATCTGAATATTATCCGTACGTCTACTATAAGATTAACGTGGACATGATTGACGCAAAAATTTAAGAAGTTAGTATAAATTGTCACCAGCCTAAGAATATTTTAGATAATCGTACTATTTCATTTTTAAGCACAACAGTTTTAATCAAATTTATCCATTTTGTTTCCTTCTTTTGGTATATATTATTTTGTTTTCGTTTTTTTCTGTTTCGTTGTAAATAACTTTAGGTGGTGACGAGGCAAACTCAGAAATAATGATCGTACTTTTTAAGCGTACAAAATAAAATTGTTTTTTTTTCGTAAATTAAAACAATTATCGAGAATATTTTGATTGTACTACTTTCGTTTCTCCTTCTTATATAGTCCAGTATTTTGCGATCATTGTAAATAAACATGTAAGTTATATTGTGTAAATACAGAAAAAAATAATAAGATTATTTGAGGTTACGCAATTGTTGAAATGCTCATGTGAAGAGTCTATATGTATATTAATTGATTATTAATTCCACTTTGTATTATAAGTAGGTTCTGCAATTTAGAATTACATAAATCGTTTAATTAAGATGTTATGTAGTTGGTGTTGTTTGGTTTAGTTTGTTATCAGTTACTATTTAGTAGCCATAATTAAATGATAAAATAATAAATATTTAGAAAAAGTAATATACTGCGTTCGATTCTCATTTCTCTCGATTACTAATAACTCATAATATAATTATTGGAAAATGGAAATTCGTATTTTATGATAATGAACACAATAAATTGATCTCTGTTTTCTTCAATGTATCTCCCATAATTTAAGCCTTTTCATAAATCACTTTTATTTAATAAGTCTTATAATTTATATAAGAAAGTTCTTAACATTATTGATTTTAATTTTGAAAATTTCAAAAGAAACTAAATTTTATTTTAGCAAAATTAGTACACAAAATGATCAGATTTTTTCGTTTTTGTTGTTTTATTCCGGTTTCAAATTTATTGGGGTATTTTCAATAGGTTGTAATTCGAATTAATAGTAAATATGGTGGCCTAGCTAGTTGAAATTTATTCTATTCATTGTCATCTATCATGGTATTCTCTCGTGGAACCAATATTTATTTATATCAGGAGTTGAAAGAAGCAGTTTATTTTTAAACTACCAGCAATTTTGATAATCAGAAGTTTTATCAGAATATGTTTCATAATTTTCTGGTCTTGGAAAATGTAATGGAATTGTTATGAAAATAATACATTTATTATTATACTTTGCACAAATTAACGATTGTTTACATAAGTAATGTATTTACTTTTCGTGGAAATGTATCGTTAGTAAACATGAAAGAAATGTTAAGAGTAGATATTACCAAATGGTTTAATTGTTATTGTCATGAACATAGTAAATGAAATAGTAATGAATTAATTCAAGTGGTCGATAATGCATGAAATCTAACAAAAACAAAATTATGAAAAGTATGTGTCGACAGTTTTTGATAAATGTACATAAATTTGTGTGTTATTGCAATGATGAATATATTCCCAAAATAAACAGAAAAATATGAATAATTCCATTTATTTCGTAGAAGATATTGTATTGTAGAAATGGTGTTAAGGTTTATCATTATTTATATATTTTAACATAATATATAAATATAACAATAAAATTTTAAGTAATTTTCAGTAAAGTATAAATAATATAACGTAATCTAATGTAATTAATTTATTTTGATATACCCATGACTAATAAATATATATGATTGTATATTTTTATTGTTGGAGATATTATTTGTGATAAAAATAATGCAAACGAATCCAGATAATATAAAATAATATTTATATTCCTTATTTGTACTATATACATTTTTGGTATGCTGTACGGACCCTTTTTTCCTTTTGAAGCTTATTGATCTTCAATTTTTAATATAAAGTTTTATAACTTTTAGTGTAGAATAATATTTCGTAATATAAAATAAAATACAAAAAGAACATTGGAATCGATAAACAACGCATTTCACGAATACTTCAATTAAGTAAATGCTTTTTGTAAACTAGTATATAAAAATGGACGTGAAGCGTAACTAGTAAATTAGGAATATCATAATTTTTTAAAGAATTTTATTGAATAAAGAGGATAGTGCAATCTTTCACTTTTAAAATAAGTGTTTTATTGTACTTTTCGTTATTGAGATATCGTTTATGATGCAAGATATTTAAAGATTCCTAGCACGTATTCAGTGTATTCTGAATACTGGCATGCCTTTCGCTTTTAATTTGTGAGGGGTTGAATTTATGTGAAAATTGAAATGGTCAAGGTGCATCATCGTCTTTAAATTGTAAACATGTAATGTATTTAATATTAATAATGTGATACGAAGAACATATATCAACAATTGTTGAACTGTATTTTTGTCGATTGAAACTAATAAGTATTTGTATTTCAAAATGTGTTTATGTTGCTTAGATCAGTTTAGTAAGTCGCTTATGTTTTTGAAACATTATTTAATTAATCATGTAATATATATTTAATTCAAATGATATGAAAAACAAATATTTTTATGTTGATTAAGCAAATGAGTATTTGTATTCCAAAATGTTAGATTAATACAATTTTAATGAATTAAAGCGCTTGTATAACAATATGTTTAATTAATCTATTTATTTATATTAATATTATTATTTTTTTATTATTATAGTATTTATTTTCACAATCTATTCCTGTAAAAATTAAGTAAATTAATATAAAATGAAGACCAATTATTGAACATTATTTATGTCGATTAAAAATAATGAGTATTTCTATTTGAAAATATGTTTGGATAAATATTGATTGATCAGTTCTACGAATTACATTTTTATGGATGGTATAGAAATGGTAAAAATTTCTTGTGAAATTATATGAAATCCTGGGATTGGCAGAACTGTGCGTCATTTTGAATATTCTAAAAAGTGATTGAACTTTTGACAACTGTGTGACGTTTGTTATTTTTTTCCCCCTGATTTTGTTGTTATGCATGTTACTTGCGTTTCTCACCCGATCTGTCCTTAATCTACGGGCCTTATCAATTATGTAAAGCATCGGACTTCTGAAGCGGTTCAACTGTGCGTCACGTGGGTGCACGGTGCCGATAATATTTCTGGCCGTAAGTTACTTTCCCCAAAACCTATACCCATATCCATCATCGCCCATCAACAATAATAAATATAAACCATTTTCGCATTCCACATTTTTTGAGAGAGGTAAAGAAAGAAGCCTCTGGCCGAACGAGCGCAGCGCGAACGGAAAAATCCGTTATATCCCCACAAATACCATCTCGTCAGCCCGTGTCCGGCTGTCTCCTCCAGTGCGGCAGTCGTTTTTGCCATCATCAGTGTCGCGTTCACTCTCATCGTGATCACAACTCCTCCACAGCCACACCATCAAAATGATGCATACATTTTATAGAAGCTGCAACTACACTATGGATGACCGACATTCCTATGAAAAGTTGTCCATCAGGGATTCTGCCCGATACTCTAAGAAGTATGGCAGCACCAGCAGCAGGAACAACACTCGAAATGAATCTTTTGTTAAGCACATTGTGACTGGAACAGATACCCTGCAAGGATTAGCCCTTAAATATGGAGTTACTGTAAGTGATGAACCCAATTTCTATTCTTCATAATTCATTCTACATAAGATGTTGAAACAATTGACTTGCAATTTGCACCAACAGAGAATGCCAAGTATATTCATTCACTACAGTAAATTACATTTTGTAATTTGGCAATTTATTTTGAAATAACAGAAGAGGAGAGGCATGCTTTAATGAAAGGCATTTTTTTGTACTCTTTTATTTATAATTTTTAGCACAGCACAAAAGAGAAATTTGCAAGCTGACAGCATCATTAACAATGACGAAATATTTTCACTTTTTTAAGTTTTGAAATTTTTATTTTATAATTTTATTGCTTGATGCAAATTCCAAATGGCATCATGCAAATTTTTCTTGAGAAAAATTGAATTGAGATAGAAAAAATCATAGAGCCCTAAACAACAGTTATAAAAACTGTTCTCAAGATGGAGTATCAGTTCTTGCAGAGTCATAGAGACCAGTCAGTTTCACTATTTAATGGCCCTAAACAAATTTTTATTTCCGCTTTCACGAATTGCGAAGTTCAGCGGGATATTAATTCTACCATTGTCCATATTCAATTTATAGATAACGCATGTCCCAATTTTGTAATTGTAGTCCAAAAGATTACGCAAAAATTGTATATTTATTTAAATTATTACGGCCCTATTTCTGCTATTCTGCCACGTTTTAGGTTATCAAACAACACGCTGCAGTGGATATTTTTTATTTGGTTTGTGTTTCAAACTCGCCACCTTCATATCGAATTTTTTTGATACAAACTTTGTAATTAAAGACATAAATAAATGAAATTAATAATATGTTTACTTTTCCAATATGGTAATTTATGGATAACGTTTACCCCAATTTTGTAATTGTATTCTTAAAGACCATATTAATTATCAAATGGTAATTATGACGATAATTCATTGGTTTATTAATATTTAAATATCTGAGAAAATCAGTTTTATAAATAATATTGCATTTATTTTCTGTGCTGTAGACATATCATTAAATAAGTTTATATAGAAAATATATCTTGTTTGCATTAATTGATGTTTAAAGCAAATTGTTGGTACAGCACAAAATAAACAGATAAGTTATTTCCCCCATCGATTTGGTCGACAAAAATACATTTACGATTGCGTCAAGTATATGGGATTAATTCGAAAGAATCACTAATCGTGTAGTTCATAATTTTATAATCATCTACTACGCCTCATAGGCTTTACATTGGATTGCATAATCCTGTAATTTTTATAATTATGCATGCGTAGTAGAAACCTAATAATATTGATACACTTCAGCTGATCCAAGCTTAAAAGGTTATCATCAAGTGTGTCGTTGCCAGTACACATATCACTTTTTATTTGTCCGTCCAAATAAGTGTGTACTTTTCTTATTTATCAGTTTAGATGTATTAATGTATTAATGTAGATAATCTGTGCATTTTGACTCGTCGATTATTGAATAATATGCGTGTTTAGCGCGGTTTTGTCCTCGATATTAGCGAATTCCTGCGAAAACCAATCGAACTTGTATGAGTCAAAATGTAATCCAATAAGTACATAAAACGCGTATTAGATAAAGAAAAACCGCCTTTTGTTTCGATCGAATGTCAGTCTACGGACAATTTACTTTCATTCAATTAAATATGATTAATCATTTTCGACTGTAACGTGGTTATTCTCGGAATACATTTTGTTTTCACGTCTCTTTATTGCGATGAGCTAAACCGGTTCAAACCGAGTTCAGTGCTCTTAAAGTAAATAAATAATGACAACATTTATGAAAATCTGTTCACTTTTTGTTGTTAACAGATGTGGAATTTACGATATTTAGACTAGTATTTCAATCGTTGGAAAAACGTCAAAATAACGGATATTTAAAGTTACCTAGCAACACCGAGAATTTGCAATTTTTGGTTCATATTTACTAAAAATAAATCATTAATACTAAATTATTAAATGTTATGTTACAAGTTATTAATTCATACACTGTTCAACATCAACTTATGGCATTTGAAAACAAGTTTCAAATACATTACATAACGCTCATTTACATTAATGTATATAGCAAGTACCGCTATTAATCTGAATAAATTCATGTCAGATTGTACGAAGATCATATATCAAATCTCAAAATAGAATGTGCAAATTTCACAAACTTTCAACTTGCAAATGAAACTCGACAGTCTTAAATCTATTTTAAAGTTGGTTAAAATTGGAATCGCCCGGAAATGTATACATCAATAATCGTGTTGCTGAATGTTTTTTCTTTTACAAAAATAACCGTAAATATTTATGTTTTTTCTGCAGCGAACGAATAACAATGTTCTCATGTGGCGATACTTTTTAATAATTTATGTACTTTATATGTCAATTGTAAATTTCCTAAAATAGGAATTAGATTAATTGTAAATTAACATCGCTCGATCTAGGAAAAGGTTCGCACTTTTCGAATTTTCTTGCATTAATCATGCAATTATTTTCTGCTCAAGGTTTCTGTTCTTAGTTTATTTAGTCATTTAAATTTATTCACGTCATAGAAAATAACCGCATTTCAATCTTATTTATATTTTTATTTATGTCCACAACAGTTAATTAATTCGTTTTATATGCGTCTTAAAAGACGTAATATTAAATTAATTTAGCATATATAACTAAACATCAAATTAAAAACTATTTGCTCGGTTAAAAATGACATGATTACGATATAATAATCATATAATAATGGCGTTAAATTTGTTTTTAAGTTTCATTTAAAACATATGTCGTTAGCTGTGTTATGCATAAGTAACGAACCATTAAATATAACAAATTTGATAAGTTCCGAATCTATTGACGTTTTATTGATAGTAGTACAATGCAATTATAGAATTGCATAAGAAATTCTTTTATACAGGATGTTAATTAGTGTATAGTTAAATTACAATTTAATTAAAGTAAAAAATAATACCAATGATATATGTAAATGAAAAAGTAGAGTTATTAAAATTGTAAGTTTAATCATATAATCCATGCATGACCGGAGTATGAAATTGGTTTGGACCTTGAGGCTATCGCAAGATTAGTTGCAGACGAAACAAGCAAGCATTCCGGCCCTGGGGTTATTTTGAATTGCGAAGGAAGAAAGTGTTAGCAAAGCGCGCGCTCCACTTTATTAAAGCAGTTGAATTGGATTATAGTTTGATGGCAATTTGTATGTACTGTTGGCACATAAAGAGGTGGTCCTACAGAAAACGGATTGCTGTAATTAGTCGAACGGATCAACCAATTTATCGGCCTGAGTCACGGAAGGCCAACCGCTCATTATTTTTAGGATCTCTTCGAAATCTGTGTAATTCTTTGCACTATTAATAAGTCACATTTTCGATCAGCTGAGCGAAGAGAAAGGTTGCCAATTCTTCTCGTGATTAATATTAGTTTTTATTTTGTTTCTTCTTCTCTCCTTCGTTCGATGCGTTCCAGGAAGTGCTTTCAAAACGTGCATAAGCTGTTTTAAAATTAAATTTGTGTACTTTGGTTTGGAAATGAACGTTATCTTCTGTATATTCAAAAATAAACGAGTACCGCATTCAATTCGATCAGGTATTTCTGATATGGATAGATTAGAGGTGCTAATGAAACACGTCATTAAGATTGATCTTATCCGTTTCTTTCGTAGATCCAGGCACTGAAAACAATGCATACTTTTCAGTTTATTTATAGACCATTCAATGATAAACCGGTAATAACTTTTACTTCCTTAATTTTATCATAAAATATATAGTAGATGTAAAAGAAACAAAAACTTTCCAATTTTATTTGTAGAAACGATACTAAATAATAAATAGCGGAAATAATGTATATGGCAATTTTATTAACTTTTTTAAACGTCATAAGTTTATAAAGAAATATTAAATTTATATGGTTCGGATTAGTAGTTTCAAATTGACTACAAATTATTCCACATAAAATGTTTGTTATGTATTACAAAACTTTTGTAATGTTAACAGCAATAATAAATATTTATATATTACCTCACAGTAGACATAAGCATTGTCTAAATCTTTAGCAACTTTGGTATTTCTCTCATCTTGCAACTTTAAATTTTAAATTACCGGTTCGATATGTTGAAATCTTGATCAATGCTTTTAAGAGTAACAGAACGTCTTTCTCTTCTATTGCTAAGAGGTATTCAATCTTCACTTGGCTCTACATCAGTTGCAGAAATCCAATCTATTACATGAAACACTTTTAAAAGAATCAAAATTGTCAACATGAAAATCTGCACACTATAATAAAGAGATGACAAAAATCAAGTATCTTATTATATGTTAACTTTTGTAGAAGTGGCACAAAACTGCGACCAATAGCCTTTTTTATGTGTGTTGAAAATTAAGTTTATTATTTATGATATAAGTTATTGTTTCATAAATATTAATAGGATATACAGATAATTAATAATACAATCCGAACGATTACTATATGGAAATTATTTTTACGAGTTATCATAATTAACCTCATGATTGTTACTACGTTTCACATCAAGTCAATTAACATTTGAACATATGAACATTTAACTTCTTACTTTGTTTATTCTGCAAGGTCACTCTTTTTATATTTACAAATAAACAATAGCAGCAATAAATTAAACCACCATTTGTAGTTAGTCGTTTCCATATTAAGTAGGTGGATAGCATTTTTGATAAAACTCTTGTTCCTTTTTTGTTATAGTTTAGCTGTCAATTTCCTATTTTAAAATATGTGAATAATTCTTAGGTTTATTATTATTTCAACAATAATACAATCTATTAACTAACCACACAAATACGTTTGTTTGGCTAATTTACTGTAGTTGATTGTACACGATAAAGTAATTATATTCATCGTAATAGAAATATTGTGTTTCAATCAATATCGTTCGTATGCGTCACAATCAATTAGAAAAGAATATATAGTCACTGTGTATTGTTTGTACCGTACAATAAAACTTACAACCTGTTGCTCATTACTTATTTTGATCATTGAGAATTATAAGGATTATAAAGTAAAATAGAAGTAATACAGATAATTTATACGATTTCTATATTATTCTATAATACGATTTCTATTTTTTATATAACACTATAGTATATAAAATTTAAAATCATGATTTAAATTATTTTCCTAATACAATAAAACATTATCATAATTTATGTGTTTCGCTGTAGTTTCAAGTGTGCTATGACATAAATTAGTTTAAAAAAACTGATATAGAGTATGATTGTTCCCGTATAATGCAAATTTAAATATCCTTCCTCTATTGGTTCTCTTATTTCCGTTTTGTTTTGATAATTTTTTATGTAGATGTATATAAGTAAATATCTTCGTGTATTTCGTTGAAATTGTGTATAGGGTTTTCCAATATTCGTGGTTCACCTTTGGAAACATCTTTGTTTTTTGAATGAAAATTTTTACGAAATATCATCATGGGAAGTTGGACAATAAGTAATAACTCACAGATTAGCGGATATTTTTATTTTTACAATTTTGAATACATTTTTTCCAAATGCGGCCCAATTTCTGCCAACCCTTTCGATGATTATCACCATATTATGCATTTTCCTTGAACTAATTTACTTAGTTGTTGTTATTACTTAAATAACATGAATAATTCATATTGAATTATGTGAACTCTTTATAAAAAGATGATAAAATCATTTTCATACTTATTTATAATAATTGAGAAATATATTTTTAAAATTTACACAAGCAAATTCTTATTATAAGGATCTTCCATGAAATGGTTTGTGTAATATTCTTTATATCAAATATATCGGAATCTGACTGAATAAACTTTTATTTTATATTTACCTTGATAGATTGTCCTACCAAAGAATGTGAAGATCTTGAAGTCGACTGGCTAGGTAGTAGTAACAACTCCAGAGTCAGGTTTATTCTTTGTCTGAATCATTTATTTTGATCGTTTCATATCTCAACTGAGATTTATTTAAAACTGGTTTTCGAGCTGTTTCTATTTCAGTGGTATAAAAATTAAATGATATGAATCATGCAAAGTCTTGATTTGTGGTAGCAGTTTAACTTGCTAACAAGTTAACAAATATATAATACAAATCCTTAATTGGCTATCAACCTCGAGATCATTCAGTTAATGTGTATTGTTTTAAAACTTATTTCTTTAGTAAATCGTAGCGAATTAAGTTATCAAACAAATAAAGTTCCGACTTAGAATCTTATATAATTTGATCAAAAAACGCGTCATTCATTCATGTAGCTTCAGAATCTAAGATCCAAAAGTATTATTTGTATTATCGATATTATTTTTATTGAAATTGTAAATTAATTATAAAACTGGATCAAGTAATATATAAATTTCGCAAAAAAAAAGAATTTTCCTATTTTATTTAAAGTTTATGTAAGTGTAGATAATGTTAACACACAAATCACATGTCAGTAATTTGAATATTATTTCTTATCGCGCTATGAAGATTAAATTACAATTTTTATGATTGGTTCCTATTACCTCATTATATAACGTGGTATTAATAAAGATAAGTCATCGTTATTAGTTAACAATTTATATTGGAAAAATGTTTGTAATATGTTATTATTTTGTAATGTAATGTAAAAATGCTGGCAGCAGATGATAATTAGAGATATTTTTTGTTTTCTAGATGGAACAGATTCGACGGGCGAACCGTTTATTCGCCTCGGATAGTCTGTTCTTGCGAGAACACTTGCTGATACCTGTGCCCGAAGGCTACAACGGCGGGGAAACCCCAACAACGCAGCTAGTGGATATTCCCGTATCGCCAGATGCGAATTCCGATGCGGAGAGCAGTGGAGGTTGTGGCATCACCTCTTCCGCCGCCTCCTCCCAGGTCACGTCTCCAGCCAGCTACGATAACGAAGACGTTGCCGAATTCCTCGTGAAGATAGATGCCGCCATTGCGAACACCAAAGCCGACGTGAAAAAAATACACAAAAACAGCGAGTAAGCAAGCATTCGTAACGCCAACTGCAAACGTGCGACGTTCTAAATTTGTTTTTCTGTAGGTTTTCAAATTTCGATTGTGGATCGGAACGGAGGAAACCGGCCGTCAGCCGAATGAAGCAGATGGTAAACAACAATGGTACCAGTGATATCCTGAAGACACCGCAGGCGGTAGTAATGACGCAGGGGAATAAAATTAAAACCTCGATGCGCAGGTACTCACAATTTACCAACCAAGAAAACCCAGTTTAATCACGACTATTCCCATCTACATCCTATACTGTTCCTGCATATAATTGAAGCAAACGGAACGGAAAAAATGTGCGGCAATAGTTATTTGCTCGTTAAACGGTCGATTTCATTTTCGAAACGTAAATATTTATGGAAATTGTCCGACGACGGTAGGCGCGCATCGACGACGTGTTTATCTTGCTTATATAACCGTAATGGGATTGTTTAATACTGGTTCGTAAAAAGGTTTCCTCGGTCGTTTCCTTTTTATCGGCCCAGTACTAATTGGACGGTTGTTTACTCATTAAGGATTTTTAGTCGGCTATTGTTAAACGAAAGCGCGATTCCCATCCGCCTGTTTATTCAACTCGTTACCAGTGTGCACGTAAGTGATCTCAAATGACAATCAATTGCATGCATGTAATGTCTTCAGGTATCAGCAACAGCAAGACGAGTTGTTCGAGTTGTAGCGACGATTGGACGATCGTGGGTGTCCGTTAAACTCCGTAAGTCCGAACTATCCGCTGGCGACGTAATCCACTCTGTGCGACGCGAGAGCAGCAGCTATACGAAAACCGCAGAACCCATCCGACCTCCCCCAAAATGCACCTCGTCGACATTTTCCTTCATTAGCAATACTAGATGACAATAGCGACTTCGATCGTACCCCCAATCAATACGTCGGGAACACATACAGAATTCCCAGAGCACATTTAGTTAATTTATAATTAGAATATCAAAACCTGCTTGCCATGGAAACAAAGTGTCTCGAAATACGTATTTATTTAAAAAAAAAACAAATAATAAGTAATATTTGGATTAAAGCACCTGCAATTAACTTTGTGTCTGCACAAGGAAATTAAGTTATTCTCTGTATACATGTATTCATATTTTACCTGTTTTATATTATTTAAACGAAATATATATGCATCTATGTTTTTCACATACATTTGTTTACTTTGCTCATTTATAGCGACATATCACGGTTGCCTTTCACTGCGCTCTTGTTTTTAATACTGATTTCTGGATTTCCACTGATCGAGGGTTTGGATTGTTCTAATAGCCACTCAATTAATGAAATAAATCTATTACTGTAAATATTAACAAATTGTGTAGATATTATCATTGGAATAATGGATCGAACAATGTACAGAGTTGGAAAGAATTATAGAATTCTTTCAAGAAATGAATGTGTAAATATATGAACCTAATTATTTAAAATTTATTTTTCTATTGATACTTTGAAATGAGCTCTATAAAATACAACTATTTCATCGAAAAGTTATTAACATTCTCTTTATTTTTCAAATCAATTGATTCTGGATTACGATAAATTATTTGCTGTCTGTATTCAACGTACTGTGGAATCTTGTTGCTAAATCCCTGTACTCTTTCTCACTGTGTGTGTAAATTAAGTAAAATTGTTAGAGATGAGTTTTGTTTGTCGGAATATGCTATTATGTAGTGTTAATTATATATTTTAATTATTGTTATATTAAATACATACATATCTGTGCAACTGTCGATACTAAATATGCATTGACTATGTTTCTCTATTAATTTTATGTAAACAGGACATATTATTTTTGTATATTTGTTTAGTGTATAAAGTAGCTTTCTAATCTGTTCCTCCACTTTGTTATTATCAATATAAGAAGATATTTTTAAAAATAATCAATCAATTTTAATTGACATCCACCTGCTTAGCCACCAATTCCCTGATCCTCTCGTCATTCCGCAGAATATTATACTTAACAGAACTGATTTCTTCGCGCTGCTTCCTGATGTTATCTTCCAGATCCTTAAGCTGTTTCAGAAGAGGTTGGTTGGACTCGCTGTTTAGCCTGAAACAAACTCAGCTCTTCGATCGGCTAGACATGTGAGAAGTACAAAGGAAAACAGAATGTGCCGCGTGCTAATTCCTTTAATTCCCAATTGTGTTTGTTTTAATTAAAACTGTTTTTTATTTGCATTTCTAGTTTGAACGCAAAACTTCTCTACCCACCTTTTCTGCTTGGAAATTTCTAATGTAAACTGTTGCTTCATGGCGGTCCAGGAAGCCAATTCCGCGTGCATCGCTTCAACATCCTCGTGCAGATAACTCATCAATTTTCCGAGAGGATTTGCGGTCCTAGTTAGAGACTGAATGGAACCTCGCAGTTGGTTTATTTCTTTGGTCGTCGCGTCTCTTCCTCTGCCACCTGAAGTAATCCCATCACTCTATTCATTATTATCGACAGAACACCAGCAATGAGAATACTTACTGTCTTGTTGCCAATCTATAGTTGTTCCTTTGACATGTTCTTCCAACTGCTCAGGTCCTTTAATTTGTTCCAAAATTTGCTCCACGAGATGACCTTTGTCTGCAGGCATATCAAGGCTTTTTTCGAGAAGCTGAGTATCTTGCAGATCATCATTGGCAGTCTCTACGACAACCGTCTCCTCCTCGTCTTCTTCTTTTGCATTGTTTCCATCGAAGTTTTCAACGATAACATTGATTTTTCCCAATGGCACAATCTCTCTTATAGGCAATGCCGAATCTGAACGTAGTCTTGGGGCTCCAGGTCGAGCGCTTGATGGTCGAACACTAGGAGGTCGTAGAAGCGAACTTCGAGGTCTAACTATATAAAAATGATTAAAATATATACATATACAAAATGATTATTTACATTCAGGCACTTTGGGTGGTTCCTCTTTAGGACTTTCCTGTACTTTAGGTGCTGGTTTAGGTATTTCTGGAACTATGACTTTCTCCTTTCTGATATCCGAACTGCGAGGTCTTGCCGATTTCGGTCTTACGCTAACAGGCCTTTCTACAGTCTCAGAAATCTCTTTGATTATTTCCTGTTTAGGTATTTCCACTATTTTTTCATCATTCTCTTCTACCGAGTCCGCTCTTGGAGACTCTATTGATGCATTCTCCACCATAGGTGTTTCCGGTACGGGTAGTGACTGCTTAGGACTATTCAAAGTTCCTTTAGGAGATTCCTTAACTTTTGTCTTTTTGTCAACATCTTTTGTGACAGCGTTACGAGGACTAGCGTTTACCTTCGTCTTTGTCTTCGGTGTTTCAACTTTCAAGGTAGAGGAGGTCTTTGACGTATCTTTCTTAGATTTACCCTCTTTAGAATCTTTGCTCGATTTTGACGATACCTTTTTAAGTTTCTCGGTTCCTGCGCGCTTTGCTTTTTTGAGTTGCAATACATACTCTCTGCTATCTAGTTTCTTGTCAATGCAAGTAGCAATGCTCTGCAATAATTTATTTGTTTCTACAGGCTCCAAACCAGCTATAATTTTACTTGCTCTCACTTGCAGATCAACGCCACTTATAGATTCTAAAATATATATTCACAATGATATTTCTACAATAAATCTATTGGAGTACTTACTAACAGCCGTTATTAGTTTATTAAGAAAAGCCAACTTGTTTTCCCTATCCTTCACGTTATCTGATAGCAACTCGGAATCACTGAATAGGCCTTTAAGAAAACCCGTTTCCCTAATCACGCTGTTGATAACATCGTGAAGGAAACGAAACGGTGGTTTCTTTAATAATTTCTCAGTAAGCGGCGGTTTTTTCACATATTTTCCCAAAGACTTTTGAGTAGTTGATATAATTTCAGGACTTATTTCTTCAGCCATTGCGTTTTGTCAGTAATTGTTTGTATTTGAATGCACATTTCCGTTGCTAAGGTAACTTATACGGAAGTACCATATTAAATTATACCTATATGGAATAAAACAACTACTTTCATATTATTTTTTTTATAATAATTATATCATGCTTGTAACTTTCTACTAATTGCTACATAAACTACAGTCAAGTAAGTACCATGAGTTAAATATGTTTGAATCATACGAATCTTTCTGCATTGCGCAAATAAAAAAATATTTCCTACTGTCTCCATTTTTATTATAATGACTTGTATCAACTTGTATGCTGTAATGGCTACCCCCCACTTTGTATACAAATAGGCAACTGTAGACGCGTAGCTACCAACTTAATTATAAAAATGGCGCAATTTCCAAGTGCTCGTTATTCAATATTTGCAAAGCCTACAGGATCAATATTGGGCAAACATCAATTTAATATATCTTAAATAAAAGTCTGCTTATACAAAATGCATTATGATCGTGTAGAGTTTTATGAAAATCGAGTATCATCAAGAGTGCGTGTTTAAATGTTGTTTTTAAAAATTGGCAGCATTGGATGGAAATGGCCTCGCCTGAAATCTAGTCCGTCGACCATTTCGTTATACGCGTGATAAAGCGGTTGACGATACTACAGGGGCGTAAGTAAATTCACATTTAATTTTCAAATAAAAAGATTCTACATTTATGCCACACACAGTGCATACAAACGTTATGCAAAACTGGGCACTGATATTAATTTTCCAAATTGCTAAGGGTGCAGGGTTGATGCTCTGCTACATTGCGTCTGTAAAATGTATCATGAACAGCGACAGCCATAACGGTTATAATTGAGATTCTTTATGTGCCATTCCGTTCCCTCCGCTCGGTTGTGTATTATTTTGGCGGGGTGAAAGCTATCGAAAATTGTCTTTAATTGTAAATCCGTGCCATATCTTTCAACCAGCTGCACTCTCGTCCAGATTATTAGTTAACTTAACAAGCTTCGTAGTAGAAAACAAAGTTTCGCGTTCTGTTTTGGGGTTCGTTATTTATGCACATACATAACCTATTATGTGTTTTGATGGGACGGCTGCATAAGCGTATTTGTAATTATACTGTTTACTACTCTAAAATGCAACAGGCATCAATTTTCAACAAATGTGTAGAATCTTATATTTGTAAGTTAGCAGATGAGCCGATAAGTTATTGATTATCATTGGCCTTATGCAGATTATGGAGGAGACTTCGCAAGCGACCCAACTGCAGGTAATAGGAAAACTGGAGCCAGTGGCCTGTGAGGAAGATGATGCAGAGGAAGTTGGCATGAAAGAAATGGAAATCTACAATCACTCTGATCAGCAAGTGATTGAAGAAATCCATGTATCCAATACAGATGGAAATCTTCATATCAACACTTATGAAGTTCAAGAGGAAGTAATTGACAACAGGTAACTTTAATTTAATTTCCCAATGATATATTGTTAAACATGAATATGTTTAATTAGTGAATATGAAGAAGGCAGTGAGACTCATCATGTAATCATTACTGAAGATGGGACATTCCTAGAGCAACATCAAGTCTACGTAGAGGAAGAAGTCCAAGATTATGAAGAGGAAGCTCAGGAATTTGAGGAAGCACAATATGAAGAAGCTGAATATGTAGAAGGAGAAGAAATGGAAGAGGATGACCCTGATGAGGATGCACAGTATGTACAGGAAGAAGATGAAGTGGAGACAATATATATGGAGCAGGATGATCATGATAGTGATACTGCTGGTGATGAGGACCCTGATGATCCAGATTTTAATGTGGAAGAAGAAGATCAAGATCAAAAAGATGAGATAAACCCATGTACAATTTGCTTAAGATCCTTTAAAACTACAGCTGTAAGTGATGAGTTGCAATTCGTTGTTAATTTACTTGAAAATTATTGTTTAATTTTATTTTGCAGAGCTTAAAACGCCATATAACAGTAGCACATGGTCAAGAGGAATATACCAATGATGAAGATCCTTTGGCATTTGAGCTTTGTGCTTGCTGTGGGGAGCCAATTGACTCAGCACATACAGTAAGTGCCAATTTACTAATAACCGTTTATCAAATCTACTTTAACCCTTCCTCTATTGTAGACTGGTTCTATAAAGTGCACCCATTGTGATAATAAATTGTTTGATATGCAAAGCAATTTATCACGTCACATAAGTTTAGAGCATCCCGACGAGAAAGGCGTGTACAAGTGCTGCGAATGCGCTCGAACATTCCTTAGTCATGCTGCTATACTTAAACATATGCAATCACATCCGCTGGCAAAGCCATATTCGTGCAAAGCTTGCAACAGGGATTTCACTCGGAAATACCATTTGGAACGCCATGTCGCTCAGACCGGTTGCGATGGTCAACCGAGAAGCTTATTCAAATGCGAAGTACGTTTAACATCTTTTTTCCAATTATTATTTTACTCATATATTCAATTTTACAGGTATGCAAAAAGACGTTTACTCGAAAGGATAACTTGAGAGATCATCTGCGAGCTCACGCTGGTCAGATTAAGAAGAAGAAGGTGTTTACTTGCTCCTATTGTAAAAAGGAATTTATGGGTTCTGCACTTTTAGCTGTACACGTCCGTACTCATACAGGTAATATATTTCTTCTACACATCTTATTACAACTAATTATGTAATTTATTGTAGGCGAAAAACCTTATCCTTGTGACCTTTGTCCTAAGCGTTTTCCATCGAGTGGAGCTATGAAGAAACATCGTAGAATGCATACCGGTGAAAAACCATATCAATGTATGCAGGTAAGATCATATAAACATTATTTAAGTTTATTTTATTGCACACTTATTCTAATGTGTTTAATGAAAGTTGATATGAGCATTTGTATTAATTAAAATGTTTTGTTTTGTGTTTAAGTGTAAGAGAAGATTTGCCGCCAAAGAAACTTTGAATCGTCATATGAGAACTCACACTGGTGACAAACCTCACAAATGTACCTATTGCGGAAAAGCTTTCATACAGGCTGCACAATTAAGGGCGCACATTTTCCATCATACTGGAGAAAACGCGTTTACTTGCCCCCACTGCAATCGAGCCTTCAATAGGCGAATCCGTCTTACCACCCACATCAAGTTTGTGCACGAGGGAGCTGAACCGATGAACTGTCCTGAAGACAATTGTGACAAGACTTTCTATAGGAAGGAAGATTTGGCCAGACATTTGAACCTTCACTCTGGCGAAAAACGTAAGTTTAATTTAAAATTTAACATGATGATGGTTACAGTTAATGTACTATTTTAGCATACGAGTGTGAACATTGCAAGAAACGTTTTGCTGTTAAGGCTTCTTTGAAACTCCACGCTTTAACGCATCGCAAAGAACAACCTTGCTCCTGTGACGAATGCGGTAGAGCTTTCATACGACAAGATTGTCTTATGCGTCATATGCGTTCCAAGCATCGCGATGTTCTCGAAGACATCTTAGCTGGCGCAGAGAAACGTCGGTTGCAGCAGCAGCTTCTTTACGCAGCCACTGATGCTTCTTCAGTGACCAAGAAGGAAATTACCGAATCTCAAATCTGGACTGAGCTAACTTTGACAGATTCGATCAAGGAACTTTTGGGTTTGCTTGTTGATGAGAAGACTCTACTAGGATTCGGATGGCCAGATGCCCCGATCGACAAGATCTTGGATTCCGTGATCAAGCGGTGCGGCCACGAACCGGCTTCTGACAAGGAGTTCGATTACATAAGCAAGATGCGCGAGAACGCAAAATTGTTGTTCACCGTTGTTATCGATGATCAAGCTGTTAAATCGTTGCTGAACAATCAGACTGTCGATGAGGTCATCCAACATGTTCTGAGGCTCGCGAAGAACGAATGAGACGCGTATCGCCTTTAATTTGTATTGATTTAATTTTCGTAATACACTGTATTTCAATTATTATCTATATTATCTTTACGTTCGTTATAATTGAAGATATAATTCGATTGTTTTTTTTATTACTATACATAGTTTTGTAATCAATTTTTGTTAGTCTTAACGAAATAAGCATTTAACCGCATAAGTGTAAATAGAATTAGATTTCTAATAAATTGTTTCTTTAATGTTTTATGCCAAGGCGAAAGTAACTTTCATTTCAGGAATAGTTTTGATACAAGGTGTTGGAGAAAGATATTTTTATTTATGCATATGTGCAGATATTGTATATACTATTTTACAGAAAATAAATATTTTCAATTCACGTTCTACGTTCACGTTTTTCGTATATGCTTTGTAAATTAAAGTGAATAATTAATATGGGAAAATCTTTAGAAATAAATTTTAAGAAGACACTGGTTGAATAAAATAATGATATACATAAGCAATATTTAATTACGGGTCAAACAAAACCAATAATTTTTAAAAGCAACTGAAGTCTTCTTTAATTAAAACCAATTTAATATTTTACATAATTAAAAATTGATTCGTTTCCAAATTAGACAAATAATATGATCTATTTGAACTAATATTTTATATATAAATTATAATTTACTTTTATTGGCTTTCAACTAAAAGAAATGTTACTGAATATGTTTTATCATAATCACTTGCCTTTAATATATTGTGATATCTTATACACATGTTTGTTTTATTGAAATGTTTTACCTACCTACATTTTAGTGTAACGTTCTTGATAATGAATGATAATTCCTTTTAATGCATTTTTTTGTTAAAAGTATTTACAATATACAGAATAAACGAATAAAGTTAATAAATTTTATTAAAAATATTAGGTACAACATATAACATAAAATAGGGATATATATTTATATAAATAATATTGAAATTAAAAAAAAACTCAAAGTTAACATTGTTTGCAATAAAAACCAACTGCAACATCTATCGCAAACAGTGTAGTAGAAACTGAAATTGTAATTATAAAATTACTAAATTTTCAGTCGACACAGTAAAAAATTTCAACAATGCGTAAGATGGAAAATAAAATTCAACATGTGTAAAATATAGGGGAAAAAATCATCAATGCGATGATGCTATGAATAAAGTATTGACTCCATTAACATACAATAATACTACATCAAGAGTTCATTATTAATATTAATAAAATATATTATTTTCATATTACTATAAGATTAATACACCGGACATAATTAACAATGAACATGCAGGTCATAGGGACGGGCCATTCCATCAGCTGATGGGCTCGGAGTTGGTAAAATATATTGGACATTCAACCGACGGAATTATTAAAGAAATTAAATGTAACATAACTATAATAAATCTTTGCTTTTTCACTTTTTTTTAGTCTCCCACTGAAGAAGCTGCTTCATAACTTTTTTTTAAACGATTTCCTTTGTGCATTGATATGACAATTTTGGAGGCCCTCTTATTTTTTTGTTTAAGGATTTACAAGAAATTAACAAAACCACCTAATTCGATAACATATTCTCTATATACTCATTTTCATTTAAATATTATAAAACTGGTATATATTTGTTCTAGTAACTAAATACATGCACTACTAACAGTTTACCGATTAATTCCAACATTAAACAACTTGAGTCTTTTGTTTATGTATATATATATATATTTCTTTTTTAAATAAGTACGTGGTTCGGAAATTGCTCAAGTTATTAAATCTTGGTTGTATAGAAATTATAAACTCACTAAATACTCCAATCCAAAAGAACTACAGTATCTTCGTTTGATAGATATGAAAACAAAAATATAGGAAAAAAACACTATATAAACTTGTAGTAACAAATAAATAAATGCGAAATAAATAATAACGTTTCCTGCAAAACTGCCTTCCCTTTTATAATCGTTTTTTTTTTTTTTCAAATTGCCACAAACCCCAAAAGTTTTAAAATACTATTATTTGATAATATATATAATATACTTTTAGTGCATTACTTTATTCAACTGGTTGGGATTACTTCTCTTCAATTACTTACAATTTAAATAAGGTGGTAATTAAGGCCATAACCAAAACCAGTGGTTTTCGAGACCTGGGCTAGAACATGTCACGGTTACTCCGTGCGTGCCGCCTAGCGTTACGCATTTCCCTGTCCACCTCAAGATCTTCGATCCTTTGAGTAAGCGCCAGTTTCTGTTGGACAGCTAGACGCAATAATTGATTCAAAGTCTTCTTTTCATCTTCGGCTGCGTTGTATTGGAGCCTCAGTTCATCTACCTGAGTAACGTATTCTTCGCAACGAGCAGCAAACATCGCACGCAAACTTGAAAAGGTTGCAGCATCTTCTTTAAGTAGACGCAATTCATTTCTCAGTTTCATCATAGTTTCTGATACTATAGTCTTTTCATTTTCATATTTGGCCTTCAAATTCGTTAGCGCCACCTCTGCTGTATTCTTATTAGACTTGAGGACAGTGCGAAGAGTGGCGACTTGTTCGCGTTTTGTTGACAGAAGACTCTTAAGTCTGATGATCTGTTCTTGCATTTCATCATTGTTTTCTTTAAATTAAATTAGAATTATTGTTACTAAATATTATAATTAAAATTAAAATCATATTACCTTCATACGACTTATCGTGAGTATGGCCTATAGTAGATTTACTGCTTTCTATTGCTGTTCTAAGATGCTTAATTTGATCTACCACCGTCATTACACTCTTTGCTATATTATCAGTATCAAAGTTGTTCAACGAAATGTCTGACTTGATACGAGCCCTTAGAACTTCCAATTTAGACATTTCGCCAATTGGTGGGACAATCTCAGTCACTAAAATACACGAAATAGAATATAACTATGGAAATAATACATTTTCTAATATATATTTTTAAATATCATTAAATAAGTAGACCAGAAAAAAGTGAATGTGAAGTATGGAACTTACTTGGAGTTAAGAGTTTTTCATGGTCTAAGACTACGCGACTTGGAGTCTGGCCATTAACAGTGCAGACATGATAATACAGTTGCGCTAATTCCTCAGTAGCTGTTTGGAGATTGTTCTGAATTTTCTCTATAAAACTGCCTGCTTCACCTGAACATTCCTTTAATAAGCTAAAATCGCTTTCCAGGTCCATACATCTTTGTTCTGCATCCAAAACTTTGTTTTTCAAATTGGTAACTTCATTCCTCAGTTGAATAGTGGTGTCTGATGGATTTGTTATTTTTTCAAACTCTTTTAAGTCTTTGCGCAATTGAGTAAGTTCTTTAGAGAATTGTTTTGACCACTGATTGTATTGGCCTTTAATTGTATCTTGTTGCTTGTCAACGTTTTTATCAATATTTTCAGCCAAATTGTCAAGGCAATCTACATGGGCAGAGAATAACGCTATACGTGACGAAAACACCTGTAAATCTCCTTGACTCTTTTCAAGCAAAACTTGATTATCTCTAAGATTTTGTGTTAGAGACACTTTCTCCTTCTCATATACTTCTAATTGTTTCTCTAATTTTCTCAATTCATTCAAATGTACTTCAGAAAACAAATCTACTTGCTTGCCTAAAATTTTACAATATTGCTGTCAATACACAAAATACATGAATATATTTTTGTTTCTTACCATCTGGTGATGCTAATTCTGGTGTTGTCCCATCTGCAATACTGGCTTCTAGTCTTTGTAAGCCAGGAACGTCATCATCATCAGAACCTAAACCTTGCTCATCAGTCATCCTAATGCTATAAGCTAAATTGCTGATGTTATAGAATGATTCTCTGTTAACATATTGATCTAATTCTTTTTTTAAAGCATATTTAGCTTCCCTTTCAGACTGCAGACTTTCCAATGCTTCCTCCATATGTTTTTCTGTTATATTTTTAAGATTTGAGAGCTCCTCCACTTGCAAATTTAATATTTCAATTTCCTCCTCCATTCTGCGGATTTCATGCTTCATTGTTTCAAAGTCAACCTGAGATTGTCTCAACAAGGAAACTTGAGTTTGCAATGTAATGTTTTCTTCTTCAAGCTCATTATAATCAGTTATTAATGATGTTTCTCTCAATTTGATTTCACGTAATTCTTTTCTAAATTTCTTACATTCACTATCCCTGTCTTCCTTATCATTACCTATATCAGAAATCTCTTGCCCCATCCTGTCTCTCTCCTCTGTGACCCTATCCAGTTCATGCTTGAGTTGTTTGATTTCATTCTCTAAATCTATAATCTGTATGTTAAATGAAGTTTCAAGAGCTGCAGATTCATTCAAGAGTGATTCTTCTGTTTCTATGCCAGTCTTAGTTGTGACTCGGTGACTAGATTGAAATTTAGCTAATGCTTCTTGTGTGAAGATTAGTTCATGTTTCGTATTTTCATAAAGACTCTCCAGATCGTCGCATTTCTGCTGAAGGGTTTCCTTCTGCTCTAATAGCTCTAAGCCATACTTCGCTGATTGAACTTTCTGGCTACTTGCCTGATCCAACTCACGAGACAATCGCTCGATCTCCGCCTTCAGCAAATCCGTATCTGCAACCGCCATCCTTCAACACCACACACACCATACGTTTTTTAAAAGTAAAATAATAAATGTTTGGGGCTCATGAGTTAAAATAAAACATATCTCTTGCCGTTGGTCTGCCCCAATACCAAACTCACTCGAACCAACTCGAACAGTCACGGCAAAACCAAAACGTCAAATGTCAGATTCAGTCAATACCATTGCATCTCACACATATACCCACATATACCTATGCATATACATATATACCAATCTACAAGGCAAGGTTTCATTGGAAGTCGACGTGGAGAATTTTGAATTCATTACTTTAAGTTGGCAACGAAATTAAAATCAAATAAGTTTAAAATTAAATATTTCTATCGATTAAATTATTTTTATTAAATTAAAATCCAATTGGATTTACATTAATCCATTAAAAATACGTTCTTCATTTTTTCATTTTTAATATTAACTACTTAATTAAAGTATTAATAATAAGTTAATATTATTATTACATATAGACTAGATATATTTTCACTAATATTAAACAAAAAAAAAACAAATATATTTATAAAATATATTGGATCTAGATTCAACTTGTTGCATCTAAAATTATGATACCTAAGCAACGGTCCGTTGCTAAAATAAATAAGGAAGTTTGTATCTAAAAAGCAATTTTATTAAGAAGTTATAAAACATTTTAAAAGATCGTTTTTATTAGTAAAAACTGTTATCGGTCTTTATGATATATAGAGCAAATTGGATTTTTAAAGTGTACAGTTCTTAAGTGATTTTAGTAGACAATCGAATATGTCGGATTATCGGTTAGACTGGTTGAAAGACAGAATTCTCACGTTCCTTGGACTGGATATCGAGGGTGTTTACTTCGAGCAGTTATTGTCCGCTGGTGAAGGTGAGTTTGAAGACCAGCTCTACCAATATCTGGATGATGAGGTCCCAGATGAGGAATCCACGAAGAGGTTGCTCTTTGTCTACAAGACATCTTACGAGAAGCTTGTCGACAAGGAAATCACTGTACCAAAAACTCCAGGTATGTTAAAAATTATTCTTTTTAAAATCGTGTATATTAATATAAAAATATTGTAAAAATAACAGTTTTTTTTTGATGTCAAGGTAACAACAAATTAAAGAACGAAACTTGTTTTTAAAGAATTTCAGTTGGTAAATGGAGCGCTTGATTATAAAATAATAAATCATATTATTATATTTTTATTAATAAAATTATATGTCATCTATTGAATATTCTAAATACAATTTAATATGAATAGTGTTTATTAAATACAGTGGAACCTCGCTTAACGAGCATTTTGCTTTGCTTTTTAAAACTTGTGCACACTATATGTTTTTTTGAATATGTTTCACTATACGAGTAAAAATCCGGAAATTTTGGAACGGATTAAACTCGTTAAGCGAGGTTCCACTTTAGATCGGAATTGGTTGTCATCTATATTAGAACAATATTTCTAGTTTAATTGTATTTATATTTTCAGAAAAAGAACCGTCAATTATTGTGGAAGAACCAGTTCCCGAAGAAACTACCAAAAAGAAAAAAGGTAAAGGTAAAAAGGAGAAGAATGCAAAAAAGGAGAAGAAAAAGAAAAGTAAGAAAAGCGATCAAAGTGATGCAAATTCTCCCACAAGCGATAGTGAAGCAACTGATGTTCCTACAGAATTTGCTGCAGGTATAATAAGAAAATATATTGTTACTGATCATTAAATTTGCTGTATGTGAACCAGAATTGGTGACTGAAGATGGTGCTCAGGAAATGGAAGATATTTCTCAAATGCCAGAGGGTGTTGCTCCTGAAGTTACAAATATTCCACCAGAAGTTCCTCAATTAGATTTAGGTACAACGCAAACTGATAATTTAGATACTACCGATGGAAATGCTACAGATGAAGAAGGTGGAGCAGAGCAAACGACGGAAACACCTAAAACATCTGAACGTAATTATTACAGTTCTTTTAAATGTTTATGATAAATATTACATATATATATATATATATAGGTAAAAAGAAAGGAAAAAAGGGCGGAAAGAAAGGAAAGAAAGGCAAGAAAAGTAAAAAGGATACCGAAACTGGTGAAATGGAAACGGTGACAGAGGAAGTTCCCGAACCAGAAATCATTTACGTGACGGTAATATATAAATTATAATTATATAATTAAATGTTTAAATATATTATTTATTTAGAAAATAATACAAGTTTTGGAGACGGATTACATGTTGGAAGCACACATTGGGGATTTTGGTGAAGGTAAAAATTTTCCCGCAAAGCAGTTTATGTATTTTGTGCGTCTCACTGAAGACGCAATTCCCAATTTCGATACGTACGAAGATGCGTTAGTCGAAATGCCAAGTTACTTTTACATTGGAGCCTTTTCTGCAAAATTTTTGCAGTCTCTGAATATACATGCCGCTATGGTAAACAGTTGTTATTTTTTATATCTCGATGGGATTAAACGAATCATATATTTTAGGGAATAGTTCCTTTGATGAAGAACAAACAGGTTGCAAAGATACATCGAAGACTTATGGGTTCTGAAGTAGTGACGCCCACCGTGTCCTTCACAGAGTACGCTGGAAGTAAACCAAGTTTACGAAATTTATCATCTACGTGCTTTGATCAGGGCAGTCAAAAATCCATAACAAACCAAGAATCTTCAGAAGAAAACCTAATAGACGCTCAAGAACAAATACGCATGAAAGAGGAAATGATTAAGGATTGTGAAGTTTTTCTAAGTGGATTACATTGGTAATATCTTGATGGACTTAATTAATATTGTAAGTAATGTTTGTATATTTCCTTAGGGCTATTGACCACGTGGAGGATGATTGTATGACAAATACAGAAGGGCCAGATTTTATGCATTTAGAAGATGCAGTTCTCGTTAAAGATAAAAACGCAATTAAGAAAATGGAAGAAATCATAATGAACAATCAAAAGCTGATTTCAAAAGTTATGGATGCACAACAAGCCTTAGTAAAAATTTAAATTAATATGTACGTGATTATTTTAAATAAATTGAAATATTTTCAGCAACCTATTGGTAATGGTCCAGTGGCAGAATACGAATTTTGGAAGGTTCGTGAGGATAGTTTAGGGATATTGTTTGAACCCATGAAAAAACTTACATTTATACGAATATGCAATATATTGGAAAAGGCTAATTCGCCAATCATGACTGGATTTGTAATGTATCAAGATGACTTACGTAAAGCTTACAATCAAGCACGTGACAATGTTAAATTTTTATTCACGATTCTACGACACTTGAAGGTATGTTATTTAACATAATCTTATATTATTAGGCTCAATTAAATTACCGTAGACTATGGAACATTGTGAAGATTTTGTTAAAACCAGAATTAATATTCCTAATCTATATGAAGGACTTCATATGATTTGGGTTCTATCTCGACACTATTGCCAAGATGAGCAAATGGTGCCATTGTTGGAGAGAATATCTTGGGCTCTTTGCGAGAAGAGTCGTATTGCTTTGGATAACACTGTCTTATTTCGAATGCCAATTAAAGAAATTAAAACGTTAGCTGGGGAGGTACGAGAAATGTTGAAATCGTGGAAAGAATGCTATATGGAAACCAGAGACAAAATTGAGTTGTCAGGGAAGACAGCTCGTTGGGAATTTGATAGGAAGAAACTGTTCGGAGAGTCAGACTATATTGCTTTAGTTTGTAAAGATTTAGAGGCTATTGCCGATGTATGATTAAATCAATAATTATCACTAATTTATTAATAATTTATCATATTAATTTTGCAGATTGTTGATCAATTTACAAATATTTTTGGACCTGAATTGAAATCAATTATGACCGATCCGCAGAAAATCGATGATGTTGTTAGAAATTTAGAAAGCCTTGTCCATCCAATTGAATTGGCTGATTTTGATATTTATAAGGAAACGTTTAAAGAAAATTGGCAACAGATAATGACACAGTTTGGTAAAGAAGTAAAGCTATTGGAGAGAACCGCAACTCTCTTCATCGATCAAAGTTTTAAAGTTCTAAGGTACATAGTTAAATTTAATAAAGATAATTTGTTATAACTTAAGTAATTTCAGATCAGCGGAGGGTGCTTTGGAAAAGTTATTAAAGTTCAAATTTATGAAAACGCGTAGAATTATTCATGATCAATTAATGTCCAAGTTTGAAATTGTCATGGATCAGTTCAGCAAAGAATTGGCATCAAGTGAAAATCTATATTTGGTAATGAGTAACTTATATTTATTAAATTTTAATAATTTGTAAATGTCATTTTTAGCGCAATAAGAGGACTCCCATCTTATGCAGAAATCATCAAAAACACGGCGGTGCAATATTTTGGGTACAGCAATTATTTGCTAGTACTAAAGCTCCCATATTAAAGTTTCGATTAGTGGAAGAATTGAAAACGTCAACGTTAAAGTTAGAAGCTTTTAATATTTATGTAAAGCTTGCTAAAAGCTTGAAGCAATATGAACAAATGAAGTATCAAGAATGGCTTGATGTAGCTGTTCCAATTGTTGAAGAAACTTTAAAGATGGATTTACTGCGTTTAGAAAACATTAATTATAAACCTGAAAGTATGTTTAAGTATACTATTTGTATAACCGCTTAACTTAACAATTATTTTGTAAAAGATTGTCCATATTTTGTCTATATTGATTTATTATTATTATTTTAGTTCAACAAGCCAGTTCAAGATTGGGCCAAAAGAATATTAAAATTGTTTCCAGTTCTGGGACTTTGCGATCTTCGAAGGCATCTCAATCTGAAATGCATGGCATATCAAAAAGTAATTATTACTACATTAATAATAATAAATATAATTCTAATTATTCTATTTTTCTAGGTACCAAGATTCAGCAGCATAAGAATGTTATATTGATAAACACTAAAATAAAGAAAAATATCACTTGGATCGATATAATTGGAACGAAAATGCTGTCGGAAGAAAATATACATTTCGTTTTAAATTTTGATGAGAAGATTTACCATTGCATCGCTGGCGCCGAACTGATCCAGTCGACTGGTTACGAAATTCCGGAAATGATTAAATATGCGAGCGTCCAAAAGAAGAAGCTGAGACAGGATGTTGAACTGGTTCAAAACATGATCAACACCTACAACGATACGGTTAGTAAGCTATCTTTAGCACAATTGAACTTTTTGAGGGAAATCATCAGGGATATAGAAGCTCATATACAACCTGCCTTAACTAGAATCAATTGGACATCGTTGACTATAAAAGAATATACTGAGCAATGCTCAATTAAGATAAAACACTTGGTGTCGATTAATAGACAGATCGAGCATACCGAGAATTTTATGTTGGATAATGTGCAACAGTTAAGGAGATTCAATTTGTACGAGTTTACGTTTGTCAGTGAAGATCCTGTTAGAATGCCATGTAAAGAATTTTTCAATAATTTGCGAGATGTACGAACGGAAAAAGTATGCGCGATGGTGAAACTATATAATCAATTTGGCCCATTGATTATTAAATTGGAAGCACTGACTTTGAAAACTAATACAGGTTCGTCGTCCCATATGAAGCTTTATTACGATTATTGGGAATTGAAGCTTTACAATTGTTTTGCTGATATGGCAATCGCTAATTTGGAGTATTTGAATAACATATTTGTTAATAATGAATTAATGTTTCAAGTGGATGCAATATTAATGTCATCAACTGTTGGTCTGAGACCTGGTCAGCAGGAAATGTATAATATAATCTTACGTAGCGTAAAAGAATTCATGGAACAGTTAAAACAGTTTCCGCGTTGGATGAATGGTATGTGCTTAAATTGCGAACCACAAAAAGTGTTTAATTCCGATGAACCATTTATTCATGCTTTCTACGACGATGTTATACAAATATCGGAAGTACATGAAGTTATGGCGCAGCTCCAAGGGAGTTGTTACAAAAGTATTCTTGCCGTTCATAAATACCTTCAAAAGTGGAAAAAGTACAATTTCCTATGGAATTTGGATAAGGATTTTGTATGTGAAAGATTTATTGCCAAAACAGTAGTACTACCACAGTTCGATACACGATTCAACTTCTACACCGATATCATTAAGCACATGGATGAGCATACCGAGTTGTATGATGTTGGATCCATCCGTGTCAATCTAATACCATTGATGGATGCTATTAAACAACATTCGATGGAGTGGAAAATTATGCTTGGCTCGAAGCTAGCTGAAAGAACAAGGCTAAATATGTTTGAGTTCAAGGAGGAAATGGTTGAATTGAGAAGTACGGTGAACAAAAATATTAAAGGTTTAGAGCTTTTCAAAAACATCATGCAAGCCATTTCAACTATATTAAAGAATAATGTAAATTCGGAATTACGTTATAGTTACTACCAACAGACCTACAACGTTTTGGAAGATCACCACATTGTTTATGATCCGGAAGATGAAAAGATGGCTTATAATTTAGAGGAAGAATGGAAAAATCTCTATATGTCCGCTTTGTACAGATCGCAAACGTTGGAAGCGACTAAAGAACGATTTGCTCAGTTGACGTTGGATGAAATAAATTCATTCTGTGCAGTACTAGCAGAATTTGTGCATCAATGGGACTTGGCTGGACCTGGTGCTGTTGGTGAAGATCTGGACAAAGGTTTATCGCTTATGGAGCATTACACAAATGTATTTGATGGTCTAGAATCACGTCGTATTGACTTATCTAAAGCCGAAATGCTGTTTGATATACCTCTTGCCGATTATTCAGAATTTTTACGAACAAAAACCGAATTCGAAGGATTAGTGTTGATTTATAAAATTTATGCGTCCCAAAAAAGTGCTCGCGAAATATGGGGTAGAACTCTGTGGGTTAATTTGAATCCACAAGCTTTGGTGGATGGAATCGAAGGGTTCATGAAAGATTTTCGAAGGCTGAGTAAAGTAGTTCGAAACACTCCTATTGGTATAATGCTTGACACCAAGATGAAACAATTTAAAAATGTGGTGCCATTGATGGTTGCTTTAAAGAACGAAGCTTTGCGTGAAAGACATTGGAAGGAACTTATGAATAAGACTGGAAAAGTTTTTGATATGTCACCGGACAGATTTACTTTGGATAATATGTTCTCCATGGAGTTACATAATTACCAAGATATGGCCGAAGAAATAATCACTAATGCTATTAAAGAATTGGCAATTGAAAAAGGCGTTAAAGAAATAATTGAAGTATGGAATACGACTGTATTTACAGTTATTAAACATTTGAAAGGAACGGATGATCGAGGATTTATTCTAGGACCTGTTGATGAAATTATGCAAATATTGGATGATAATTCTATGAATTTGCAAAGTATGGCAGGTTCACAATTCGTTGGACCGTTCCTCCCTGTTGTTCAAAAGTGGGAAAAAAATCTATCGCTAATGGGTGAAGTGATTGATGAGTGGTTCGGTGTACAGAGAAAGTGGTTGTACTTAGAGGGAATATTTGTTGGCGGCGATATTCGAGCCCAGCTACCGGAAGAAGCCAAAAAATTTGACGATATTGATAAAGCTTTCAGAAGAATTATGGTTGACACTGCTAAAAATCCTAACGTTCTGGATTGTTGTACTGCATCTGGTCGCCTCAATGATTTTATGGGTCTAAGCTATGGATTGGATAAGTGTCAGAAATCATTGAATGATTATTTAGATGCAAAACGGAGAAGATTTCCAAGGTTTTTCTTCATTTCAACCGATGAATTATTATCAATACTAGGAAGCAGTGACCCTGGAGTAGTACAAGAACATATGCTTAAAATGTTTGACAATATCAAATCTTTAAGATTAGGCTTGGATAGTCAGGATAGAATGACTGCAAGCGCTATGATATCGGCAGAGAGAGAAATTATGGAATTTAGAAATGCCGTTTTTGCTGAAGGTAAAGTGGAAGAATGGATGAATGATGTTCAATTTGAAATGAGAAGATCGAATCGATTTCAAACAAAAAAATCTATTTATGATTACGGAAAAACTCAGAGGCCACGAACGAAATGGATGATGGATTATCAGGGAATGATTTGTTTGGCAGCCAATCAAGTTTGGTGGACGGCCGAAGTAGAAAACGTTTTTGAGAAAATTGGAAAGGGTAATAAGAGAGCGATGAAAGAATATTTAGGTCAATTAAATAAGCAATTAGATGACATTGTTGTTACCGTTCGTGAAGATCTAACGTCCAATGACCGAACAAAATTCAAAACTGTTGCAACAATTGAAGTTCATGCAAGAGATATCGTTGAAAATTTTGTTAGAGATAGCGTTACGGATGCAAAAGAGTTTGACTGGGAAAGTCAACTAAGATTCTATTGGATCAATAAATTGGATAATCTGTGGGTAACTCAATGTACGGGATCCTTTGAGTATGGCTATGAATACATGGGTTTAAATGGTCGATTAGTTATAACACCATTGACAGACAGAATATACTTAACGGTAACGCAAGCTCTGTTAATGCACTTAGGCGGGGCTCCTGCTGGACCTGCTGGTACGGGGAAAACGGAGACTGTAAAAGATTTAGCTAAGGCATTAGCTTTGCTATGCATAGTTACAAATTGTGGAGAAGGAATGGATTTCAAAGCTATAGGAACTAATTTAGCTGGATTAGCGCAATGCGGCGCTTGGGGTTGTTTCGATGAGTTTAACAGAATCGATATATCTGTACTTTCTGTAATATCCACTCAGTTACAAACAATTAGGAATGCATTGGTAATGCAAGTGAAACGCTTTATTTTTGAAGGTATTGAAATTGATTTGGATCCAAAAGTGGGCATTTTTATTACAATGAATCCGGGTTATGCTGGAAGAACTGAATTACCAGAATCCGTAAAAGCTTTATTTCGACCAGTAGTTTGCATTTTACCAGATTTGGAACTCATCTGTTTAATTTCGTTATTCTCTGATGGATTTTTGCAAGCAAAATTGCTAGCAAAAAAGATGACTGTCCTGTATAAATTAGCACGAGAACAACTATCAAAACAATATCATTACGACTGGGGTTTGAGGGCTTTGAATGCCGTATTAAGGATGGCTGGTGTCTTGAAGAGAGCTTCACCAGATATTTCAGAAACGTTGGTCTTGATGCGTGCTTTACGTGACATGAACTTTCCAAAATTTGTTTTTGAAGACGTACCTTTATTTTTGGGCTTGATTCGTGATCTCTTTCCGGGTATGGACTGTCCTCGCGTTGGTTATCCTGATTTCAACGAGGCTGTGGAGAAGAGTTTGGAAAAAAGAAGATATATAGTACTTCCTGATCAAGTTGACAAGGTGATACAGTTTTATGAGACTATGATGACTAGGCATTCTACTATGCTTGTTGGTCCAACAGGAGGTGGAAAAACAGTTGTTATAGAAACTTTATGCAGGGCACAAACTTTGCTTGGTTTACCAACAAAGATGAATATTCTAAATCCGAAAGCATGTTCAGTAATTGAATTGTATGGTATATTGGATCCATTCACGAGAGATTGGACGGATGGTTTGCTGTCTAATATATTTAGAGAAATGAATAAGCCAACAGAGAAGGCAGAGAGGCGGTATATTTTATTCGATGGTGACGTGGATGCCCTGTGGATAGAGAATATGAATTCAGTTATGGATGATAATAAATTATTAACATTGGCCAATGGCGAGAGAATTAGATTACAAACGCCAATTTGTGCGTTGTTGTTTGAAGTTGGTGATCTGGCATACGCTTCTCCTGCAACTGTATCCAGAGCAGGAATGGTGTACGTAGATCCAAAGAATTTGGGATATCAACCTTTTTGGGACCGATGGGTACAAACTCGTAGCTTTAAACCGGAAAGAGAATTTTTTGAACACCTTTACGAACAATACGTGGTACCCTGTCTCACATATATCATTTTGGGTCAAATTGGAATGCAACAACTGGTACCTTTGAAGACTGTGATACCTCAGACAGGTTTAAACTTGATAACACAATTGTGTTTCATGATAGATTCTATGTATCCAGAGCAGATTGAGATTGTTAGAAATGAAGAGGAAGATGCGGTAGATGAGAATTTAATAGAATGTATATTTTTGTCGTGCATTTATTATTCACTGGGAGCTCCATTGGTAGCTGCTGTTAGGGATGACTTTGATGGATTTGTGAAAAAGCAATGTGCAATGATGAACGAAGAAGATAAAATAGATAATAAGGCTAAGGCAGGAAAGCTGCCCACTGCTTATCCAACATTATATGATTACTATTTCGATATTAAGGAAGCTGTATGGGTGGCATGGAATTGGTTAGTTCCTGGTTATATACACGATCGAAAGAAAAAGTATTCCGAAATTTTAGTTCCGACTGTAGACACTATTCGTGTTACGTACATCCTAAAACTTATGAACAGCATACGAAGACCCATTATTCTAGTTGGAGATACAGGCACTTCAAAGACAGCAATAATTCAAGACTTTCTACGTGATTTAAATCAAGACGTTTTTATTTTACTAAACATCAACTTTTCGTCGAGGACATCATCTATGGATGTTCAACGAAATCTAGAGTCTTCAGTTGAAAAGCGAACAAAAGATATTTATGGTCCTCCCATGGGCAAGAAACTAATTTGTTTCATCGATGATTTGAACATGCCTCAAGTAGATGATTACGGAACTCAGCAGCCTATTGCCCTTTTGAAATTGTTATTCGAACGTGGCGGATTCTATGATCGCGGAAAAGACTTAATTTGGAAGAATCTTAGGGATATTAGTTACTTTGCAGCAATGGGAGTTGCAGGTGGTGGGCGAAATGAAGTAGATGCAAGATTTATGTCAATGTTTACGGTTTTAAATCTGGCATTCCCTGCAGATTCCACTCTCTTCCACGTATATTCTTCGATATTGAACGGACACCTTTCAATATTTGAAGAAGAAGTTCAGATTGGATCTAGGATAATTGAAATGACTTTGGAGTTATATAAAATTACAATTGTTGAACTACCACCGACACCAAACAAATTCCATTACATATTTAATATGCGAGATCTTTCGCGTATTGTTGCAGGAATGTGCGTAACTGTACCTCTGCATTATAAGTTTCTTCATCAGATATTAAGGGTATGGAGAAATGAATTTATGAGAGTTATCTGTGATAGATTGATATGCACGGAGGATCAAGAATTAATGAGAAACCATCTTATCGATGTAATCAGTAGAACATTCCCTCCACCACCGCCACCGCAAACAACTTCTGTGATGGAAACTAACGAGGATGGAGAAATAATATACTCGCCCAGCGAAATGCAACCAGAAATGCCTATACCTATAGCAGACGAAGAAGAAGGAGAAAAAGAAGAATCCATAGATATACTGGAATATACGATGAGAGATCCAGTACTATTTGGCGATTATAGAAATGCTGTCAACGAAGATGAACCTAGATATTACGAGGACTTATTAGACTATGAGGCTATTTACTATTTATTCCAAGAAATTATAGAAGAATATAACGAGAGAAAACAGAAATTAAATATAGTTTTGTTTGATGATGCTTTAGAGCACTTGACTCGCATTCATAGAGGATTACGATTAGAAAGAGGTCATGTGATGCTTGTCGGTGTAGGTGGAAGTGGTAAAGCCAGCTTAACAAGACTAGCTGCTTTTGCGGCAGGCTGCGAAATGTTTGAAATAATGCTTTGCAGAGGATATAACGAGACGAGTTTTAAAGAAGATTTGAAGAAATTATATTACCAATTGGGTGTTGATCGTAAGCCGTCTGTGTTTCTATTTACTGCAGCTCAGGTAGCTGAAGAAGGTTTTCTTGAATTCATTAACAACATTTTGATGATAGGAATGGTACCATCGCTATTTACTGACGAAGAAAAGGATCAGGTTATTGGTTCTGTACGAACCCAATCTCGCAATGCCGGTTATGGAATACATAAAGATGGAGTTTGGCAGTATTTTGTTCATAAATGCTGCGATAACTTGCACGTTGTACTATCCATGTCTCCATCAGGAGATATACTGAGTAAACGTTGTAGAAACTTCCCTGGTTTGGTAAATAATACATGCATAGACTGGTTATTTCCATGGCCGCAGCAAGCTTTGGTAGCTGTGGCATCAGTATTTCTGAAAGAAAACGTTAGACTTCCTGAACAATACAGGCCTTCAATAATTGAGCATGTCGTGCACGTTCATAATACTTTATCAATGTATACTGCAAACTTTTTGACAATTCTTCGCCGAAAGAATTACGTAACGCCTAAGCATTATCTAGACTTTATTCAATCCTATTTGAAGCTTGTAGAAGAGCACGACTCGTACATCGTTGCACAATGCGAGCGACTGAAAGGAGGAATGGCAAAAATTGACGAAGCCAGTCAGGAGTTGGACATTCTGAATTCTAAGTTGGCTATACAGAAAATTATAGTTGCAGAAGCAACTGCAGCGTGTGAAGCTATGTTGTCCGAAATTCAAAGTGGAACGGATATTGCAACGGAAAAGAAAAATATTGCCTCACAGCGAAGCGGTGAAATCGAAGAGCAAAGGAAAGTAATTGTTGTTGAGCAGGCAGATGCGGAAGAAGCTTTATCTGAGGCATTGCCAGCATTAGAAACTGCACGATTGGCTTTGGCGGATCTTGATAAGTCTGATATTACAGAAATTAGATCATTTGCGACTCCCCCAGAAGCCGTGCAAGTGGTCTGCGAGTGTGTGGTGATTATCAGAGGTATTAAAGAAGTAAGTTGGAAAAGTGCAAAGGGAATGATGTCGGATCCGTCATTTTTAAAGTCTCTTCAAGAATTGAATGTCGATGGAATCACACAAAAGCAAGTGGCTGCAGTTAAAACTCATTTGAAAAAATCAAATAAATTGGACGATATGGCAAGTATCAGCAAAGCAGGTTTTGGACTCCTGAAGTTCGTTACTGCAGTATTGGGCTATTGTGCAGTTTATAAGGAAGTAAAACCTAAAAAGGAGAAAGTGGAACAACTACAGCGTGATTATCAAGCAGCGATGAAATATCTTCAGAAGCTAAATACTGAGATTGCCAAACTTGAAGAAGATTTGTCAAAGTTAAATGAGAAATATTCGATTGCGATGAAGAGACGATTAGAGCTTCAAGAAGAAACAGATTTAATGATGAAACGATTGATTGCAGCAGATAAGCTTATTACAGGATTAAGTTCAGAAAGGGCTCGCTGGTCAGAAGACCTCAAGAAACTCTATCAAGAGAAAGAACGCATTGTTGGAGATTGTCTGCTTTGTGGTGCATTTCTGAGCTATACAGGACCATTTAGTTTTGAGTTCAGAAGGGAAATGGTATACGTAGATTGGCAATCTGACATATTGCAAAGAGAAATACCGCTGTCACAGCCATTTCGAATAACTATGCTTACTAATGATGTCGAAATCAGCCAATGGGTTTCTGAAAACCTTCCACCGGATGAGTTATCAGTGCAAAATGGAATATTAACAACACGCGGTTCAAGATTTCCCGTTTGCATAGATCCACAACAACAGGCATTGAATTGGATAAGGAAACGGGAGGAAAAAACCAATATGAAGGTTCTTAGTTTCAACGATTCTGATTTCTTACGTCATCTGGATATGGCCATTAAATATGGATTGCCAGTTCTTTTCCAAGACGTCGATGATTATGTTGATCCGGTTATTGATAATATTTTGGAGAAAAACATAAAAGTTGTGAGCGGGAGAGTCTTTATCATACTTGGAGACAAGGAAGTCGATTATGATCCAAATTTCCGCATGTATCTAACAACCAAGTTGGCCAATCCTATGTTCAGTCCATCTGTATATGCAAGAGGAGTTGTTATTAACTACACAGTGACATTGTCAGGATTAGAAGATCAACTACTCAGTGTTGTTGTGCGCAATGAGAGGGCAGATTTAGAAGAGCAACGTGAAAATTTAATTGCAGAAACTAGTGAGAATAAGAATTTACTGTCCCAATTGGAAGACTCTTTGTTGCGAGAACTTTCGACCAGTACTGGAAATATGTTGGACAACGTAGAGTTGGTTGAGACTTTGGAAAACACAAAGACTAAAGCGCATGAAGTATCAGTGAAATTATCATTGGCAGCAGAAACTTCAAAAGACATAGATAAATTGAGAGATGGATACAGGTCAGTGGCAAAACGTGGAGCCATCTTATTTTTTGTATTGTCTGATATGGCATCAGTCAACACAATGTATCAATATTCATTAAGTTCGTACCTAGAAGTATTCGCTTTTTCCTTGAGAAAGGCTTTGCCCCATAAAGTATTAGTCAAACGGCTATTGAATATAATTGAAACTCTCACCAAGAACGTGTACGATTATGGCTGTACAGGCATCTTTGAAAAGCACAAATTATTGTTTTCATTCCAAATGACTACCAAGTTGCAATTGAATGAAGGACACATGTTACAATCGGAACTAGACTTTTTCATTAAGGGTTCTGTAACATTGGAAAGATCAACGAGAGCGATTCCGGCCAAATGGATTTCAGCTCAGGGATGGGAAGATGTACTGAAATTATCCACGCAGTTTGATGACAATTTCTCGAAGTTACCACGACAGCTGGAAGAGCACATTGGCATTTGGAAGGATTGGTATGATTTGGATGCTCCGGAGGTCTCTTATATACCATTTGATTACAAAGAAAGGTTACCGCCGTTTCAAATTTTGATGTTACTGCGCTGTTTTAGAGTAGACAGAGTTTTCAGAGCTGTAGGCGATTTTATTACGAAGGTGATGGGAGAAGAATATATCATGCCTCCGGTTATTAGTTTGGATAATATATTTGAACAAAGCACGCCAATGATGCCAGTTGTATTTGTGTTGAGTCCGGGATCTGATCCCACAGCAGATTTGATGAAACTTGCAGAAAGATCTAACGCTCAATTTAAGTACTTGTCACTGGGACAAGGACAAGAACCGAATGCATTGCTCTTACTAGAAGGAGCCATCCAGAGGGGACATTGGTTAATGTTCCAAAATTGCCATTTGTTACTCTCGTTTATACGATCTTTAGAAAAACAACTAGAGAAGATCAGTAAGCCGCATCCAGATTTCCGTCTTTGGTTAACTACGGATCCCACAAATGCATTTCCAATTGGTGTACTTCAGCGTTCTCTGAAAGTAGTCACAGAGCCTCCAAATGGATTAAAGTTGAATTTAAGGAACACTTATTTCAAAATTCGTCCGCAAACTTTGGAGAGCTGCGAACATCAAGCTTTCAAACCTTTGATATTTGTGCTCGCCTTCTTCCATGCCGTTGTTCAAGAGCGACGAAAATATGATAAAATTGGTTGGAATATATGCTACGACTTCAATGAATCTGATTTCAACGTTTGCGTGCAAATATTGGATACATATTTAAGTAAAGCGTTGGAGGCTAAAGATACAAGAATGCCATGGAACAGCTTGAAATATTTGATTGGAGAGGTCATGTATGGTGGTAGAGTGATTGATGATTTTGACAGAAGGATAGTGAAATGTTATATGGATGAATATATGGGAGACTTCTTATTCGATACTTTTCAACCCTTCCATTTCTACCACGATGATCATGTGGATTATACTATACCTATAGATGGTGTAAAGGAAGATTATATAGGTATAATTAAATTATAATTATAAAAAAAAACAAATTAACAAATTTAATTTTAGCTGCTATTGATGAATTGCCATTAGCTAATAGTCCTGAAGTATTTGGATTGCACGCCAATGCGGAAATTGGTTATTACACACAAGCCACCAAAGAAATGTGGAAACATCTAATTGAACTACAACCACAAACAGGTAATTATTGAAGTAATTGTTATATTATATTTCTTCATTTTAAATTATTTGATTTTTAGGAGCGGTTGGATCTGGAATAAGCCGGGAGGAATTTATACTGAATGTCGCCAATGATATATTGGAAAAGATTCCAGAACCTTATGAATTATGGAAAGTGCGAGCAAGCTTCCAACTGACTATGACACCAACGATCATAGTGTTGATTCAAGAATTAGAGAGATTTAATAAGCTAATTAGGAAAATGAAAAAAACCCTAAAGGCTCTGAAACGTGCTTTAGCCGGAGAAATTGGAATGGATTCTATCTTGGACAACGTAGCATACTGTTTATTCAACGGTGAACTGCCTACTTGCTGGAGGTTATTGGCACCGGCTACTTGCAAGAATCTCGGAGGTTGGATGGATCACTTTGAGAAGAGACAATTGCAATATTACAATTGGGTAAGTGATAAATATTATGTTAATCATTGATGAAATATTTTAATCGTTGTAATTGTAGACAGTACAAAGTGATCCCATGGTTTTATGGTTATCTGGACTGCACATTCCAGAAACGTATTTGGCCGCTTTAGTGCAAATTTCCTGCAGAAGAAATAATTGGCCACTGGATAGGTCTACTCTGTACACCAGTGTTACACATTACTTGGATCCTCTTGATGTTGAATCAAGGCCAGAAACAGTAATTACATTAATATTATTATTTTATATTTGAATTTTACAAATTTACATTTTGGTGTGTTTCAGGGAACTTGCTTATTGCACGGATTATACTTGGAAGGAGCGAGATGGGATGTGCGCGACAATTGCTTGAAGAAGTCTTTACCAAAGATATTAATAGAAGAGCTTCCGGTACTTAGTGTAATACCGATTGAAGCATTTCGGTTAAAGTTGCAAAATACGTTACGTACACCAGTGTACACTACTTCCTTGAGGAGGAATGCGATGGGCGTTGGATTAGTTTTCGAAGCTGATCTAGGAACTTCCGAGCATAGCAGCCATTGGATTTTGCAAGGGGTGTGCTTAGTATTAAATACAGATTGAAAGAAATATCAAACTCTATTTATGTTTATTGTCTTAAAATAAAATATTTTTGGTTCATATAAAAAGTGAAGAATCCCTTTCATGTGTGTCAATTCCGAAATAACCATCCAATCCGCACTTTTGGAGGTATTTCGCTTAATTTCCTGAAAATAATTTGCAATTTATAATTGTTTTATTTTTGAGATTACACTTACCTATTCAATTAGTTTTTTTAGCGTCTTTTGATTCTCCTTCTTTAATCTGGCCACGTCCAAAGATTTTGGCCATGGAATCCCAAATGCCACCAAAGAAGAGAGCGCACAGGAGATTTTCGAAAGGTACGAATGGATCGTGTATTCCCAACAGAATGGAAGACAATTTGAAGTAAACAAAGAAGATCACGATGCCGAAGTAGACGAGGGCGTGTGGTGCTGAAATCAGTTCAGTCTTCTTGTCCAAAATGAAGATGATTGAAGCGACCAGGCAGGATTTTGTGTAGCTGAAAAAAAACATCGTTGATAAAATTTTGTTATAGGTGAGTATAATAAGGGGATGTCTTACAAACTGGGTTGCATGAATTCCATGGCTGTTGGTGTCCAAACTCCTCTGATAAGACGCTCAATGAGTCGTGTGAAGCCGGCTCCGTTGCCTTTCAATGTACCAATAATGATCATAATGAGGTATGCGTTTGGATACAGCTTCGCAGCGTGTGTGACACCATCGTACACTTTCTTGCATCTGTAGATTTCTTTCATCGCTGAGCAGACAACCTTGACTGGCAGGAATTTACCTATTTTATAACCGATGTCTAGAGGTGTGTAGAATATCACATACCTAGAAAAAATACATCAATGTTTTTCTTGTTTAATTGAGAATGAAGAGTAACAAATGTTACCATACTAAGGTTGCAACTATTAATTGAGGAGTGTTTTTGAGAGGAGCTAAGATTGGTTCAGCAAGTAAACCGTTTGCTACCATGCCACCAGCGAACACGACCAACATGTAGGATAACCAACAGGCCATGGGATGTTTCCTGGAAAATTGTTGAGCACCTGCAAAAAGCAGTTATAGGACGTTAAACTGTATTTATTATCATTTATTATAATGTAGTTGTAGTAAACACATAAACATTTGCACAGTTTTCGGGTTTTAATAATAGTTTATGAGTTTGAATTCCTAAATTTGGAAAACGCGGAAGATAATGGGTCCACGACAGAAATAACTGTAATTCCTGAATGTATTTGGCAAACGACATTCCGAGATCTCGCGTCTTTCCAATTCTTATACACGATCACTTGCTGCTGCATCATATTAAACCTAAGGCGTTGCTGATGAATTATATCGTTTTGATAAGCAGTATTGAAGCAAATTTCGGTGTGCGCACCGGTTTATAAATAGACGCAAGAGGATTTATTCATAGTTTTCGTACCGGCTCCGAGATCTTCCCTGACGTGGAGGGCGCACAGCACGCAGTGGGCTATGTCGAAATAGGGGAACATTTTCAGTTTCACCACTTGATTGGCGACATCGAGGAAGGCCTCAGGATCCATCCTGGATTTTAGTTTGGCACTCTTTTTGTCAACTGTGGACTATGTTGTTCGGTCCTTCGGTAGGCTGCAAGCGGAAATAGAAGAGGAGGAAAGACTGGCAAGATGGTGGAGAGCAGAAGCGCGGCCCGACAACGACTGGGCCAAGAGCGCGTCGCGACGCCGCGCGTCCACCTAAGCAGTATAAATAAACGTCGCGCGGATGCTGTGGTGGCATCCAACAGAGATGGATGCTTTCACAGACGAAACATCGGACGAGGAACATAATTGGAAATGCGGCAATTAGATAACTAAATCTGATGAGACGAATCTTACCTTATTTTTGTTATCAACGTTATCTTATTTTGACTTAAAATTATACCTGACGTTAATGACAATAAAAAATCCTTCATTTATTTAAACATTGAAATCTTCAAAGTAATTTGGATTTAAAATCTAGTTGTATTTCAGTTTAGTTCATCTGTTATTATTACGTCTTATCAGAAATGTTAACATTTAGAAGATGTAATTTATTGTTTTATATAATAAATATAAAATAAACCATAGTTTTTTTTATGTATATTATGTTAGTAACAAATATATAGTTCTGTTAACTTGAAAAACATATCTTCTTTTTAAATTTTTTATTTAATTACAACATAATTTCTTTATTAACTTATGTTAAATATTTGAGAACTATAACTCATTCTAGAAAATGTTTGATTTTAGATAAATTAATAATAAGAAACAATAAGCAGTAGAACTTATCTTAGAACTTTTCGACAATTACTAAATAAATATTATAGATAATAAACATATTGGAAACTATTGAAAACATCAACATCTTAACAATACAACGACTGAAATAACTGCATTTATCTTTAAGTATTTAATCTATCTTTTCAATTACTGAATGTTCACAAATAATTGATATATGCCTTTATAAAAATTGAACTATAATTACAATACAATAGCTATTGTTATTATTTACTGAATTAAAAACGCAATTAATTGTGTAAGAAAAACCATTAAAAACTTTTTTTATTATATAATGTATTTCTAATTTAATAAACATGGACATAAAAATAAGTTGCTAAATAAATGGTCAAAACAGTCCAAAGATTGAAATTTTATAAAATGTCTCAAATCAGATCGAGATACGAGAATCGCACTGTTGATAAACAAAAATAACTTTTTATTTAACTGATAATTACGTAACATTTTGAAGTAAATTTTGATAATTGAGAACTGTCTATTTCCGTACTCAATTTTATTTCTGTATTCATATAACGACACTGAATGAAAGCGAGTGGAATAACAGTAAAACGCTTTTTACTTTCACTTTATAATACGTTAGAAATGTAAATATCTAATTATCAAGGACATAGCAGGTCAATTTTGTCTGGTGTTACACTGATAGTTTAAAGGTCAACTTAGTTTAATCAGTGTAGTTGTTACTCAGTACGATATGAGCAGTCGTGTGGTGTGCGTGGGGTCGTGCACAGTCTGTCAGAAGTTATAGCACAGTATACACAAAATTGAGTTTAATAGTGTAATTGTTTAACATATACGAAAACAACTTCCCTAAATAAATAAACAAATATTAAGTAAGTAAAAAAAATAAAATACAAAAAAAGTGTCAATTAATAGAAAATACTGGATTTAATATAATCCATCAAAAGTGTATACTACGAACGAATGTAATTTATTTAATTTAAAGATTAAGAAATTAGTTTCAAATAACAAATCATACTAATAATAAGAGATTACATTCGAATACAAAATAAAATAAACCAAATATAAATAAAAATTCTAAAAAACAATTATATATATATATATAAATAATTAAATACGTCAGACCAATCTGGGTATCGACCTTAGTATATAGCAAATAATACCGGCTGTAATATAATAAAATTTCTATAAATGCGATTTAATTAAATTAGTTTGAATAATGAAATTTGAATATTTTGTATTAAATGCACATTTGAACTTCATTTATGTATACATTTTTGTAATTAGTATTCAAACTTGATCTTCTACTGCTGTTTGCGACACGTGTAATTAGAGATACATTAAAATTGCAAATGTAATCGTATTTAATTTGATCAATGTTAAAGGTCACTGCTAATTACTTAGTTTCAACTTTCTTAATGAGCCTTAATCATTTGTATATTGCACGGCTATCTGATGTCAGTGTTTTATGATTTATATAATCTGATTGATATAGAATCGATGCACTGCCGATAAGATTATTTTCATATTTCTGTCGAAGCGAATTATGTTTAGTAGACTAAACGAGACAGAGATATAGTGAATGACGACCTTTGTAATAATAATAATCATTTTTCGAATCGAGTAACGCGAAACAAATAATATTATATATAAATAAATCAGCAGGTACTTTTGCTATTAGCCTACTGTGGATGTTATGATTATTAGATATCAACGTAAATTTAGATTACGTTAAGGGATTGTGACGAAACGCGCGATATTAGATAGCATTAGTATATAACATCACGAAGTTTAGGTAATATATTTGTATTAATAATTTTCAGGTTTCCAAATATGTTTGAACGGAATGGAGAGAAGTACGTGGCTACTTTGGATGTTGGAACGACGACCTTGAGATGTCTTATTGTTAATTCCAAAGCGGAAATTGTTGGGAGCGCTTCCACAGGGGTATTTACCAATTTTTAATATTATTATTTAAACAATATTTCTTTATCCATTTCTTAATCATTTTGTATGTGTATTTATAAATGTTTGATTATTGATTACCTACAAAATTGATAAATCTTATTGACATTTTTTTTATTATTATATATCTCGCATACTGCAGGTAATCTGTTCCGCCAATACTCCGGACAAAAAACCGTTTTGTCTCTTTGAAATAAAAACTAATATTTTTTTTGTACTATTTTTTAGAATTTACTTTGCTCAATTTAAATTAATTTTGTTTTGAAATTTTTAACCCGGACTGATCAAAGTCACGATATGTGAGCTATTGCTATATATCAAATTTGTATTATTATTTCACATTTTTAATTATTAATTAAAAAATTTAATTGGTTTCTTGGAAATATTAACGTTTATTGTTCAGATGAAGCTCGTTTATCCGCAACCGGGTTTCGTTGAAATCGACCCGGACGTACTTTGGGAGGATGTGATGGACGTAATCAAAGAGGCAATAAGCAGTAAGTTCAAAGGAGAATGGTTGTAAGAAACAAAATGTAAGGTACATACTGAGAGGACACGAATTGTGGTAGGTGCTAGCTTATCAGCAGCGGATGTGTCGTGCATTGGGATCTCCACGCAACGCGGAACATTCATCACGTGGCGCAAAGACACCGGAAAACATTTCCACAATTTCATCACCTGGAAAGATATGAGGTCGCTGTCGTTGGTAAAAGAGTGGAATAATTCCATTGCTATGAAGGTATTATCTACGCTTTTTCGGAAACTCGCTAAAAGCTAATGATTTTGTTAGAGTTTAAGATCAAGTGCGTATATGCTGTACTTGCTCACCAGAAACAAAAGGTGGCTAGCTGGAAGTAACCTGATGTTGAATAGTACCCAGGTAGGATTGTTATCAATGGACTGTTAAATATGTTAATCGTAGTATTAATAGACTACCTTAAGATTGATGTGGATGTATGAAGATATACCGGAACTTCGAGGACAAACGGTCATTAACAACGTGATGTTCGGTACGTTGGATACGTGGTTACTGTACAAATTCACTTCTGGTCGGACGTACGCCACGGATTATACGAACGCCAGCGCTACAGGATTCTTCGATCCCTTCGTCTTGGACTGGTCTTCCTGGGCTCATACAATCCTCAAACTTCCTAAAAACATTCTACCTCCAATCGTTAACAATGATTACGATATTGGATCTACGTCTGAACATATTTTCGGAGCTTCAATACCCATAAAATGTGTGGTAATTACATCTGTAAACCTCAGCTCTGCAGCAAAAAGCATCAATAAGTTTTCAGATTGCAGATCAACAAGCTTCAATGTTTGGCTCTTGCTGTTTCACCAACGAAATCCTTAAAGTGACACTTGGTACAGGATCATTCCTCGACATTCAAACGAACGTCCCTCATGGTAGCTGCAACGGCCTGTATCCTTTAATTGCACGAATTTTGAAGGACAAAATTTATTACACGGCCGAAGGTTCTTGTAATGACACAGGTTCACTGATCCAATGGGCATTAACAAATGGTTTAAAAAATCAATTTTTATAAATTTTACATTAATTACTTACATTTTTGAAATCAGGGTTAGTTAAAGACGCCAAAGAAATAGCCCCTTTGGTGATGAGTGTCGATTCTAATGATGGAGTATACTTTGTGCCTGCGTTCAGTGGTCTTGGATATCCATTTTGCGACGATAAAACTGCATCCGGATTTTTGGGTATCAAACCTACAACCAAAAAAGCTCACATGCTCAGGGCTATTTTGGAAAGCATCGTGTTTAGAATAGTTTTACAGTACGAACTGATGAAGAAGGAGATAAAAAATGAGATTGAAACTATTTAGTAAGCAATTGCGAAACAACTTAATTACCATTATTTTTAAATTTCTATTTAAGTGTCGATGGGGGAGTTTCAAACAACGAGTTTGTTTGTCAACTTTTAGCGGATATGAGCAGATTACCAGTGGAAAAACCTCGATGCAGCGAAATGTCCGCAATGGGAGCAGCTTTCATCGCAGGTTTAAATCAAGGTTTAAAGTGTTACAATTATAGTTTTGATGGTAGCTAATTTTAATTGTGTTTCTTAAGGAATTTGGGATAGTGCCCAGGATATAATAGCTTTAAGGGATGTAGAGAAGACTTACATTCCAACGACACATTACGAAGTTGTTAAAAGGAACAGGGCCGAACTGGAGAAGTGGACACAAGTCTGTCATAGGTTTAAGACATGGTATTGAATGAAATCGCATTGAATTCCAAAAATATAGTAATTTTATGTTTATTACACTATGCTCTTTAATTATATATACTATTTACAATATCACAATCGTTTTCTTATCGGTTTTCCTTACTTTGATGGACTGTTGTAGTAATCAAAATTGTAATTGTTTTCTTGCTTAACTTTGGTGGCTTCGTTTGGCTTTCGATTGTCCATTTGCTGCCTCTCCCTTCGTTCGCGAGCTCGTCTATTTTGAAACCAAATTTTCACCTATAAAATCATGAATTTAATTAAGATTATATAGACTTTTATTGAACGACTTACCCTAATATCAGCTAATTTGAGGATCGTCGATAATCTGGTAACTTCTTCGCTGCTCAAATAAGGACTTTGGCGGAAACGCTCTTCCAGTAAAGACAATTGGTGAGTGGTGAACGGTATCCGAGGATGTCGTCCCAGTTGCCTCTTTTGAGGACCACCTTCGCGTTTTCCTTTAAAGTATTTAAATAAAGTTAATTATGATATATATAATGACAATAAAAATTGTTTTTTAATTTACTTTTTTTTGTTAGAAGTAACGTAATTGCTTTTTGAACTAATTATTTTACCATTATTACATAAATTAATTAACTTACTTGGAACTTTTGGTGGGCAATACCTGGTGCACTGTAACCATGGAAACGGTTGTAATACCGTCGGTTTTCCGCAATCGAACGTTCCGTACTCCTGTGAACTCGTTCCTGCTTTATGCAAGATGTGATCTATACTGAAATCACTAACTTTTCTCGGAGTTTGCTGCTCCATTGGGCATCTATCCTCATCGTCGTTGCGAACACCGGAGGACGTCATTTCGTGTTTTTACTACAAGTGCCGAATGTATTTTCACGTGCATCCACAAGGTTCAGCACTTCATATAAGCAGGGATTCCCCACCATTTTAGGGATTAAGATACCCATCGAGTATGTGTAATTAACCATGAATACAATACATGGTCGGACCAATAAGAGTACAAGAGAATTGCCTGCCCATTTTGGAGATTCAGATCTGTAACTGCTGGGAGGAGTTTGCTTTAGAGGGGATGGTTATTTGGGATGGATAGATTATGTTTCAATTATTTTTTTTCTGGTGTTGAGGGGATGATGATAGTGAATGGCCGTGATGCAGTTTTGGGGTTGATTTGGCGCGACGGAAAAGGGTTGAAGCGTAAACTTTTCTCAAAATACTGGGAGATTGACTTTACAAGCTTGGTTGCAGTCGCTCGCATAACCCTTCTGCTTCCGTGGCTTTTCAACTTAATTTAGTTAAAACCTACAACCATGAAAAGATTAACATAACTTTTTACAATTCCGTATCAATGCCCGTGCCAATTTATATTTGTAATACATTTTCAAGAATTACACATACAGTATTTATTTTAATTATAAAAAGGAAGTCCTATTAAATTTTACTATTAGCAGTATTCGTAACATAATAAACATGTAAATAATATGTCTTTTCATAAATCAATTATACTTTTGTTGTTTATAAAATTATTAAAGATAATTCTACAATTATAATAAAACTAATTAATAACATTTTTTGCAACAATCACAAAATTATAAATAAAAATGAATATTTCCAATTGGATATACAATTAATTAACAAACATTTAAGTATCTATATTTTGATGTTATTCGAATATTAATTATTTTTTAGATCTTATGTTACAAACTCTACATTAATTTAATTGCATTTTTAAGATATTTGGATATTAATGGTAACAAATTATATTGGATATTATTGTCATTGAAAGTGACTTATATCTAGTTTATAAATTATAGGTAACACATTTGTAGACTTTAGAGCAAACAACATCAAAACTTAAATACCAAACCTTAAATACCAATGTAAAAAATGTAATGTAATATGTTACATTTTTTGTATATAAACTATAACTCGATTAAGTTTCAAATTTTATAAATTTGTGAGTTGGAATTTTATTATTTGTTTTCTAAATTGCAATATTAAAGGATTTAGAAATAATAAACATTTAGGGCCAGAAGTTTGATTTTTGTGTGTAAGTGAGTAATAAATAGTAATCAGTAAATTATAATTATTGTAACATATACATTAAAATTATAAAATACAAAATAGTATTGCAATTGATAGATTGCTTTTCCATTATAATAGAGAAACGAGGAAACTTTGGACGTAAAGTCCAATAAAAACTAATAATACTGTAAAATATTTTAAAGTAAACTGAGTTTATGTTTGCAATTTACGTTGTAACCGTGACATAAATATTTGATTATTTTTATTTGACATCATTTTGTTTCATTGATGGTAATTTATTTTGTCAACTAGATATAAACAATTTGTTGTTTCTTTAATATTTTTTTTGTTTATCTCAATAAATTATTGGATTTTTATAAATTTCTTTAAATATTATTTATTAATGTATAATAATAGAGTTGATATCGAATAGTGTTGTTAATATTACATTCAATGGTTGAAACTAGAGAACAAAACAAAAATGAGTAAATAGGAGAACATACATTAAAATGAATATTCCTGGGAAAAGTCCGGGTGTTCGGGCCGAATTCTGTGGCTGCTCCGTTTAATAAAATAAACAGGAGCTGTCCGTTTTGTGGTACGTTGGAATTAATAAAGTGGTTTCGTGTTTTCGCATTATCCTGTGTGCATGCGGCAAAAATGGAGATGTCAAAACAGATTAGGATGGGCATGAGCGGCTATTGAGCATCCAGTCCTTCCACCACCATTTAGTACCGTGTTACGGGCCAATTATTCCATGCACTCTCATCCTGAGCCGCTTACCACCATAATAAACGCAGCGAACACATTGCGCCCTAATCCCGAAACCCTTACAGGTTCTTTTCTCTCCTCTCTTGCAACTCGTAAAAAAAAGGAACAACAAGAATGGGAACAGAGAGGGAAGAGGAGTGGCTTCACTTCCACGAAGATGGACCTTTCGATTAGGGAACGCTCGTTATTCAAATTCGATTAAAAAGTGGTTTCCGATCGGATCTGTTTGCATGTGCTCCTTGATGCGAGTGGTTGGTTACAAAACGTTGATGCGCCCTTCTTCGCAGGGTGGTATCAGTTACGCAACGCATCAACATTGAAACCGAGACCCACACGCAATTCTCCCCAAACACCACGGGTGGTTACATCGTTTTCACGTATCAGTTTACCATTTACGAAGTACCGGTTTTTTTTTGATACACTGTTACTATTTATCCCCACTCCTAGAAAATTAACTATTTCATTTTATGAATTCCTGATTGTCATTTTTATAGTATAATTATATAATAAAATTATGTCCGACAATATAACAATATTATATTTTTATATAAGTCCATTTCTATGCGGATTTAAAGTTTTCAATTAGTACGGTTTAGTCTTTCTTAGCAATTATCCATACTTGCTGTATTATTAGATTTCTTCTTTATATGCATATTAGACAAATATTAACTAATATATGTAGATATACATATATTACGGGTAAAAATGTTGCAAATATTATATTTAATTACTATACAGATTTTTTTTAAAGATCATTAATTCAATTATTTCCTAGACAAAATAATATCATAATTTAAGTGTAAAAATAATAACCTAAAGTTACTTAAAAACAACAGTTTAAGTTCTGTAATTTACATGTTAGTTGTGATATTAGTAAAATTAATAATTATTAAATTTACAGTGGTACAGTGGAACCTTGCTTAACAAGTTTAATCCGTTCCAAAACTTCCGGATTTTTCTCGTATAGTGAAACATAGTAAAAAAATACACATAATATGTATTAATATGTCAAGTATTAAAAATGATGTAGCAGGCGCACAATCTGGGACTTCTCTTCTCATCGTCTCATGCGTAATGTCGTTCGTCATTTTTGTTAAAATTCATTTTGTTCGTTAAGCGAGGTTCCACTGTACATACATTATAAGAAGTTATAATATATTTCTATGAAAGAAGAAAACTATTTGAATTTCTATTAACATGATTGCTTGATAACAAATATATGTAGATGATTTTAGTTATTAACAACCATTGTAAAGGGTTATTGACTACATGTTTTTCCGATCTCTTATTTAGATATTAAGAATAGAAGTGATATAGCAATATCTGTTTGAAATCAGATTAATCGAGGAATTAAATGAAATATAAATAAACCGCACAAATAGAGCTGTATAAAGGGAAAAAAATCCAGTATTTATGTATAAAAACATATTTTTGTGTATTTTTCTTTAATTTTTTTTGAAAATTTAAAATCGAACTATAGAGAACCCACCAGACTGAACTTAATTTTCCGTATAAATGAATAAGACTGATCTTAGTCTGGTGAATAATACTTACAAGAAATGTCAGAACCGATTTAAAAAGTACATTTGATTAAACATATGACAGTCATATATTTAATTAAGATAAACAGGTATATAGATAGATATATTGATAAATATATTAGTATAAAATGGTAGCAGATGAAAAAAGCATGTTAATATCATAAGGATTGTATATTTATTATGCAGTTACAATCTGAGATCAATTATCGATGAACACGATGATTGTTCCAGGTAATTATTCGAAAAAGGTGAAACACGAACGAAGATAAAGGCGGCACGAGCTCCTATTTATCGAGGGATCTGTGGTGTGTTTACATGACCGTTTGTGTGTTTCTCCTTTCTTTGTCGAATGCTTGTTCTCTTCTTGTACGCAGAAAATCCGAATAAGCGTACGTAATTTGCCAACAAATGATGCGGCTCCATTTCACAGGGGTGTCTGTTACGTAAGTCCATGCGAAACCAACAAATCGGATTCCGTTTGCGGTGCATAGAAACCATCAAACATTATTATTGTTTGTGCACTTCGCTGCCGCTTTCATCCCCCAAACGGAAAATGGTCGTAATCCAAATTGTTACATAAATATTAAATGAATCTGCGTAATGCCATTCAACACCACCCCAAATACCATATTTAGGAGGATATTTGCATTCTGGCAAATCAGATTACACGCAATTATATGTAAATTGCTTATATTTTTCCTATTAAAAATTGAATGATTTAACTTCATTATTTGAACAATCTTAATTATCAAATTATACAGCAATTTCAAAATAATAAAATACACAAAATTATTTTGTATACAATATTTATTGAGAATTGGCTGTATACTCTTTAGTGCGTTTTTAAAGTCCTCGATTACTCCGGTTTCAAACAGGACTATGCGAGGTATTGCTTAGTTTTTTTATTGAAAGTTTGTATTGGAAATATACTATATAGTATACGTTTCAAGCAGACCCGGACTATGCTTAGGTTTTTTACTGAAAGTTTTTATTGCAAATAAGCAAATAATATAACGTGCTTGGATATTTGTATTCTGGAAAATCTGATTACACGCAGTTATATAGAAATTGCTTATTTTTTGCTATTACAAATTCAATGATTTAACTTAATTATTTGTACAAAGTTAATTATCAAATATTAAAACTATAATAGAATAATGATTTATATACTCAAAATTATACAGCAATAATTTCAATATTGTAAAATAAACAAAATTATTTTGTATACATTATTTATTGATTATAGTCAATTCTCTTATGCGCGGTTTTAAAGTCCTCGATTAGTCTGGTTTCAAACAGGATTCGGACTATGCAAATAAGCAAATATTATAATGTGCTTGATTCTTGATGAAAGTATAAATTTTATTTGGTTTACTCTAACTGAAAATTTAAATTTAATAATAAATAATTCAATATTATTTTATCCATCTATAGTATAGTATAATACATTCATATAATTATAGGTCCTTTATAATGTATGAAACACTATAAAATCTGAAACATAAATTATACATTAATTTAAATTATTAATGTATTTTTTAGTTGCGAGTTTTTTATTCATTGAGTTAACTTATTAATTATATAGTTTCAATTACACGTTCTTGTTGCTATTAATAACTTTGATTTTTGGTATTTGTATTGATTTTGTGGAACTACGTCTACAATTACAGGAATTTTTTCATAGTCCGGTTTGAAAATTTCAATTGAAGAAAATAAAAAATAACTTTAAATGTGCTACAAGTCTCTTTTTGTGCGGTTTTAAAGTTCTCAATTACCATGACTATGAATGTATTGCTTTATCTATGTCAAATATTAAAAACTATTTGAAAAAATAATTGTAAGAAAACCGAAACCATTATAAGAATTTAAGTAAAATATATATATAAACCGCTTTTTAAACCATTATAAACAAACTCTTATATATAATTACAAATAACAGACCAATTCTTATATGGACATATAAAACATGCAATTCTTTTAAAATTTGTTAAATTAATATGTAAAGGAGAATTGGATATCCAATGTTCATTATAATAAATTTACTGAAAATGAATGTAATAATAAGAATGACAAATTTTATTTTAGAATTAATCTTTAAGAAGATAATCTTTCGAGTGAAAGAAATGTAACATTAGATGAAAAGATTTTAAATAATAGATGAGATTGGGTAAATACAGACTGTTATTCACATGGTGGCGCCCTTTAGAAAAAAAGGATTACAGAATCGCTCGTGGCGATTTATTTTTTTGTTTGCATATAAAAGGGGTGAAAATATAAGAGAACAAACGGAAACATTGGTACACTTCAGGTATATTTGTATACAACTATTGTTCAACACAATATACATATACATACATCAGAAGTTATGTACAGAAAACAGTGCAACTTTGATTAATCCGGAATTAAAGTTTTCAAAAAAAAATTGTTAAGCAAAATTAAAAAAAAAACAAATAGTACACAAAAAAAATGTTTTCATCTTATTATTTTCTCTTTATACAGTCCATTTCTGCGTTTCTTTTTTGTATTGATTTGTCCGGATCAAAACAGTCCTGGAGATTGGCGAGTTGATGCTGTATTTCATAGTAAAAATATAAATATTACATTTTTGTTAATAATTAAAGAACTTAAAACTAAATACTAAATAATGAAAACAAAAAAAATGCATGGTGAAATATTAAAAAAAACATGTGCACATTATTTTTAGGTAGCTTATAAAAACGTTTATTGGCAAAACGATCGTTAAACATGCTTCTGGAATGATTACTACGTGTGTACAAACTTATAGGAGTGAAATCCCACTATAAACACTCTATGTTTACATTGCGATCCAATAAAAGTGTAAATTATTGTAACTTAATATTCACTGGTTATGACGTATATATTTGTAAATTGTTGGCCTAAAATATTTATATTTTTATTTAAACATTGTTATTTTCCAAAATTTGGATTAAATTAAATCGAATATATGTATAAATAGAATCATAATAAATATAAAATTATGTATAAAATTATTATGTATATGTATATGAATGCAATTAACTATTTTTTTTGTAAAAAAACGATTTTATTCACATAATAACATTTTTTGTTTAATTGCAGTAATACAAATATAATGATGATCTTATATTTCAATAATTACAAAATGATATATACCATAAAATATTCTATATAAGCAAATACTTTTGTACAACAATTAATAAAATAATTGTACTATAATTTTATATGAAAACATCATAATAAATTTAAGTTATAAAATAATGATTTGTTTTAAAAAGACATGTTTTTTTTTAATTTTAGAATCAGTACTGTTATATAATTATATAAATAGATTAATTATGTGTAAACTTGCAGTTTTCTTGTATAACGTTCGACTAATAATTATCAGTGGTATTGTGTTATAGAATGATGATCTAAGTGGTTGATAACATGCATCAGGTAAACAGAGATGTTCTTCTCCCCTTTTTACATGAAACTCGCAACTGTCCACCACTTGAAACTGGCCCAGATTAGATCTGCACGTAACAATGAGGAGCGGAGACCACTCTATTTAATAATATTATTATTTGTAAACAATTTGTGGCCTCCTTTCCACACAAGCACACTTCTATCTGAAATCTATTCACCAGCATACATCTGCAAGTTGATGCTTATCATGCGGTAATTGTCATTGTCCACTAAAAATCTTCAACAGAAATCTTCAAATCTACATATAATGTAATTTCAAAAGAGTCCTTTGATTTATTTTAAGTATAAAATAAATATTTTAGTATTGAAAGTAATTAAGCCTTTAACTAATGTACAATCACATAATATAATTATATCAAACAAAATAAGATTAAATTTTTCGACACAGCAATCATATGGCATCAGACGAAAGTTCCGTAATTTCATATTGACACCTTCAAGAATATATTAATCTGAGATATGGTTCAGGAAATGGAAAATCGGTGCATGTTACATTTACCTTAAAACGAAACACCTGTCCTTTAACTTTAACACCAGTTACACTCATCAACAAAGTAGTTCCAGCATCTTCAAGAAATCAAATTTAGAAAGATGTATTAGTTGTTGGATAACAAGTTGTTAGTCTACAAAGTCATATTAAAACCATTTTGGACATATGGTATCCAAATATGGGGAATAGCAAGCTCTACTAATATTTAAAAAATCCAAGTATTCCAATCTAAATGTATTAGAAGAATCGTACAGGCCTTTGGAATAAAAACAGTGGAAGAGATTGCCAAAGATTTCTCCAAAAAAATACACGAATAGGCTTGATTTGCATACGAACCCGCTGGTGGTCAACCTTCTGGATAACGGCGTGACAACGAGAAGATTAAAGCGCTTCAAGTCCTTGGATATTCAATTTAGATTTAAGCAAAGAATACATAAATATTATATACAATCGTTATGGAATGGTGCCACTGGGCAACAACTTCCTATTGTTAACAGCGTTTATAAAGAGTATTGTAAAAATAATGATATTAAATGAGAATGACTATTAAAACATTCAATTAATTAGTTTTTATTATATGGTTACATACATATCTCTGCCCCAATTGTTTCTTAGCGGCATAGTTAACGTTAACAATTAATGCACTGCTGAGTACTAAATAAGTCCAATTTAAATTTATTACTTATTAATATGTTTGCTTTTTTCAAGGTTTTAAGCTTTTCGAATTATAAATATTTATATATTCTTATCAGAAAATATTTTAACGATAAATAGTGAATGTGTTGTACATAAACGCTGCATATATAAAACGATTTATTCTTTATTTCACCTGATAAAATTGTAAAATAATTTTGTTTATTTTTGATCGTGACAAAATACAATGACGCAATAATTAAAAAACTGTAAGTTGAAGTAGAAATATATTATAAAATTATTTGTAATAGAATTACAAGCAAACTTCGATTAATGAATATGGTGCGATCTTCAAAATTACTTCATTTTCATAGGTAAAAAATATGAATTCTATTTGGAATAAAGATTTTTTCTTAAATAAACATTAAACTTATATATAAAGTGTACATTTTAATCAGTATCCCTTTTCATTTGTTGGTTGTTAACACTTCTTTAATTTTGTCATTATTTTCTCTCTATTCGTTACTAACAGAGTTTTTATTTAATTCTTCAGTGAAAACCCATCATCTTCTATATTTAATAATTTTTTAATATTTTCATATTCGAAACTTATTGATTAAACCATTCGGAAAACTTAATTTCTAATTATCTTTTAGTAAAAATTCTGGCAATATTTTGCTTGAAATTGCAGTACAAAATCCGCAATAACAAATCTTCATTATCAAATGTAAGATTATATTAGATTTTTAACTTAAGTATAAATTCAATTTAGAATATTAAATATTAATTATATGCAACCATATATACAATGAGAAATTATTATAAAATAATATTAATTTAATTTAAAAAAATAAACACATTTTATAATATCCGATACCTCAAATGTCAATACATACATATGTTTTTTCTACAATATTTTATGTACATCAAAGAAGTATCGTCAAGTGATTATTATAAATATATAATTAAGACTGACTAAATAATAAACTGTTTAATTTACATAAATTAATCTTTAAGGACAGAAAGATCTACGATTAATAGGGCTTTGTAAAAATATAGGCCTTTATAACAATTCAAATACATTCTATTTCATTCAGTTTTTGTTAAAATTGCAATATTTAATTATGTAATTTACAAACAAATATTTTCTCTATTATGATTGTCTGATTTAGGATCATCGACATATAAAGAGTCCAACGTTTATAAATTATTATAATTACTCTGATAATTATATTTAAGATAATTATCAATAATAAACTTATTATTGTATACTTTACATACGATAATAAGTATATAAAAGTTAAAACGTAAATAAAAGTATTTTATTTTTTATTATAAAATAATGTAAACATTCCATGGAAAAGGTTAATGTCTTAAGATACCTTGCTTAAGAACGACTTTCTTGATGTTTCTCACCAGTTCGTTCTCAGACTTGTAACGATTTTTAAATGAGCGGGATTGTGTGGACATTCATCTTATGTTTCCTACTGTTTTCTACAGTTGAGAATCGTGATTATGGAATTAAGCCAAAAGTTTTGCAACCCTATGGAAAAATGCCAGTAGTTGGTTTAGGAACATGGATGGTAAATATATATAAAAAAAAAATACAGAGAAACCTTGTTTAACGAGTTCTATCAGTCTCAAAGTTTCCAGATCTTTACTCGTATAGTGAAACATATTCAAAAATACACATAATATGTGTATTTTAAAAAATAATTTGTATACGTCAAATAAAATGTATAAACATATTTAATATAATTGCTATGTAAAAGAAGAAAGAAAAAATAAAGAAAAAGTAAATAGGTTTGTTTTGTAATATATAAGAAGAAATAAAACAGTAGACACTATTTTTCAATTTTACGCTTGAACTGCATAGCTTCATGCTAGAAATGATTACCTTGGGAAATGTAGAAAATTGAATAAAAAAAACACCATTTATATAACGACTCTCCAACCTTCATTGCAATTAGATGCAAACTGCATTGTATCTAGTACATTCTACATTTACAACAATTATGTTGATCAACTATTTATTATTTATATTTTGATAAAATAAATAATTTGAGAACGGAAAGTCTGCGGTTAATAGTCCTTTGTTTTTAGTTTATTAACTACAGAAATATATTTACAAATCTGGCGCGTATACGCAAAAAAAATAATTGAAACTGTTTATATATTTATATATATTTTGAATTACATTACACTTCAAAACTCTGAAAATATAAATATCACAATATTTTCATCAAAAACATATTTTACGCCAAATTGAAAAATGAAAAACTGAAACGGTATAATGAATAATTTGAATATTTTTATTTCAGGTCTAACAGTCCTTTATACAATGTCCTATTTTACACTCGGGAAACCAAGTTGTAACATATTTTCTTTTTTTTTTCACCTCGAACAGTATTTGAGCATACATGACAAATTCTTCGTCTTTTTTGTCTACTTTTAGTAGATGGAATATACTGGTGAATGATTTTACATGAAATTTACTGATCTATGATTTACATGCTGCAGAGTTCCATGTTTTATTTAAATTTGTCTCATGACAATAATTTTCAATGCGGTAAAAAATAATTATTTTTATAATAAATTTTAGAAGGAAATTGCAGGTAGATAGCACAAAATGAAACTCACTAATAATTATTACTATATTAATAATAACAAGTTATTGGATAAAAAATATAATATAACATAAAAACTAAATTAACATATATATAAAGACCTAAGCTAAAATATTCATAAAATATATGGGTATGTGCATACTGTAATAATCATTAAGTTCCGAGATAACAAATATTACAATAATATATAGAATGGTCATCAAATCGATTATTGACGACCTCACGAAAGTTTTGTTTTGTCGTTTTGTTATTGACGACAACCGTAGCTAATGGGTAAAATAATTTGTATTGTATTATAATCTATGAACAGGACTGGAGTTAAATTGTTTTCCGCTGAGGTTTAAAAAAAACGACTTTTTTAAAAACCAGTATTCGAATTTCAACTTGTCTAGAAAACCGGTTTAAACCGGTAATCTATAATTTTATTAATTGTTAGTAGCGCGTTCCACGGAATACACTTGTTTTCCACGCACATACAAAAATCTAGGCATATTTGTAAAGAAAACTTTACTGGATGTTTAAGTTTGCATATTTTTATTCTACGATATATATTTTATTTCTTCTTCAGCAAACAAAAAATATATTAGTCCTCCTATATATTGAAAAAACGGTTTTCAAATAGTATACATTTCTTCATAAAATCGGTTTTCCAAAACCTTACATAAATGTATACCAATCATTGTACAACAATACTTTACATAGAGTGTGGCTTCGATCGGTCCAGATTCACTATAGCCCGTTTTTAAAATTTCAAAATATTTATTTTTTTCAAATATTTAGTTCCGGTTTTAGTCAGGAATATTAACAGAATTGGTAATTACTATAGTATGTATACATTTATGAAAATATTTTGCACTTTGTAGTTAGAGAAAATCAATCGCAAAGCAATTTGGCCTGTTAACAAATTAATTGGATCGGTAATAAATTATACCGTAACGTCTTCGATGACGTTCATTATATATAATTATAATAAATGAGTGTTAGGTCTAATTTTCTATATTGAATCGTTTATTATTTAAATAACTAACTAACTCAATTATTTATTGTTCATTTTGTCCGATGAACTTTTGCCATCCTTCTATCAACTTCATGATTCCGCGCTCATAAAACTTCTGGTCAGCAAAAAAACTTAACCATGTGCCATTTCAGGTCAATATAATAAGTAAATGAATTTCCACTCAAAGGATTTTGCAAATTGTGAAAAACATGTTTTTTTTATTGTTTTCTCCAGTTTTTTAGTTTCTCAAATTAAACATCTGAATTAAACGTTCAAGGAAAATCAAAGTCTGTACATAATTATGTGATAACCAAAACAATTTAATTTTAATGTCAAGGTACAACAATTTTATGAATAATATTTATAAATGCTGTAGTCTAAAAATTATAATTATTTTATATTCATATAAATTTACTTGTATAATCTAAATTAGGATAAACATATATAAGAAATTTTCATATATAAAAAAAATATATTTTTCTTAAAATTTTTACTTAATATAAAAAAAAAATTCTCTTAACATGTTAGCATTTGTCGCAAAACGTTTTATAATTGTAACAACAATTGTCCGGAAAGTTCGTGCCGATTTTCGGTAAGTACAATTGGAAGCATTAAAGCAATAACTGAGATATTCTGCTTACGGAGACGTTGCTTTAGTTAAATGAATTTTAGGAACATAATTTTCTAAATTTAGAGCTGATGATTTCAGCCATAAAATTCTGCTAGTAATAATGATGAATTAAGACATTGACGACGCGTGAATGAGCAAAAATATCAAAAAAAAAACTATCGACGAACGTTTTTGAAGCTTGCGTACATAAACCGTTAAGATATGTCTTATGAGTTTTGCACAATTTGCTCTTAAATTTCTTTCACTACTCAACAAAAAAATATAACTCGGAAAATATTATATTTGTCCACCAGTAATATTCACCAGACCGTGCACAACAATGTCTTTGCAAAATTCCATTAACTAGAAGAACTATTAATTTATATATTATCAACTTATTAGTTTCCAACTTTCTTATTTTTATTATTGAATATTGAAAAATATTTTATATTATCAATAACTATTATACTAGTCAATATATTTGATGTTAAAATGTTGAATACTATCAATTTCCACAATTGCTTCATTCTTGTCAGTTATTAAAAATATGATCATAAATTATTTAAAAAAAGCAACATTATGCGAATTTAATTACAAAAAATATGTGAAAGTAATAATTAAATCATTTCTTTTTGTATTATAATTCAAACGCAAAAATAATCTACAAATAATTCATTAATATTTAATTCAGCAAAGTGCTTCGATCAGTTGGGATTCACTAAAATCCGATTTGAAAATTTCGAAACAAACTAAATTGTAATTGAGCAAAATAAAAATAAATTATTTTTGTGTGGTTTATTACACGATTAGTACAGAATCAATGCGACGTATTTTTTGTCCTTACTAATACTTCCACCTATCTTTATTTCTGTGTATTATTGAAAATGCAAAATCTTTATTAAGAACTAAAAGCAACTTGATAATTTATCAACTAATTACTTTGATTATCGGTAAAGTTTATCCATTTAATGTCAAACGCGATTAAATGTATTCATTGTTCACATTGATACAACAGATTGTGAATAAAATTTTTACAACATATATCAATACACTTATATAAGTTGGGAAAGATCATTAGTTTCAAATACAAACATTGATTTATAAGTTGTTAAATATTTAATGAACATTTCTGGTTTAAAATACAAAGTAATATATACATCAAAGAATTACAAAATAAAATAAGGGTAATAATTACACCCCCTATAATTTCATTTCTTTGATTTTATATTAAAAATAGAACCTAATAATAACCAACCTCAATTAATTAATTATTACTTAATACTCGTCTAGCATCGATCAAGATTCTTATATTTTTTGTCCTTACTAATTAACGATTCCATCTATTTTTTTCTTCCATTGATCATGCATACAACATGAATCCGTGAACACGAAACTACAGCCGCTCTGCGCATGTGAAAGTCAAGGACTATTCACTTTTAAACAATTACTCCACATCCACAGACGCATTCCTTCGGAAGAATCGTTGTGGTAACCACTGCACCTTCCCACCTGTTTCAAACCAGTTAACGGTTTATACCGACTGACGAAAGATGTTCTACTGTACTTTAAATACTGGGGCCCAAATGCCTGCTCTAGGCTTCGGCACTTGGCAAGTAAGTTCATCTTATCACAATCTTGCTATCTGCTTCCAACAAAAAATAAATATACCTATCAAACTTTTAACAACAATGTTCTTATCTGCTTACAAGTATTTTCTTTATAATTAAACAATTTCTTAGTAAGGAAACTTATTACATTTACAATAATAATTGTGTACAATAATATAACAATTCTAAAAGTATAACATAACGATTTTTGTATGAAAACACTGCATTCTCAGTTTCATTCTTAATTAATCACCGAAACTTATCAAACGTTTAATATTAATTTTGCATTTATTTTTAAATGTTTCTTATTGCATTAAACAATAATATAAGCTTAAAACTTAGTTTTATGTATGAAAACGCGTCATTTGCTTTCATAATTATCAATTTAAACTAATCAAACTTTTACTAATAATCTTGAATTTATTTATAATTTACTTTTGCATTATAATATATAATATAATAATAAAACATATTACAATTGTGACTGTAAAAATATTCACAGAATAATTTGCGTTTTTTTTCTTAATTACTTATAGCAATAATTTGAATTTATTATAAACAAACTTAGTTTAAGAATAAAATGTAAAATTTTAATTTTTAAATCAATTTGTTGATTTTATGTCAACTATTATCGAACTAATAGTATGAAATTGCTCATGCGTGTTTAGGTTTGTAATATTCATTGTACAAATTCATGGTGAATGGTCAAGGACGTTCATGACGGTGGATAGTTCTTTTTTACCTTATAATTAATTTTATTTGGTTTCAATATCAAATAATTTTAGAAAAAAATATTTTTAATTTAGTTTCAATATTAATATTTTATGTAAGACACAATGTTGTTTTGTATAATGCAAAAATATATCAAATGTTGTCTATAAATTTAATGAAATATTTGATTATCATAATTAATTTTGTAATTTTTTTGTCAAAAAATATCTAATTAAGTTTTTTAATGTACTTCTAATCTCATTTAGTGATCGCAGTTTTTATGACATTATATTTATAACCAAGGTTATTTTTCTTCAATGATTTAATAATTAATTGATTAAATTTATTAAAACATTTCTTATTATTTTGTTATTATTATCGGTTTCAACAAAATCCTGGAGTGTTTTAATCAAAACTTATCGAGGAACTAAATACATACAAGTTAAATGATGAAATCTGGAATCTGCGAAGTATTGCTGAAGTTATATTTGAACAGCTTATGATTAATGTTACTATATTTATTTAAACAAACAATTTTATCTGTAATGATACAACCTACTTGTGATATACAGAATAAATTATAATTATCAGATTTTATATTTTCTTTTCAAATTTTCACAAAACTGTCTGAGATTTAAAGTATCTCCTTTAAATAATTTACACTGCTAAATTAAAATACACATACAGTTAAACTATTTTCATATATAAATATCTGACCGATATTTGATAAGACGCTTATACAAAACTTTCCATGTTTCTGTGTTTACAAAACGTGAACATTTATTAAAATAATAATAATATTTATTAGTTACAATGCACCCAAAGAGCTATCGACCAAAGTCTCTCCGCCCAAACATTTATTATTTTTCTCAAAACGGGACATCTAATTAAAAATTAGAATGAAGAATTACTTTCGTAACTAACATGGTTAGAATTGGGTCTTTGAGTTATGATTTTTCGCTTGTCCATAACTTATTTATGAAGGCAAAGACCCTTTCTAGTATTTCTGTGTTTTGTTTAGAATCAATAAATCCTTTTTCAATAAACTCATCCATTACACTTTGAATTTCTTCCCACCTAGATATTTTAGTTAAATTTCCTATTCAAATATGTTTAATTCTTCAAAGAACTCAGTCTACTACTCTCTTTTTAAAAACGGCACATTTCTGCGTCCGGAAGCTGTCCTGCAAACAATGGGACAGGCTACCTAAAAACGGAACAGGCCAGTTCAAAACGAGACGTCACTTTGTATATGTAGTGGGTCTATATCGAAATCCTGACAACCAAAATACCGTCAATCGAAATCCCGACTGCATCAAAATTACAACAACCATAATCCCGATAATCATAATCCCGGCTATATCGAAATCCCGACTGTATCAAAATCCCGACTATATCAGAATCCCGACTGTATCGAAAATTTCTACAGTAATATTTTTCAATTATTTCATGTGCTATATTTTTATTATTAATAACAATAAATTATTATTTTTTTTTTATTTTGTTGAATTATTCATAATAAACCTTAACAATATGAAATAATCTCAAATACAATTAGATTATTAATTGCTCTTATTTATAATTAATAACAATTTAAAAGTACCTACTCTCCGGAATAAAATAAAAATGTTATCGTAGAAACTTATAACAGGTAAAGGACTAAGATACATTTTGTTTCTTAAGACAACCTCGAACACGTAGATACTACACGCATACAAAAATATCTAACATAATGGATAATGTTAATATCCTGTATTGTTTGAAACCTGACTAATCGAGAAAGTAAACTACACACAAAATGATTGTATAGAGTGAAAAAAAAGTATAATGTACATAAATGTTAATTTGCTGAACTAAAATTATTTTGTTTTGATGTAGTCAAATCAGACTATAGTGAATCCGCAACTATCGAAACCTAAGTATTATCGAAGCCGATTATATTACTACAACTAGATTCAACGTGTTTATTTTTCCTTTAGAAATTTACGTTAGATTTAAAGAATATTTGCTCTATATTCTCCAGATTGTCTATTATAACTATAATTATATCATTTTAAAATTAAGAAACGTTTATCTCAATTCTTGAAATTGAAGTTCTGTATTCTTATTATATATCTCGGGTTTTCCATTCGTTTGAAAAAAAGATTTTCTTTATACTAATGTATTTGTGTTTTCTTCATATAATAACAGTTTTTAAAGATTTGTTTACAAATATATTATATTATCAATATATTCAATCAATAATATGTGTTTTTTTTAATTGTAGGCAACAGAGGATGAACTTGAGAAAGCTTTGGAGGCGGCTTTGGAAGCAGGGTATCGCCACATCGACACGGCTTTCGTATACGAAAATGAACATGTTATAGGTCGTGTCTTAAAACGTTGGATGGACGAAGGAAAAGTCAAACGTAAGTCCGCTTTTTGTCATAAATAATTGTAATTGAGAATTGCGAACATTTGAAAGTCATATATAATTGTTGCATGTTTGCATAAGTATCCTTGAACACAATTTCTTACCAGTTATTTATCGTCTACAATCTTAAAAAAATTGTTGAGAATTTCATTAATAAAGAGTCGTTATTACGAAATCGATAATTAACATACTTTTATTTGCAATAGGTGAAGACCTTTTCATTGTCTCAAAAGTACCGCCGATGGGAAATAAACCGGAAGGAGTCCCGAAATATTTAAATAAAACCTTAGAAGCTCTTCAGTTGGATTATCTGGATATTTACTTGATCCATACGCCATTCGCATTCGTTGATATCGGAAACGTTTTTCCCATGGGTGAAGATGGCAAAATTATGATGGATAAATCTAACGATCACGTAGCAACTTGGAAGGTATTAGTGTTAAACTATTTTTTAACAAAACTTAACTTATTTTTGTGAAGGTTATGGAGGAACAAGTTGATAATGGAAAGGCCAAAGCGATTGGAATCTCAAATTTCAACATTTCGCAAATTTCCAGGATTTTGAATAACTCCCGCATCAAGCCTTGCAATTTGCAGGTCGAGTTACATGCATACATGCAGCAAACGGAACTTGTTGATTTTTGCAAGAAAAACGACATCGTGGTCACAGCCTATTCGCCGCTGGGATCTCCTGGTTTGGGTGCTTTCTTTAAGCTTTTGGGACAAGAGTAAGTGTGAAATATGATTAAAATAGAGAAATATAAAGTGATCACATAAAAATCTAACAAGAAATACTTTCTTTTGATTTAAAATACACTCTTTAAATAGATTCATCAATATGTTAAAAACTATCATCCAAATGAAATATTCATCCTGTATATAAACTTTAGATAATCAAATTAATTGATTGATTGCAGAAAGGAAGTTCCCAATCTCTTCAACAACAATGTAGTGATGAAGGTTGCTGAGAAGTATAACAAAAGTCCAGCTCAGGTGCTCCTGCGACACGGCCTTCAAAAAGGTCTGGTGGTAATCCCCAAGAGCACCAACGAGAAACGTCTCAGATCCAACATCGATATATTCGACTTCGAGTTAAACGAAGAGGATATGAAGCAGTTGAATGGAGTGGATAAAGGAAGCGCAGGACGTATACTGGATTTCAGCATGTTCATTGGGTATTTATTGAAACAACGTCGAAGCATCGGTCATTTTAATTATTCTTTTCATATATATTTTGTTTTCGTTTCTTTCAATTGCAGAGTCAAGGAACATCCAGAATATCCTTTCCCTGAATTAAAGTAATAAATGCAAGAAAATTATTCACTACATTATGTAAAACCATAAGGAGCACCAAGTACGCTTCCACTCGTCTGCGATTTAGTACTTGAAAGAAGAAAAATCTCTATTTGCAACCTACGTAGAATTGCGTTCACCTGCGATAGTTTAATTTATAAAAATTATATAATAATTCAATTTACACGGATTTTACACAGTGTACAACATCTCTTCTTATAATTAGTATATATATTTATATGTAGAATCCTTAATAACTAAATCCTTGATGTGCGATTCCGTTTATTATCGATGTTTATTATCATTATTGTTCTTCGTACGCGAATTAATTGACTTATGCTAAGCAACTTTGAATAAAATGAATAATGAACACTTCCTCTTAGTATTATTTAAGTGATATGACGACTTTAGATACATCAAAAATGATGAATTTCTTATTTAAATTTACTTTTGTTGTCGTTAGGCCGATTAAGTTTATTCATTCCACCAAAGCTACAAATATATTATCGTTTTTTTTTTAGACTTGCCAAAGTTACTATACAAAAAGCAATATATTTACAATAGTAAAGATTTTGTTCATTTCACCTAATATATAATTTTTTTATAACAATATATAACAATAGATAGAAAATAGTTAACAATAGTATTACTCAAATAGTTGTTGTTTTCATTTACCGTTATATGTAAACTAATTAAAAGGAGAGGAAAATATAAGGGGATTAAAAAAAAGACGTAAGAAAATATGTATAAGGTAATAATAAAAGTTTTAGGTTTGCAGCATTACGGCAATCGCGGAGGGAAAATAAATCAGGTCATTTGCAATTTGAATTTTAAGCACTCTTGTATTTATCGAATAGGTGTGGCAGTTGAAGCTGTTATTGAGTTATCACCTTCCAACGTTACTTCTTTCTTTCATTCTACTTTTCTCTCGTTCGTAATTAACAAGACGTAATATGTATATTCGTATGTACACTTATATTTTAAAGTACGCTTTACGATATGTGTATGTGTGTGTTTTATAAATAGAATTCCCTCCGAGCCTCGCGTGGGTCGGAACCGCTTATAAACTAAGTTGTTTGGTGATGGATCTGGTTTTGCTGGCTTCGTAGTAGCAACCCTGATGGACGTCGGTGTCGCTGGAGACTCGCAGCATGACATAGGACCCCGTGGAAGAAGTCTGCTCGTCAGCTTCGACTTGTGCATCGTCTCTAATGATATGTTTCTGCTGCTGATGGTGACTGTTCGTGGAGGAAGAGGATTGCTTGATGCTTTGAACACAGACGGAAAGACCTAGCTCGCTGTACGACGGCGGAAGGTCGCAGATGTCTTCGTATGCTGGAGGTGACATTCCTACGGGAGTACATGGATCTGAGAGGATTTTGCTTGTAGCTTCCGAATCCAAGATGCTCGGAGTGCTCGCATATTGTTGCCTTCCTCCGTGCCGGTGGGCCCTGATCAGATTTGCGCTTAACTCCATGAAGTCGAGGCCTGCCTGATCTGCCTCGAACTCTGCAAACACGCTTCTATCCACGACCAGCATCCGTCCGAACGGCAGCAGTATTATTGTTGGGGTTGTTGAGCTGTTGTCTGAGGTACCTTCAAACAAACAACATTATTACTACAACGAATATAACAAGCAAATGTTACTTTAAAAAAACTACAAGTAAATAATGCGATAAACTGAAAAGAAGTTATTATTCCATATTCAAATTAATATTCTATGTACTCTTCGGCGTAAACTGACGAATCGCTGCTAAGTGAGGTGGCAGATTTTAAACGATATTGTACGAGCTGCAGAGATGAACATCGCAGTGGTGACCACGCCAGAAAAGATGAAAAAAAATCAACAAAATTGTCAAAAAGTGCTGTACTTCACATATTGACTGAAAATTTTGAGATGAGGAAGATGGGTACAGCGTTTGGTCACAATTAAAACAATGCACCAGTTCACAAATCCAAAGACTATGTTGAGATATAAAGATATTATTGTGTTTTCTTTATTAGATCGGGTACTTCTGGGACTATCGTCGTATTTATCGTATTGATAATTATATACCTAGTACATATTTAGTAAAATAAAAATTTCATTATATTTAGTAAAAAATTAAATCATATATTTATGATTTAAAACGTTTCTATCGTTAAATTCTTAAGCAGATGTCAATAAAGGTTCATCTATTGCTTCCATTTATATATAATCATACAGTCATAGTTCTAATAACAAAACCCGCAATATCAAGCACTATTAGACATAAACAAAAATCAAATATAAGCGCCCAACAATTATCCATCAAAATATAACCAGCAGCAGTAATAGTAGAAGAGAATATCATCCAAAACAAATACAAAATCAATTATCTAATCAATAGGTGTAGATGATTGTTTTTCAGTGGAAGATTTACATAAACTATATGGCAACGAATACAAAGAAAATGACAAAATTAAAATAATTCCTGCCGAAAAAATATTTAGAACCAAATGTTGAAAATGTGATTTCATTTTGTGTTTCTTAAATAAAACTTTTCTTTCTAAAAAAAACAAATATTTTCATTTTCGATTCGTACTATGTTTACCTGGTTTTGTTTAATTTTATGAAACACATTCTATTCATTTATCGAGGTTATAATTTCTGCGATATGATAAGACACAATTAAATCTTTTCCCTTTTCTGATTTTTCTTTGATTTGTTTCTTCATGTTTTATTTTCTCTGGTTACTAAAGAAAATACATTGCTGAATTTGTACCGTATTTATTAACTTAGTTTAACAATATGGGAAGTAGACTGATTTAATATATGATTATTATGTGTTATATTTTCAATGTTCAATACAATTCGTTAATTGATTATTAGCGCAATGTTGGATCTCTAATGATGTCATTTTATAGAGTTGTATCTATATTTCTTGAAATTTCAGAAGCAATTTCCTTTTACAAATTTAATTGGATACTGGATCTAATGATATTATTTTTCATACTCTGCAACGTCGTTTCATATTGCAATGGAAAACTTCATTAATTATTTCCGTTCTCCCATTTCTTTAAATGATCTGTAGTTGTGCAATATCAAGTAAATCATTTTTAGCTACTAATAAACAGTTCCTTCTTCTGACAATATACACGCTTATATATTGAAACTCTAATAATTAATAAGTATATAAAACAGGAAGGAAAGACTACGATTGATTGTCTTTTGGTCATAAGTGTGACCAATAAATATGTTAACTAAATAGTATAAAATAATAATAATAATAATAAAATTGAAAAATCCTCAAAAAATGAAACATTGAAAAATTAAAATATTTAAAAAATATATATATATTTCTATAATCTTGATATTTTTAACATATAAACATGACAAAATTATATTTATTATTAAACTATTTAAAGTAATCATGGAAAGGAAATCCGCGATTACAAAACAGTTATTTTTAATATAAAAATAAATTAAGAGCTCAAAATTAATTTATTTTTATAATTACGGTTTAAACTAAAATATAACGTTTATATTAAAAAAATAAAAACAACTCGAATAACATTAAAGACAATTTGGTCATAGTTATAACAATGGGAAATACAATACATATTTTGACTCGAGTACGAAGGTTATTTTGATTTTACTTACTATTTGAAGAAACCACTTTATAAACTTTATAGTAAATATTTTCGGTGTTTCAGAATTTTAGTATCTCTAAAAAAAATAAGTTATATATTAAATTCGTATATAAATACTAGATAAAAAAAATACATGTAAATATCTATCAATTCGTAATTTATAGTAGTGTTTTATATTTAATGTTGTTATTTAGATGCTTTCTAACATTATTAATTCCAAAGATTAAAAAATTAAATGTCTGTTGGACCAAAACAAGTTTTGAAAATTAGTCAATACAACAAAATACCATTTTCATTAAATTACATAACAAATTGCGTTTCAAATCATTTTATTAAATTTGGAAGAAAAACTGAATACTAAAGAAAACTTATAAAGAAATATTGGTTCTGTATTTTCACTTGATTACATTAATGTTTTTCTTAAACTAAAGTTAACACTATTTTTTTTATTTTGTCTTAAATTTTTAACTAAAACTTGATTGATTCATATTTAAGTATTATATTTCAAGGATTTTTAACCAAATTTTCATTTTATTTTCTGGTCAAAACGCCTTTTGCAGTAAATTCTAATTAAATATTTTATGTATGAGCCGTTTATTTTGAAAATGACCTAAATCGATTTATATTTAAATTCAGATACATATGATCTAAAAGAGTTAATTTACAATTATTAATAAGATAATAGCAATTATTAAGTGCCACAAATGGAGTAAAACCACTTAATTAGATTTATTATAAAATTTGAAAGAGCTCAAGTCCATTCGACATAGTTTAAAATTGAAAAAAAACAATACTCAATTTTATATCTCTTTAGAACACTACAAAAATACAATTTAAAGCTCATCTAGATTCTGTATACAGGAGGCTTTTGATGAAGTCCATCATAATTTGTCTTATATTGATGTATATTGACAAAATGATGTAATTAAAATATTTCCGAAATTTCTTGTTCTACACTTTGCATTCCCATCCATTGATATCGTAATAAAAGATATACCAATTTATTGTATTGTGTGTTAGAATTCTTTAACTTTTTAAAAACTGCGTCCATTCATTTCTTTTAAAATAAAGTTATTACTACTTTCAGAAATTTGAAAATACGAACTTTATGACTTTATCAATAATGAAATGGACTTAGACCACTTTCTATTTTGATAGTTTTTAATTATTGAACTAATTATTCAATTATTATTAATCCCAAATTATTATATATGCTAGCTAACATCAAATTATAAACATTACTAAAACCAACAAAAAAAAGTGAAAAATTGACATAAGCCACTTTTAAAAGCGATTCATATTCTAAATTAAACGTTTCTTATATATTAAGGTTGCAGATTAACCTCTTTATTATTACAATAAAAAAAAGGTATATAAAAATTATATTTTTCATATACGAAAATTTCAAGCAGCGCCCGAACTTTGATATTTCGAAAGTACATAATAATAATAAATTGGGGAAATTTATGCATTAATTAATTTCGGGCGTGAGATTAACGACGTAATTAATCATACGCCTCAATATACAGTGCACTGCCAATTTGTATATTGAATCCTAAATTGATCAATGTCGTACATCAAAATAGAAAATTGCAAGTTGACAGCGCGGTATAAAGTACAGAAGTCGTATCGGGCAAGCTTCCAAAAATTTACAAAAAAAAAAATAAGATGAAAGAATTTAGCTAATAATGTTTCCTTGCAAAGAAGCATATGCAGTAATATTGTTTTAATCTTTAGAGTAAATATTTTTCTATACTTGTTTTCTTTCATTATTTATGTTTTTGAGAGTAAATAAAGTATTATTAATGAAGAAACGCTGAGTGTTAGATAGTCGATAATCATTTCTTTCATTGTTGTTTTGAGGCTTCTGGTAGTAAATATACTGTTATTAATGATAAAAGTTTTGTAATGGTGTTATGTAACGTTGATGCTTTTGCATTAATCTGCAGCCACTTGACGTAAAGAACTGCAATTAGATGCATTGTGCGAGACTCGGATCAAAGACCCGACTTTACAAAGTCCCCAACGTTTCCAAATTTAATCACGCTCCGTGATTAATTACCGCAGCATCCGAAAATAAGTAAAACACGTACGGCAAAGAACTCGAAATACAGAATTTATTTCTTTCGTTTTCGCGAACTGTGAGAGCGGCGATTTCTTTTTTAGCTATTTCCACTGACTCGTAACGAAATGTATTATTTTTTCTGTTTTTTTTTTTTTCAAAACGTATGAGTCTTGTCGTAACATTTTCAAGCGTATTTTTAAAAATCGCAACTTTCATTTGGAATTGGTAAATTTTTTGTTTACGTTCGTGATGCAAACGCTCCACTCAAAACAAACCTCCCCAGAAACCTGCCAAATCCAATTAACTCGTCGCATTTCGCAAAATTTCCAACTAAATTTCCGATTCCACGATTTTCCTTGCATATTAGTAACACAGCAAAACTCAAGTCGTAATTTAGTAACTGGTTGCAGTTAAAAGATTAATGGTTGTTAATTAGCTTCGGTTTTGGTTGCACACACACAAACACTTTGTGTTTACCTCTCCATTTTGAGCGGAATCCATAGCCGTCATCACCACAAATTCCTCGTCTTCTTGTCTACGAGATACTGCTGAAATAATTTCGCACAAAATACAATGATTTGCCCAGAAGAAGATAAAAACACAACAATGAAAAAAGAAACATATTCAGTAACGAAAATTAGAAAGAAAAAAAAGCTGCAGATATTTTAAAATCATATTTTCGAATATCACAAAATTTCAGACATTTAATGTCATCCAACGGGAAAAAATACGATCCTCCCGTTACATTTCTTTTATTTTTTGCATCATCTCCTCGTTCAAAGCGATGAAAATGTATATAGACTTTTCACGTCTAATTATAATCCAAACAACATATATTTAGAATGCTAAACGTTCGTGTACATTTACATCTTTGAAGTCCGATGTAAAGCCAGAGAATGAGATGGACATCGAATAGATTTTTTTGTAGCAGATTTAGAATTGTTGATGTACAATATCTAGTTTCTGCTCTGTACTTTCATTATACAAATATACATATATATGTACAGCATGATGTACTTTGGTGTAAATTACCTGGATTTTCGGCGTCCGGTTCTGGACAGCAGCAGCAGACGCGTTTCCTGCAGAAATCCCTGACTGCCGGTGCTCCGCAAAAGCAGAATATTAATATGATTACGAGAACGGCGATCATCGTGATCAAAGGTGCTATGCTTGTGTTCATGCCGCTTCCGGCCGCCGCTCCGGTTCCTGTTCCGGCGCTCGCCGTAGCATCGGCCCCATTTCCGGTCCCCGCAGGAGCTGAAAATCAAACGCAAATTATTAGATTATTATAACATGAAATTTGATAACAAGGAATGAAATAACATTCTTTTATATTATTATTATATTATTATATAGAAGAGATGCATACAAACTAGTCACAACTGTAGCACGTAACTCCACTCTTGGTTTTTTAACAATTAAGTTTCCAAGGCAAAACTCGATTTCCAAACAGAATTTAGGTTGTCAAACAGGATTTCGGTTTTCAAACTAATTGGAACCAGGTACGTCAAAGGTATTCTGGCATAGTGTTACTTCCCATCCGTTTAACCATCCAAGCAGTAAACTCTTCTACGAATTTTAAAGAAATATATACTATATTTGATATATTTATTATATGTGCATTCAAGAAAACGTGTAAAAATATATGCATATTTCCAAATCGTGTAAAAACAAACCATTTAAAAACAGATTGATTATTGCATTTAACACTTCAGGTTAACATAAGATACTGATTAATTTAAAACATTTTTTTTTATTGAAACAAATTTATTGGTCACAACTTTCTGTCAACAGTCTTTTTATTTATGTGATATGATAAATAATTATCAATTGATACATTATCCAAAATACGAATGAAATCACTAAGCAATTTTGAATGATCCAACAATAGTTTTAACGACATAAATTGTAGTAAACTCCGGATGATTCATTGCAAAGGAAACATCAATGGTTTTTCTCACAACTCGCGACCTCCTAAATCCTGGTGATTCATATGTTGCTTTATTCCTATCATCTAAAACTAATATAAATGCAAGTCTGCAGTAAATAGCAATTTGTGCCAAGATTATTACCTTATTTTATAATTTTCGTTTTTTTTTTGTCATCATCCTTGTACATAATTCGATCAACAAACTACACATTTACCAAGCAAATACATTACTTTATTTCTATTTAATATTAGTGTGTACCAATATAATAATAATAATTTAAACCTATAAAACAAAACACTTCGAAAAGAACTGAATTACATTGTTTCCATGCTATAATTTAGAGATTATTTTTGTAATTAAGATGATAAAATAAGTTGGCTTAGATTACGTAAAAGCTATCAAAGTCAAATTATCGAGTTCTCGGCTAATCAGTCGCCTGAACACATTTTCATTTAACTAGCTACACCTGTCTAATTAAAATGTTTCAGTCAATTAAGTTGACTGGGACATAGAAATTCATAAGATTAAGTAAAAATGAAATCTTTTGAACTGAAATCGCACGGAATGGAATGAAGCAATGAAATGAAAGATGCGTGGAAACAAAAATGGTTATGAATCAGTGTGTGTGATGGTATTCTGTTCTCGCAGAGCGAACTGTCAGTGTGGGACGTTAAAGTTGGCGTTTATTATTTCAGAAATATGCACGGAAACTCAATATAGCTATGACAATATAGCTTTGTCATTTTATGGTCTCATTTCGTCTCAGCGAAAGACCGTCACGTAGTAAAGCGCACTTCTGTTCCTGCCAGGATTACTTTTGAATATCTATAAATAGCACTCTAATAGGAAGACGAGTAAATTAACTAATTATAAATATCTTAGGAGGAGGAGAGTATTTCTGAGCTCACAATGAGATAGAATACGTAATAAGATTTATATACAGCTACATACATTATACCAAACATAATACAGTGGAACTTCGCTTAACGAGCACCTCGCTTAATGAGCAAAATGTATTGTAAGAAAAATGACTCGCTTAACGAGCGACGTTTTGCATAACGATTGACTTTGAATATGTTTCACTATACTATTATTTAACTATACTAGTAAAAATCCGGATATTTTTGAACAGATTAAACTCGTGAACCGAGGTTCCACTGTACATAAAAATACTCTAATTTTAATTACAGAAATCTTAAGTTCTAATTATTATTTTTTACTTTTTATTAATATAAATAGATTTATTATACCACAAATGTTAAATACATATAAAAAAACAATTATAATTAATAAAAATGATGATAAATAATATTAATTATTTAGAATTGATTAAAAAAAAATATTGCTAGGAAATTATATAAAATTTGTATGATTATGTCAATAAAGTAGTTTCAAACAATGAGAGAAGAAACAACCAAAATTAACAAATACTGTGATCTAAAACTAATTAACATCTCTACTAGAATTGTAGAAACTATTATATATTTGTCTAAAAATTTGATTAAAAATGAATAAACAAAAAAGGTTGATTATCAGAATTTTCGCTCATGAAAGTAATTTGTATACACAAAACGAAAAAAGTATTTAATAAAAATTTGTGACTAAATATAATAGTTATAAAAGAAAATTTTCATTGTTATTGTTAATTACATAAGAATAACTATTTAGCAATTATTACATAACTTTCTTTAATTATATTTCAAAGAACATATTGAAACAAAACCAAATACTTTTTATTTTTAATAATAATAATGTTTATTGCATCAGTTCAAAAAAAAAACATATACAGTAATAAAAAAAAACAAAATAAATATATATAATTTCAAAAAAAAGTCAACTGATACATATTTTTATTTTACTGAATTAAAATTTGTTTGTTTATAAATTTTCAAACCGGACTATACTGAATCCAAACTGATCGAAGACGCACTATGCAAGGTGTTGTTGTATATACACATTCTATATAAAAGTAATAAAGGTTATTATAACGTTTAATTGTAAACCGATACGTTTTTGTCTTCGATTTAAGTTTGGTAACGGAATTGTTCGTAACCTAAATATAGGAATGCTGAGTAGGGTTTGTTTGTTTTTAGAGGAAATTTATATAATTTGAAAATCTTTTTTTTCCAACTAAAAACTGGCGTTTGAGCCAAAATCGTCTCTGTTGTGTGAATTGAAAACTGAAATTAGTTGTAAGGTTTTAGTTTAGTAAGGTTTTTAGTTAATTTACAAAATCCACAGAATGTTTAGACAAACACGTCTAGCTTATTTCTTTCACTAGCTTCATTAAGTTTTTGGAAAAATATTATCAAGATTGTATCCACATTATTAAATCATTGCATCTTCAATGATAAAAAAGCGCCGAAGAAGAAAAATAAATCATAGCTTACTTTGAAAAAATCAATTCATAGATATCTTCAAAAACATGAAGACGTGAATTTAGGGTACAAAGAGAAGAACGAATAATTTTGTTCATTATATAATGCTCTAAAGACGATTTAACCCAGCTGTCTAGCAAGTGAGATTTTTTCCATTTCTGTAAATTTTGTATGTACAATAAAAAAATAAGTTGTAACCAAAATCTCTATTTTTTGTGAAAATTCGAAAACCGATTTTTTTAAGTCGGTTTTTGTATTAACCTTAATGCATTAATTAATATTGAATTATTCATAACAAAATAAATAACAAAAATATTAATTATGTTTTATTTACTTATGCTCAAATAGATGTGATTAGTAGTAATTTCTTGCCAGGAAAGTAAAAAAAAAACATTTACAAAGATAAATATGAAAATAGTAAGAACATGTCAATCATGTATCAAATATTTTGTTAATCAATATTATCGACTTACATCCTGAATGTAGTTTCAAACATCAAGAGAAGAAACAGCCGAGATTAACAAATACTTGGAACGAAATATGAATCACCCAAAATACTGCAAGTACGTACTGCCAAAATATGAATATGAGATTTCGTAGCAAATCTAAACAGCCGTTCTGTTCTCTAACATCACACATTTATTATCATTGTTAAAATTATTTATGCTCTACATTTAATTATTGGTTATTCCTGTCAAAAATTGTATTACTTTGTGACCGAATACAACATACAGTCGCACGCATATCTTTGCAGAGTTTTATTTTAAAGAGAAATGTAGAGGAAAATATCGATTAATGAATACAAACGAAGGTTATGTACGTAACCGCAAAGTCATTATTTTCCATTTTGATGTGTAGATATCCTTTTTAACTTCGCGAGGTTAAATGTATTCTCCCACGCAACTTCAATAATACGACTCTCCTGTGTCGACTGTGTGGAGAAATATTTATCTTTATGTCTTGTCATATATTGTATATGTGGTCGCACGTGGCACCGCATCTCTATTGACCACAAATAACACTTTTATTTAAGAACTTTTTGAAGTTCAAAGATATTATAAGAACAAATGTGTGTATGTGTGTAAATATACTACTTTTTATCATTCTTTATTTATACTTAGTGACGAATTAGCATATTCTTTCGGTAGTTATCTGTATTAAAGTGTTTTTTTCCAGTATATTATAAAAGTCTACTACATAAGTGGTAATCGAATGTGAAAGGTAATTATATTAATTTTAAACTTTCTCTTTATTGACATGTTAAATTAACTTATCAAATAATTTAATAGGTAAATTCAATAGAATTTTAATTTGACTATTTTGATCTTTCATCAAAATTAATTTTACATGTAGTCATGTAATATTCAACACTAATTACTTTATAATTTGACATTGAAACATATATATTTCTATAATTATATGGTATATAATTTAAATTTTTTACAATAATTTTATACATTAATAATTTGTGTATTTTATACTTAATTTTTTTGTCCTCAAAATATTACATTTTTTATGAAAATTAGATTTTGGAGTACTCAAACAATTTTGACCAGGCTTTTTATATTTGAAGAACACAGGAAAACTTAATGGTCCCAAGCGAACTAAGGCATGTAGTTTTGCAATTCTTGCAAAAATAAAAAAAGATGGGAGGTGATAGATCACATTAGAAGTGTCGTGGACTCTAGACTCCAGTTAACTCTTTGAGGGCCAAAAATTTGTAGACGCAACAAATTTTTAGACAACTGAATCAGATAACTTCATCAGCTGAACTAACATCGGATGGTATGGATTATCAAGATTTATAGCTTGACTTATCAACCAAATTAAATGTTAATAACTCTTTGCTATACATTTTAATGTATATGTTTACTCCGTAATGATCTAATGAAAATGTAGATTTTTTAAATGCAATAGTTTAGAAATGTAAAACTGATATACTGTTTAT